GTGAAAAGAAAGAATTTGAGGAAATACCGCACACATACGTGTTTTGACTTGGTTGGCTAGGCTTTTACGGGGGACCGAGGGGCCAGGAATAAAAAAGGGGGGAGGGAGGGTAACGGTAGGCGGAATAGGCGATAAAACTCTCACATTTTACAATTCTCGTTGTTTGCAGTAACTGATTGTAATTCGCTTTCCAACTTCTCCTTCTGTCCAACCAAAATAGCGTGTTGGGAGTCCAAACTTTTAATTTTCTTTTCAAAGTCCCTGATAGGGAAAAGAGGGAAGCAAATGAGGCGAAAAGAAAGTGACGTAGTCCAGTTTACCTGAGGGCCTCTAAGAGAAGGTGGCAGGAAATAAATAGCTATGCATGCGTCGTGTGTGTGAAGGTTGCTCCTGATGGAAGGCAAACAGGGAAAAAAAGTCCCTCAACGAAACAGAAAAAGAGGCCTGAAGCACAGTATGGTAAACAATGTAATGAGTAGCCAATCAACTGTCTGACAACACGAGGTTGACAGCAGTCAGTTGAAGACCTCGGCTGCGTAGAGTGGCTCTTGTTCTGGCCTGAGAAACGAGTCTAGCAAACCCTTTTTTGGAATGACTAACTATAACTACTCAAAAGTGTCAGGATATCACAATAAAGTAGTTTATATATACGCTTGTCAAAACTCGCTAAAAAGTTATTTCTCTTTTATTCCAGTAGTCCCTGTTTGACTCGAACGAAAGATTTTCACCCGGAAATGGTTTGCAAATCCCATATATATGGAGGGGAAAAATTACAGTGGGGAAGCGGAAGTGGGTGCATAAGGGTGGTGAGAATTTTTACGATATTACAGGAACAACTTACGACTTATACTTCCGGGCCTTTTCTGTCTCCTTAATATACTGACCCGGTAGGGCAGTCGCCAACACGCAATCGGCCTGAGGCAGAAAAAAAGACCAAGACAATTAAAGGGGCAAACGTCTTGTGGAACAAAAACGACTTTTTTGACTAGAGAACCGATTACCTCTACACAAAATGGCAGTTCAAGAGGTCACCTACCATCCCCTTTGCTGAGAGGAGGAGCTGCTCGATCTTTGTCTCACAAAAAGTAGACAATCCGGAAGGATTTCCCAAACCAAGAAAAGCTTTTATCCAATATAATCTCTTTTAAACCTAATCAGTCGGTTTTTTTAAATAACTTGTCACAATACCATGTTCTAAATTGATTTAGACTGAGTGTCGCATATATGTGACGCTGTAAAAAAACTAGTAAGAGATTGTTCTAACGTTATTTATAGTTCTTGTAAGGGGAAAATGGATACCGACCATAAAGCAGTATCTAAGGCATCAAATTAGGTGAAGAGGAGAAAGATCGACAAATTTTTCTCCAATGAAATGTCCTTGACATCGCAACTCACCTCCACCCCACCCCATTCACTTCTTTCATCAAAGTGTCTAGAATTGTTAGAAATACCAAAGTCATGAAGCGCTTATGACCTCTTACACGTTTTCACTATAAAACTGACTTATGAGGGTGTGAGTGCACAACAGGAAGGTGTGGAATCTGATGAAATGCGCCAAACTACTGTCTCGGCCCCACCCTCCGTCGATGTTCCTCTGAGTGCTAATGGAACCTCTTTCTGGCTAGTAAACAAGGCAAATCGACATGGGATGTAGAACAAGCACTAGGATGAAATTATACTTCCCCCGACCCTCTTCACCCCAATGGCGATAAAAGTTTTACCCTCCCTCTCCCTTGTCCTCCCATAAACAAGGATGGAAGTAGCAAACTTGCACTTCCTTGGAAGGAGGGCTAACATCTTAAAAAGATCAACCAAAGCTGGTAACTGCAGCTTTGCTAATACAGAAGAGGTAAGAAAAATAGATCTACCAGGAAAGGGGGTGAGGGAGTGGGTAGAAGTGGTGGGGGAGGCGTGACCCTAATGACATTGATCCGCCTTTGCCTTTTCCAAACCCCTACTTATTCATCCAAATTAGTCGTATGAAAACTGCAAAATTCCATCCCAATCCCTACTTCTCGGTATTCTCTCCCTCTCCCTTAAAACACCTGACTTTTATCCAATCAAATTCTAAAAAGGAGTGGTCTCCTCTTGGCTTTTGTTAAAAGCAAATAAAGTGTATTCCAACTTTTTAGAGCTATCTTACTTAAGGATCCTTACCTTTTAATGTTTTTAAAACCATTGCTTAAAAAGGAAAGCAGCTAAGTGATTTAAAACATGCTTAAACGTCTTCCCTTTTGCCTACAGGAGACGAAGGAAAAAGCACAAATCCAAGTGGTCACCTATTTTGGAAGACCCAAAAAAAAGAAAGTAGATGGAAATGCAGCTCTAAGAAGTAGCTCCCTCTCTCCGAGATGTTTTATTTTTGGATCCGAACGGTTGGCGGTTTTTTGTTTTTTTTGAACGAACGGCCAAACTCTTCCCCCTCCTCGCACCTCGGACGTACACACGCCCGTGTACAAACCGAGGGACTTCGCCGCTTTGTTTGTGGAGGGTGTAGTAAAAAGCGTGCAGTTTGTTTTCATTTCCACAGAAATAAAATATTTTTGCTCCTAAATTACCTTTATCACCTGGAGAGAATAATTTTAACGCAGTGACAAGCTCTATTTGTCAGGAGGCCATCAAGATTGAGGCGAGGAAGTGTGGAGGGGAGAAGAGGCCTTTAAAATGGGCCTGGGGCGTTTTTTACTCACTTTGACTCGATTTAATCGCAGCTGTGACTCTGTATGCTCCAAACGAATGTCATCAAGGAAGTCTTTGGAGACTCGCAGTTGTTCACGACTTCGTTTGTTTTCCAGTCGCAACATGTCGATCTCCATGAAGGTCTCCTGGTATTGTGTTTGCAGCGATTTAAATCGTCTCTCCATTTCCTAAAAACGTAAAAAATTAACAAATCAAAATGCTTTCTTGCTGTCTAAAAAAGCGGTTTTTAATTAAAATTTGCACCCTATTATAGGCTCCTCTACATGTGTCACATATATGTGACACGCAACCTTCACCAAATTGGAGCACTAAATTGGGCATGTAATAATGTAGACCGATTGTTCTAAATAAAATCTCTCAGTTTTCAGCTTCAATTTTTTTGTCTAATTGTTCTATTTTTTTTGCGACTTGTGGTTTTCAGTTATTTCATTCAAGGGCAACTTACAGCAAAGATGTCGATGTCTTCTCCAAGAGCCTCCAACTATAAAGGAGAAAAGTAATAACCACTTTAAAAGGAGTGAATTTTGTTTGAGAAGAGCTGGTGTGCAAAATTTTAGAAACGCTGATGTCAGAATCTGCTGTCATACCCACCCCCCCCCCCCCCCACCTCAACCCACCTCGGACATGGGAAAGCGGGAGAAGTCGCGCTTAAGGAGTTTCCTCTCCTCCCTCAGCAGTGCCTCTTCGTAAGAGAGCGTCTCTACACGCTCCTCGGTCTCCATGGCACAGTTATACGTATTAATTATCTGTGCACGCAGCATCAATGGTTCGGTGACTGCGTTCTCAGGAAATTGTTCCGCCTTCGATAATTCCATCTCCTGACGATCCAATTCGGTGTGGCAGTACTTCATTAGGATGTGAAGTTTATGCTCACTCTCTCGTGATCTGAAAATTGTAAAAAAATGTTAGGCTGATAGATTAACTCGGGGAAGAAGTGCTATCACAATCAGGAAAGAGGTGGTGACGGACTGCATCACCCTTCACTCTTGCCAATGGATAAGTATATGCCGCGAGGGGTAAGTTGGGAGAATAGTGCCCACCTCCAGTCCACCCCCAACCTTCTCCACCCATTCGCTTAGTAACCCTCCCGCCATGGCATCAGACAACTGGACAGGTAGGATTGAAATGTAAGGTTAAAAAGGGGAGGTGTTTTGCTGGTGCAGGAAAACAAAAAAGGACGTGAAAATTTGCGGTTTTTTCTACTTCTGTCAAACTTTTTAATTGAACACTACTCCTCCCTCTTTTCCGCCTTCTTCCCCGCCTTTCTAGAGATCGTAGCAGTGAGGGAGAAGAAAAGAGAGTAAACTCAACACCATCTAAAACGTGAACTTGTGGAGGAGTAGGACAAACGCCACCAGAACAAGGGTGAATATCTTGATGAGGCTTCTCCTTTCCCAAACAACAAATAATTTGGGCTTCTCTTGATCTCTGTGTTATTTTCCCCTAATTTTTCCCTCTCAGTTCTCCTTTTTCTTGTGGATCGACATTGCGGCGTTGTATTTTGGTCTTAGTATTTACCTATCCCGCCCTTTTTAATAACCGCCCCGCCGTTTCCCATCATCCTTTTTGCCCTTTTTCCTTCTCCCGTCCCTCCCCTCATTCCCATTATATAAGGCACATGGCCGATTGAGGAGGTCTGACAACTAGATGTCGCCTTAATTTGGTTTGCTACTTGCGTGCTTCAAAGGTCAGGTCCGAGGTCAGTCCTATCAGATCAACTGTTGTGAAATCCTGGGTTAGTCTAAATTTCCCCTCGTCCTCGGCCGCCTCTCCCCACCTCCACCGCCTATTCAAAATAGCCACTGAGAGGGCTTTTTTCCTTGATATCTTTCTAATCCATTTTGAGTTGCCTCAAATAAAAAAAACTTAGAGCCTTATCTTGAAAATTGGAAGTCAAAATGTTTCTCTGATAAGAAATTCGAGCTTATACATCATGAGGTATTTTCTGCACACATACCTCTCCACCTCCCCTCCTCCCTCTTGTCTGTCATGATGAAAGACAAGCCAATTTATGCATGAATATGGAGGGTGGTTAACAAGCAGTCTGACACAATTTTATCGCTCCGCCCCTCCCCTAACTCCACATTTACACACCCCCATCGCACTTCACTCCCCTCCTCAACTTTCTTTTGCCTCGTTCATTGGAGAGGAAAGCACAGCAACTCTGCCGGGGGGGGGGGTGGAAGTAAACAACACCAAGACAATCTATTCTTTCCTTCCTTTCCTAAACAAATTGTCTATTTTTCTTCCCCTCACCGCCTACCCCCTCCTCCTCCTCCTCCTACTCTAATAAAAGATCAAGGCGGCTAAAACGAATTTGAAGGGATTTACACCACACCCACCACATTTGATGAAGTCGAGATACTTACACCCACAGGCCTGTCAATAAGATCGTCAATTTTGGGAAGCGAATTACCAGACCACCGAATCTCCGCATCTGACAGGACTAGGTGGCATTAAAATTGCCGTCAATTTTTGGCAAGGAGAAATAAAAACTTCACCCCACCTACCTTTTAAGGGCGTCATGAAGTTTAATGTAGCGGGCTTTGTACATGGCTGTCTCGGTGGCGGTAATTTTGCCCTCCAAACACAGTTTATCTATAGTCTGTAAGGCAATTCCATTGTTCACATCCAGTTGGGTGTCCATCTTCGCAATATTCTCCTCATCGGGTGGATTGGCGATGAGAAAGGGCGTCACTTCGTCATAATCAAAGAATGCCGACATTGCACCACTTCCTTGTTGGGTTTTTTTCTTCCTCTCCCTCCTTTTCTTTTTCTCTTCCCCCCACGACTACTTGTGTCAGGTAAGGGTGCACGTGTTTGTGTGCTAACCACGTGTCACAGCTCTAGCCTCCTGACGTATTGACCCATTTGAAATACAGATGATGTGACGTGACCTTCACCATTCAGGCGGTTGATTAGGTTGGCAGAAAAGTTTATACACAAAAAATACGCAGGCCTGTCAAATAGGAAAGTTTCCATTACACCTTTCTTTGTTTTCCTTTCTTTAAGGTCACCTTTAGGGTCTTCAGCGGAGGCTGATTGACTGTAAAGTGCAGTTACTTTGGGCGAAGCTGAAACCCCTGATTCAAAGAGAGGGGAAACAAATTATACCTTTAGACGACGGCTCTGTGATACGATTTCTTGCGAGAGGGGAGGAATGGAGGTGGAGAGTAGCCTAGACTTCCTCTAGACTGACAAAATACTCAGTACCAAAGGACATGAGTGATAAAACAGCCAGAAAAGTCATGCAGGTGAATCAGACCACACCCGGTTTGGCAGGGCAATCTGTGAGTTTCTCCCCTTTTTGACTCTGCCTGAAGTCCATGTGATGTGAAAGTGTGAACAAATGTACACCAGAGGTTATTCCTATGACTTTCCTCACAGAAATCGAGGCTAATAACTCCCTCCTTCATTTCCTTCCTCTCCCATGTCCGTGAGTGTGTAGTGTGCCTTTAAAAGGTATTCTTCACCCACAAATCTTTCACTCACTGAGGAACAAAAAAGGGCCCCCAACTGTAGGGCAAAAAAGTGGTGACCTTCGAAGCAACCAGAACTAGTAAATCGGTTTTATTTTTTCTTTTTTGTCCTTTAAAGGCAAGGAAGCATAACCTCCCCTCCAAAAAAGTCACACACTCGGTAGGTCACAAAACTTGCCGAGGAGGCATCGGTGGTAGCTGAAGGTAAAGTTGATATAGAGACTGCGCAAATTCACCATATCCGAGGCTTTTGGCGACCTCCAAACATGCATGGGGTAGTTTTGCCACCTCATTTTTTGTTGGACGGGAAAGCATGGGTAGCTGGACTGCGAAAAACTGGGACTTTGGAGGGGGCAAAAAATTAAAAGGAGAAAGGGGAAACACGAGGGTGGGTACAGAGGATTAGCCTTGCCACAAATGTCAAGAGTAGGAGAGACATACGGTCGAAAATTTTTGTCATTTATAAACGTAAACAGTCCGGAATGCTTTATGGCAGGTGTCAGGGGATGTGTTAGTTGACAATTCACTTGTAGGGCAGAGGGTGGACGAGTTAAAAAAATAAACAGAAAAAAATGGGTCAGAAAAGCTTAACTAGGCAGATGTGAAGGTCTGATAGAGATGTCCTCTAAACTGCCTCCTTCTTGCTTTAGCCTTCAAGAAAAATCAGTGTCTACGCAGTGGAGGTAGTGAAAAACTCAGTGACAGGCTAACTGGTGGGAGGGCATGTATCAGGCCCGACTCACCTCACATCAAATGGGTGGCCACTTACTGACCTTATCGCTATTTGACTGGGCACGGAGACGCAGTTCTTCTCTGCGCCATCCAGAGACTACCACAGAGGTGGTATCTACTCCTCACGGTACCTCTTGAGGGTAGATAAGCTGAGACATTCCCTTCCCTCCACCCCACTACCAACCTACAAAACACTTTAAGGTGGGAAGAAAGTTCTCCCCTTACAGGATATCCCAACTCAAAATCTGACAGCTCCCAGCGATCCAACTGACCAATGAGAAGGAGGGAGGTGAGAGATGCGGTATCACAACAATTGAGGATTGAGAGGTCATCCGCTGCTAGTATGACTTTTTACCCACCTAGGTAATGGGCCTCCTTTCTTCTGCCTCCGCCCTCTCCTTCCCTCTCTCCCAGTTTCCCAACCCTGAGACAAAGTCACTTTAAACGCCTCTCTCATGCCAATCATCCCCCTCCCTCTTGTTCAGTGATAAAAAGAGGGTTTGAAAAACTTCCATTTAGCCCAACAAATTTATGCACTAATTCAGTAGTTGATTTTCTTCTGTTTTTTAACTGCATAAGATGTCCTTGAGAAATGGCTGTAACTCGTTTTGCTTTAATTTTTGTTTACTTGTACATTTTAGGCTCGATGAGGGGGGGGGGAGGTTGGACATTTCACTCTCCGAGGTCTCCACCTCTCCTTGCCAATGGAATTGACTTCCAGGCTTTCCCTACATTAATAATACATCTCTTCATTGGAATTTATTATCTCTCCTGGGGGAGATCAAGGGAGAAGTGGCTATGTTGGTCGGTTGGATGGTGGGTTGGGGAAGGCGGGGGGTTTACTTCACACAGCTGAACCGCCTCGCTCAAAAGTACTGATTTAAGAGAAAAAGAGAAAAGACAGGTAGTGGCAGCGCATGTGCATGTCATGGGTAAGGTTGAAGAGAGTGACCCTATTTCTGAGAGTCATTAGCTAATTTCAAGATCACTGCTAAGTTCCCGCCTTATAACCTTCCTGATAAAATAAGGAAGGTAAAACAATTTCGATGCTTTTTATCATAATTTGGACACCCTTTCCACTCATGAGAGAAAAACAACGAACCACCTCACCACCTGACTTCTCACTCAACCCCTGAAGCGGTCAGGCGGTTGCCCAATTATTTGCCTGTTTGTTTATTCTTTCCCTCTTCACTTATGCCCGACTCAGTCAAAGTTATGATAACGAGGCAATTAAAATTCGGTCCAGATGAAAGTGGAAGATATTAGGGTGGATATTTTCTCCCCATCTTCATTAGTCTCACTTTGCCTCTGCTTTGGTCGCAATTCCGAGCCCACGGGGTAAGTTTGCAAGTTTATCGCTATGTTTTGACGGATAGGACCTTGCCAACGCCAATTACCACATGATGTCCTTTTGCTGACTGGTGGTCTGGTCCACTTGACCAATCTGTCGGCACATGTGTTACATATTCGCTCCTTTGTTTGTTTTTTCTGGTCTTACCGTTTAGGTGACTAGCTGTCCGGTTACACGGACCCCTGTCCCCATATAACTATGCTGATTTGTAAACTTTCCCCTTCCTCCACCTCTCCCCCCAAGAGGCTGTTGACTACCGAATTTGACTGGCACCACCTCAAAGGTGTCCCTTTTTATGCTTAAAATTTGTCTCCTCTTCACTTCTCCCATCTTTTTCTCCTTCGCGTGTTGCCATGTGCCATCGGTGTTCAAGCGACCACATTTTTTCTCCCCAAAACATTAACCAACATTGGTCCATAGGTAGGGACGCATCAAATGACAAGCGCCGTCACATTTAATTACTTACTCCATTACTTTTTCAATGTTTGTTTAATCTAATAGAATGAGTGCCATTTTGGCGGCCTCTTAAACGGACCCGGTAAGGCCGTTCAATGCAGATTTACGGAGGAGAAATTTTTGCTCCACATACCAGTGACGAGGATTAACAAGCCGTATGGAGGCGCCGAGCATCCCATCGGTTTAAAACCCTCCCAAACGCGAAAAATTAGGACTCTTTTTTGGGTGTATTAATGAGGTGGGGAACACGCTTTCACTACTCAAGTGTCACCTCACAGAAGATCGGACAAACGAACAGACTGGTAGACAGAGGTCTGGTAAATGTCAAACAATCTCTCATTAACTTAGATTTTTTAAGTGCGAAAGTGTGTTTCCAGATGTGTACTGCTGCCATGGTTACATAGGACCTTGAGGTACTTTAAATGAAGATACGGAAATGCCACTCCAGTCACCAACGTTTGCTGATAATGGCATCCAAGACCTTAGGTTCTGTGGGTGTACCCACCCATAAACTTCTTTCTTGTGTGAGATATTTAACCTACAAGGGGAATAAAGAGAGGAGGAGGGGAGAAGGAGAGGAAAATAAGACGAGTGGCGCTTTAAAATCCGCCCTTTTTGGTAATTTTTACGAGTTTGCCAAAAACAAAAGGGGTTGAAGAATGAGACTAGATATTCGTTAGGAAGAAATCTTCTTCCTTGTCCTCTACTTTTTACTTATCAAAAAAGCAGGAGAAAGAGGCTAGTTGGCTTTTTTTCATATTTACCGCCCTCCAAAAGAAATCAAACTAAACTATTTAAAACACTTGAAGGGAGAAAGTGTAGACGCCTTAGAGAATCAGGTATAATTCAGTTCTCCGACTGACTTCTCAAGCCAGACAAAATCAGACAAAAATAAATCCATTTTGCAGGTCATTTAGACCATCCAATTCCTAATTAATCAACAATTCAAATCTTTAAAGAAAGAAAAACTTTTCCGGAAAAAAACTTGGCCACTTGAGACAGCATGCTTCGTAATGTCCAACAGCGGCACCATCTTGACCGCTGGAAGTGACTTTTCTAGGGTGGAGGCAGGAAACGAAATTTTTCCTCCTTCTTTCCGCAAAATTTCTACTTCCTTCTTGCCACTAAAGTCACCTTATGATAAAATTTTACCACGAGGAGTTTTTTAAAGAAGTGCCATTTTTCATTAGAAAAGAGACGTCCACTTTTACTTGGAGGGTAAAATGACGCGACGGACAGATTGAAGCACTCAACACATTTGGAACTTGGTCAAAATTTCCAAATAGATCAAAAATTCTGTTCAGTTTTGTTTTTTCTACCATCTATGCGGCCTACCGGCATCAACAATGTCCTATTGGTACACCACTCGCAGGCTAAACCACACCCCTGAGGCGGAACCACACCTTCATTTCCCCTTGCGTTGTCTGGAAAGCGATGATGAGGAAAGGGCAAAACAAAACGAGAAACATAAAAGACATGCCATTACGCATAACCGGTAAACAAATTTGATGGATTTTCTCTTTTCTTTTTTCCTTTTTGCTCAGTACTCTCAAAAGTAGGGAAAAGGGCGGCTCAGTAAGAATGCCACAATTAAGTGGTGTTAGAATGCCTGATTGAACATCTTCTTCTGTTTTTCTGGATTAGGAAGTATGTAAAAATATCCGTCCCCTCCCCTTATTCTGCCGCCCCCCCCCCCGGCCTGCCACGTGTCTTGCAGGCAGGCAGTAGCAACAATGCCAGACACATCTAATAGTCCCATTCCCTTGGCCGAGGCGACCAATGGGAGAGCAGCACTGTACCACATGGCAAACCAAAACGGGGTGGAGGACAAGGCGGAGGAGAAGGGTGAAGAGGCGGAGGTGGAGGCGATGGAGGCGGTGGAGGAGGAGGCAAAGAAGAATAGGAGGAACAGAAGCATTTGGTGCCACTGTGCACTTGGATGTATTCCAGTCAAAGTGTGGATCTTATCACCTTAACCCTCGATCACAACGACTGCCACCTAGTGCACCACCTACCTGCTTGTCCTCTGTATGACCTCAAAGACCCTGGAATCGGTGTTTGTGCCTGTACGTGGTGTGAAGCCCCCCAAAAATGGACACATTGGATATAAGTGAGTTGGGTTATTTCTATCGCCTACTTTTTTTTGAATAAGTGCAAATTTGTATCCCTTCCCTTTTGCCTATCCGCCCTGTTTGAGCCTTTGCTTCTTTATTTTACCCTCTAAAGTGTGCAAGTCTTTCAAGCCCTTTTGATAGCCTTAATTGGGCCTTTGGCTGCGGTCAGGCGGGAGCTCCTCTCCCAGGCCCGCTTCTCCCCCCTACCCAAACTCTTTACCTCATTGTAGGAGGGCCTGTGAAATGGCTCTGCTTTTACATTTTGCATTTGTAAATATTTCAAATGTTTGTTTTCTAACAATTTTTTATTACAAATGTTTTTATTTTGGAGAAAAAACTGCGGAAAAATTGTTAAATTGACGAGAAAATCGGCGGTAAAAGCGGAGGTAGGAGATAATTTTCGTAAACCAAGGTTCCGAATTTTATTGAAGCAAAAAATAAACAAAACAACCGTTTATTTTTAGTAATAAATAATGCAAAAACGGGAGAAATGGCGAAAAGGTGGATCTTTTCGCGCCTCCGGTTTCTGAGGCTAACAAAGTGTTTCATTTGTCCTTTAACTGGTCATTTGAAGTGTTACTAAATCTGCGAATGAATTGCTCCCTCAATTTATCTTTTTTATTCAATCAGTAAAACAACTTCACTTTTGAAATGTTTAAAGAAGGTAAATTTATAGGTAGTTTTAAAGAACATTTTTCCTCCCCTGTATTCCCGTTGTAGAAACGACAGGGGTGGCACGAAAGACAACATATTTTTTTCCCTTCAGGCACATTTCCTTTCCGTAATTAACAAAGAACTAAATTTATTTATTAACCACTTTATTTATTTTACCACTTTTGTCCTTTTTTTGGGGCAACTCGTAAGGTACTTCTTGCGAAGGTAGATTTGGCCCCATGCGCACCTCCCGCCCTCCCACTCGGTCTCGGTCTCTCGCTATTGCTAAAAATAGTTTATCTTCCAGATAATATTTTCCCTTCATCTCTTTACTACTTTTGCTTTTCAATTATTCAAAATTTTATTTAAAAAAAGAGATTTATGCTTCAACAGCACCAAAAATTTTGGCTTGTTAAAGGGAATATTTAAGTGGTCAGGATAAGCCGATCCTAAGGATGCCCCCCTTCTTTTATATTGTGGTAATTTTTCAACTAAAATAAATGCAAATATATTTAGTTATTCTTCTTTAAATACACTTAAAATAGATAACATTTTTATCATAAAACGACTTTTAGAAAAAAAGGCGCTGTCAGAAAGAGTAGCTTGAATTTGAACCTTCGGTCGGTTTAGATGAGAGGCAGGGAACTTTTAGATCTTCTTTGCTTTTTTCTGTCCTTAAAAGGGACGCTCGTTGCAGATTTTTTTAATTCGGAAAGCAAGAAATAACCACCCTATTAAGTTTTTTTGGGGGACGGGAAGGGGCAAAGGAAGCCAAAAAATGGGGTTTGATTCTTCCCATTTTTTCCTCGTAAACGCCTCCAAGTTTGCTATCCTTAAGCACCGAAAATTGTTTATTTTCTGCCGTTTTTGAAAATTTTGACAGAATTCAAAAGAAAGCGTAAAATCCCAAGAAAATCATTTAGAAAACTGAATTTTATAAGAATACTCGCTTACTAATTTTGGCAGCCCAAAACAAATGGAAAAAGGTGCTTTGCAGGCATTCCTTTCCCGGTGGAAGGGGGTAGGTGAATAATCTATCAGGCCATGCACCAACACCTAATCTGTGTTTTCCTTTGTGCCCATATTCTTTTTTTTTTTGGGGGGGGGGGGTAGGACACGGTTAGTCCTCCTTCATTTGGCCGCGGGTGCGGATAGACCTGCGGCCTCCGACGTAGAGCTCCAAATTATGGAAATCCTGTAAAGGAGGGGGCGAGAAGCAGTAAAAACACTACAAAAGGAGGTGCCTTGCGTGGATTAAGAGCAAATCGTCTTCTCGCCGCCCCCCTTCCCGCCAAATTCAATGGCCTCCTTACCACGATTGTCTTCCGACATCTGTTTTGACCACTTTCTAGTCCAACCACCCCGCTTCTATTCAAGAACAATATGGGTAGAAAATAAAACACTTCACAATTAAATATTTTTTTTAAATTTGGAACTTTTAATGCGCAGAAGTATTTTATTTTGGACAACTTTTTGCTTGATGGCGTGGGGATGGAGGCGGGAGGGGGGCGCGTAATCGAAAAGCGTGGCCCGGCTTGAAGTCGACCACCTCTTGCCCGAGAGAAAAATGAGTCGGAGGCTATAAATTTCTCGCTTTTTACCAAAAAAAAGAGTGTTAACCTATCAAAAGAGGGGCAAATTACTTCTCCCTTGACTTTTCTTACCCCTCTGACGCCCATTTTTTGCCTTCTTGTTAATTTTATCAACTCAGAGAGCAGTGCTTCTGAAAATCTCCGCAGCCCCACCAAAACTACCGCTTCAGCCCTACTTAAGGTGATTGAATTCCTCAATTACTTCCTTTTTTGCCTAAAAACAAGGGAATAAATAAATTTCCCCAATATTTAAAATTCTTTTTAGACTCTTTTTAAAGCAACGTAAGTAGAGCAAATTCTCCACCTTTCCCGTTTCCCCCGACTAACCATCATGGAAATCAATTTTCCTTTTCCCACCTTCATTATCGCCATTTTGTGAGAAAAAAGACCACTTTTCCTGGATGCAATTGTAGATGTACTCTCTACCCTGGGTGGATTTCAACCCGTCGTTTCTTGCGTCAAATGCAGAAAGACAACATTGACTGTGCCTTGTTGCAACAGGAGGCTTGCCATAGAAACGAAGTCAAGTTCGCCAAGGGGTGAGTTCCCACCTGGATTTTTTTAATCTCATTTTGTTTCACCCTCTTTTCCCTCCACCTCCTTCCCTCTCCAACCTCCTTTTTTCCTCCTATGAAATACGGTCGAAGGCGAACTGAATCGCCTCACCTCTTCCGGCTAGGTAGACACGTAGATCCCCAACTCGACCGAGCGGTGATTAGAAAGCAACCCATTTTTCCAATCCCGGGAAAAATTCAATTATGTTATAATGGAATGAATAGGTTGATTTAGTATTTAAATCAACTCTACTTGAGAGTTTGAAGCCTTTCCCCTCCACCTGTCGGTTCGCTAATGGATGCTAACAAGGTCTCCGCATCCCCCCATTGGGACCATTTGCGTGTGGGATTGGAGTCCACCGAGGGATTAGTCTCACCGGATTTCTCCTTTAGTTCAATTATTTCCAACAGAAGTGGAAAAGTTCCGCGAGTTCTCCTGACCATCAGTTAGTAAGCTAGGCGAGTGGACCCTCAATAGTGCTTTAAGTTGATGAATCTGGAGAGGTTGTCAGTCACAAGGATTCCATCCAAAATGACTGGTGCGAAGTTTGAGGCTAACAGTGCGCTAAATGATGGAGTCCCTCTAGCAAATCCTGCATGTCCAGTAGAACTGGCTGTTTTCACGTTTTTGCGGTCTTCGCCCGGCCCGCCTCAAGACCTCAAATGATTTTTACTAGTTTGGTCAAATTTTGAAAAAATACATTTTTGCTGACAAAAGGAAAGTTTGATTCTTAAAAGAAGATTGTTTTTTAGAAAATTAAAAAGCCGAGTGCTCCACTTGATGCGTGAGCCCATAATTCAGCTGGTGATGTGCTCCCTAGTCCTGCTGGATGCCCTCATCGTCACGGCCGAAATCATCCTCGAGATACATGCCGTTAAAGGTGCGTTTATTTTGTCCTTTTTTTCTCGCTCTCCTCCTCTTAACTTATTAATTAATTTGTGATAATTTTTCGCCTTTTCTTTTACAAAAATTCTTCTTAAATTACCAAAAAATGAGGCCAAAATTAGTATTTGCCTCCAATCTGATTAAACGAAACATCCGGCGGTCACTGCAACTCGCTCTTGTGTCAAAATAAACTAAAAATTATGGAAAAAATATTTCGAATCAACTATACGCCATCTATAACGCAATCTGTGGAAGACATTTGCTCAAGTAATTTGCAAGGGGAGAATGAAGTTTTCTTTTCTCTCCCATCTCCCATTATCCCGTTTCCCTGTTGCGCTAGGTACGGATTTCATTGTGACCAGGAGTTTTAAGTGGTGCCGATTTACCACTGTATGTGGAACCACCTGGAAATAATTCATTGTGAAAAATTTTTGAAGGGAGGAAATGAGCTAAATTCGTAGACTTGAAGATTACCCAACTCTGGGGGATGGAGGCGGGCACTCACATGACTGTCGGGTGAAACGACGTCTCGAGCCTCCTCTTCAGTTGGGGTCAAATTTCTCAACTAACTTTTGAGGTTAGAGCGGACTTTGAGTGTCTAAGGTAGGGTGAGAAGAAAAAGAGGAATGTAACTCCTGCTGCCAAATCTGTCAAAGCCCGTGAGACGGGATTTGATTGTTTCCTGTTAACCTACTATGCAGCAAGCCACCTTTAAAGAGTGTATTTCCGTAATTTTGACCTTAGTACTTATTTTTTATCCCTTTTATCTTCCTCTCCATCTTTCGCCCCCTTTTACCCCGAATAAAATTAATTGGGGGAAAAAACAAAGTAGCAATCCTCTGGCGCGACATTTGGATACAGCAGAAAGACATGGCCCGTTTTCACTCCAACAGTAAATATAGCGACAGAAGATGATTAATAGCCACAATAAAGACGAAGGATAGCCACTGTGGCTTTAAGATGCAGTAAAAGAGCTTCAAAAAGCAAAATCCTCCAAGTTCTCCCGTGCCCCCACGAAATCTAGGATCATTTAATCTTTCACTCCAATCTCCTGCCCATCTCATGATGTGTGGTCGACTTGCGGACACGCACACTCTTTGCTGATTCCCTCCAAACGATAATCTGTAATCAGGGGAAAATATGGGACACTTCTGAAGTAAGCCGACATATGACCTTGAAAAGACCAATCAGAGGCAACTTGTAACCGTTCCACCGCCGCCCTCAATCTGCCCTTTTAATCAGGGGAAAGCTAAGCTACCACCTCTGATAATCGTTGGATAGGCATGATTTTAAATTAACTTCTGTGATTGCCTGTGTCTAAACCAGTCCAAGAGGGGGGGGGGTGATGGGTCAAGGGGGCTGCCGCAAATATCCATGTATAGGAAGGCGAATTTGACAATGTAACTTAGATGCCCTCTTATTTTGCCCAGTTTATCACGTGATACATGGCTGTGCGCTAGCAACACCCAAATAACTGCATACACAGGGGATTGAATTTGTCATGTAGGAAGTTTTATGGTAACTCAAAGTAGGGTGTGAATTTCACCCATTTTTTCAGGTGTTAATTAAAACAAAATTTGCTGCAAATGAAAAAGAACGACTTTGCTTTCGTGCGTCTCTGGAAGGAAAAAGTAGGAAGAGTTGGACTGCAACCACCACCGCTTCTGACTCGGTTTTATTTCCCACTTGTTTGAGCCAAAAATGTATTAAGGAAGCAGGTAAGAAGGGAGACGATGGCGGTCTCCTTTCCCATTCCTATCACACGGTGGAGATCCTCTTCTGCAGGGGGATATGTGGTATGTTTTTGGAGCACCTCCACAGGGTTTACTAAGCCCGGCAAGTTTCGAAGAAAAGACTGTCCTGGCATCAAATTGCGGCTACAAACTTTAGCCGTAACTGTTGTCCAGTCTTCCGCAAACACACAAACACGGGTAGAGAGGGATAAGGATGGAGGGGGAAGGAGCGTAGCCCTCTGGCAATAGATTGTACGTGCCTCAGGAATGTGGGCTATTTGGTGTCATGGTTACAACCAGTGTGTTTTTGTTTGTTTTCCGTTAAAACACAAAAGCATAAATTTTCATTTCCCATTATCATCGTCAGACAAGCTGCAAGACCACTATTTGGCCCCCACCCCCGACGTGGTGGCAGTTGACGCTTTTCGACTTCCAGACTAGGACTCTCCCTTCCACCTCCATGAAGGGGGATAATGTCTTATCACCCACCGTAGAAAAGAGAACAGAAGATTCTGATGTGCCTGAATCGATAAGCACTGACGCTACGTTTTCAGTATCACCAAGACTGCAGAATCGGCTAAAATTATCACATCTGTGGATGACTCACCAGCAGAACCAGATTATTAGTCTAGATTACCTTGCTCCCAATGACAGGCCTTACTACCATGCACTATACCTCCCTCTAATTGATATAAAACACATTTTGTAGAGGTTTCTGTAATTTTGCAGGCGGTTTTATCCCTATTTATGACGTAAGTAGGCAAAACTCTATGATGGAGCGCCATGCCAATAAAACGATACATTTGGGTGCTTTATAATGTATACGTATAAGCAATCTCGTGCACTACGGGGGAGCTTACAAATGCGAAGTCAATGCCACGAGGCGTATCGAGAAAAACACGAGCTTATTTCGGGCTGTTCACCCTTAAACCGGAATAAAAGATATACAGTAAAAGACGAAGTTTTCACTCTTCTTATAAAATGTTCAACTTAATTAAACTTTTTAGGGAAAGATCTAAAGTGTTTAAATATTAATCGTGAAGTTATATTTTATTGTTTGATTTTCCCATCCTGACCTTCAAATGCGGTAACGTCAAAACTCGGACGAGTTCAAGCGAGATCGATTGATCCATGAAAAGGACGATACACTACCACTTTAATTAGCCTCCCATATTTCCTAATTACAAACAAATTTTGCGTTTTGGTGCAAAAAGAACAGGTATTTTTAGTGTGGTAGCACTTTTGACTCCCCGACTTCCAAGTGTCTGTTTTCCTGGTTCACATTTATAAACCATGTCGTCTGAGAGTTTTGCGTGCTTTTTAAAAGTCATAAATTATTGTTCACCTTCCGGGTAAGTCTCTTCGAAACCTTCACTACTATTTGGGACAGGATCTGGGTGAGTGCGATGGAACCTGTGTGACTGCTTTAATTCATTTTGCACGGTCAAAATTACAAAAAAGTTGTGGGTGCGTGTCGGTTTTGATTGAGAACACATTAAAGGTTTCTATGTATTACGTAGGCGTCCAATCCCCGACTTTAAATGTCTGAAAAAAGGCATAAATATACATCAACTTGAGGTATCCACTGTTTCACTGGATACTTTATGAATGAAGTTAGCAGTAGAATTGCAAAACCGTTTCAAAAAGCTCAGCATCTGTAAATAATAGCCTTTTTTATAAATGTGGCCCTATTTGCCTTCTTTATAATGACTCTTTTAAACCTCAAACTGTCTTTTTTCGTGAAATTCTCTCACTGTCAGAAAGGTGTGAGAATATCAAAGAGTTGAAGGGGACAAGATGAAGCAGGATATAATATTAATTTTACCTTAAGGTGGAAATCTTCTTGAGTTAATTTTGCAACAGTACAAGAAGGAGACATGACTCCTCCCTGACTGACCCACTGGTACTGCCCCTATCAGGAAAGGGAGGAGTATATGACGTATTTATTCCAGCTGTTGAACGATCTCCCATTGACTGCCTCCTTCTACAATGAACGAATGGCAAGCCCAGTTTTTTAGCTTTCCCATTTGATGTACTTCTAAACTAGTAGGTTCTGGAATGTATCCTTGACCTTAGATTTTACGCCAAAGGTAGGCAGTTCCTCCACCACCACTGATGGTTCACCTAAGCAAGCAAACTGAGTGGTACAAGCCCCTTCTCTAAATGCCATTCCACAGATTCTACAAGAAACTACTATGAAGCAGATTTGCCCGAAGAACAGGCTTAAGTTCTCATGGGAGCCTAATAAATAGAGAGGAAGTCATGGTGAGAGGAAAATGTTCTAGAAAACACAAAATTTGTTAAAAGGTTTAATCATTTGTTCGAAGAAGAAGCGGAAAATCATGTAAGATTTTCAGATTTGAGGATTTGCATGCGTCTGCTACTTATTCAAAATTGTGCTACACGTCAAAATAAGTGGAGTTTCTACCTTCTCTCCTTCGTTTAGCGGAGAAGAAGATATATGAATATGAGCGGAGCCATATGAATCACAAGATGTACCGCTACTACTGCACCAGTCACACTGATCCAGAGTCTGTCTTCACTCCTACAACTCGTGAAATCTGTTGTCAACGTCCTATCAATCGCTCGGGTGTGGCATTTGAGGCTATCCCCTCACCTTTTGCTCTCTGTTGTCTTGCCCGTGGTGGCTCTGACTGTGGTGGTAATGGAGGACAAGCAAGAGGACGGCTATTTACTGTCTACCACAGTGTCTCCGCTCCCCCGCTGGACCAAATGAGCATGCACTGCTCTCATCTCACCTGCTGCCTTTCTCAATTGGGACGATTTATGCGAAATCCGCTGGAGGCGATGGGCAAATTTGGAAGCTGTCATTTCTTTCACACAATTGCCTGTATCCTCCACTTCCTTAGTATCCTCATACTCTGCGTCTTCGTCATCCAGTTGGCTGTGAAAGTGCTCTGCATGGGACGAGCTTTCTTTCGATTAAAATTTGAGGCAAGTTCACTCTCTTGTTATTGTCATTAATATAGACTGCCGTACCCAGGTGTTGATGGAGGTGGTGGGTCACCTTTTCGTGTACTTAAGTCGCATTGGAGTGACCTTGATCACAACAGGGTAGTAGCGTGATTAACTGCGGTTCTGAGGCCTCAGAAGGCTGGCAAACGGGTGCCTCATACTACCCTTTACGTAAGATGTGAATAGGTGCCATTGGAAGGTTTTGCGTTCTCTGTTCATCTGTCCTAAACCACCTACACACCTTCCATTAACCATTCTATTTTTCAGAAGATCGCGCCTATCTTCTATAGGTGTGTCTTTGTGTGCATCGTGGAATGTAGACAAATTTAATTGCGTAAAAGGAAGGTAATTATATAGGATGTCTGGTAGGCACAGTTGGAAATGGCTACTGCAACACGAAGATGGGGTGCCTAATGACTTAAAAGACTCGCATAGCAGAATATGCCATCGGAAACCGGTTAGCTCCATTACACACCACCTGACGTAGCCCGATGTGTGTGGTGCAACATCGGAAGGACAAAAGCACCAAGAGTTAAGATCCTAGATATTCCGGAATATTTCGTGATTTGAAATTATTTTCATTGGCCGGTAGGATGCGGGGCATGTAATCACGATAAGGTCAAGGAAATTAGGAATGAAATAAATGCGCCACAGAAAGGGTTAGAGCCACGTCTCCGGGATTGCAGCTAGTGAATCCGATGGTGGATGCCGCTACCTGGTTGTGCATAAGCTGCTGACATTAGAGAAAACGGTTACTAAGGTCTCATTTTTTTTCGCCTTTTTTTTTCGTCACGATTTCGATAGCATACATCAGGACATGGTACTAGCATGGGTTCCGTCTGTGAAACAAGCGAAAGTAGAGGGCATCATTAAGGAATCTGCCCGCATATTTACAACCATCAAATATCTTTACTTTTCTATCACACGACATATTTTTTGAATAGACAACGAGTTAAAGATCTTATCTGACCATTACGTGTTAGGCACTCATCAAAGGAAATAATATCTGAATTCTGGCAATTAACCAAGGACTTCTCGCTAATTGTTCTAGCGAAATAATTTTACGCCAAAACTGTACCCAAATTGCTTTGGTCAAACTCTGATTAGGTATTCTGACTAGTTTTTAGGATATTGTTTCATTATACCAACTACCAGCCCATAACTTTCAAGGTCAGTGCTCCGCTTATAAATATTTTTCATTTTGCTAAGGAGTCTGATGCGCTTGAATAAGTCTAAAAAAACAGAAAGAGAACATTTATGTCAAGCTAGTTCGTTAGCTTTATTCCTAGCACATAATTTCCGCCCTTTATGTCAAAATAGACCACAATTTCTGTTCTTCACTCAAAGACTAACGCCGATTTATAAACTCCCTATTTACAATGTATAACTTAGATGATCTGTCGACCAACTTTTTCCCATTTAAGTGTCATCCTGTTTACGCCGACAAAACGATTCTCCTGATTGGTGGTAAAAGATACTCTGATTGTAGGAGGGAGATAGAGAGCTGCAGACAAAACAGGCAGGTCATGGTAAGTAAACAAGTAAATAAATGAGCAAGCGAAAAGACTTTTTTTAGTAAATGAATGTGCGAATAAAAAACTGAGTAAATGAAGGCTTTAGTAAGTAAACAAACAAGATATGTGTTGTTCCCCAAATCGGACGTGGCTTCGGCAGCTCTTCCCACATGTCTCCTTGCAAATCTAGTTATCAGCAGTGGATGACACGTGTCTGTGCCATTTGTAAGTTGTCTCCCGTTAAAGAAATCATTATTACTATTTGCTATGAAAAAGTTCAGCCACAGTTTATAGCAGTGCAACTCTGGGGTATTTATCGGAGACATAAGCTATTTGGAAAGGATCATTACTCAGGCACAAAGATGGAATTTCAAAATCGCCGAAAACTAAAGCACCCTATCATATAAGTACAGAACTTGAACAAATGTCGCTTTCACTATATAAATGTTAAAAGTAACACTATTGAAGTCTATTTATAAGCAGGTGACACTAACCAATCACATTGCAATAGCTTGGGCTTTATATACCACTCAAATCTTAAAAGTAATGCATTTTATCTTCTACCTTATTTGTAGATAGTGGATGGAATAATAATTATCATATCGCTCATAGCTGATGGCATATTTGTCTACATTGCCTCGGATGAAATAACCCTGATCATCGTATTCCTCATCTGGCGGATAGTTCGAGTTGTCAACAGTGCGTTCACTTCTCTGATGTTTAAATTAACAGTCCGTTTTTAAGTGTTCTAAATAGCATTCATTTGAAAACCTTGTAGAGGGTACCTTCAAATTTGCTAGATGTTTGCAGTGAATTAGGACTAAAAAATTTGCGGCATAAGTTAGCATGCTTTCAGACACATAGTAGAGCCCTCAGTATTGATGAAATCTGCTTGGAAAATTTTAGCTTTTGTGTGTAAATTTTAAGAAAAGGAGGACATAACCTTTTAGTTCTACTATGGCAAAAAAACAAGTGTTTTAATTGCCTTTCCATATAGAAATGTGCAAGCAGATTTAGCAAGCCCGAGTAAGCAATTTACAAAATATGATGGAAAAAAACTAAGATTATCTGGTGACAAATTCTAGACTTGCTTTTGTCTCTGCACATAGGTCTTCTCATGCACGAGAAACAGAGAAATGAATTTCGCATCCAACTGCAAAAAAGGGCTCGACGGCTGTCCGAATTGAAGGTAGAGGCACTCAATGGGAAAATTGCACTTCTCGAGGTTAGCAGTAGAGTCAACCTTTTCGGTCATTTGGACGATATGGTTTTAATCGTTTCAGTTGGAATACATTCAAATACACAAGTTCTTTAAACCTTTTCAGAAGGCCGTTTTTGTTTAAAAAATCCTTAGAGATTCTGTCTACTATTCAAGAATTTCCAATAATTTTTCACGCTTTTGTGCGTTTTCCACCGTAGAAGCACATTGACAACCTCGAAAGTATGTGTGTGGAATTGGGAGTGCCAAGGGAGCAGTTGATTTTCTGTCGACCCACAGGTAATTATTTGTTGTATGACCTAACTGTAGAGGAATATTTACCCATTTTGACATATTCTCGCAGCCGAGTTTACCAGAAAAGTATTGCAAGTCATGCGTGTTGCATTGGTCTTATAAAGAAATCGCAGAGCGATAAATAAAAACTTGGGGGATAGACATCATGAAAGAGATCCCAAACGATAACCGATATGGAGAATGAGTCACTAGGGTCTCGAAAGATATACTTTTTTCTCTACTTGATGTGCGGCGGAGGGGAAACCACCTCCTGATCAATTGCACCAAGGTGGTGTATTCTAACTAGTAGATAGTATTCACCTAGTATTCACCAAACGCTGACATTTGAGAATATAAATCCTCATGAGAGCTACAAAACCAGCATTTTTTTATTATTAGAAACAATTTTTGGGAGTCTAATGGGTAAGAATAACGAACTTTTAAAGAGTCATTTTCATTGACAGACTTCGGTACAATTTCATTTTTGCCTCCCATTGATCACAGTAGCTTTTACTTACTTTGGATTTTTATGTTAAAAAGTACATCAAACCAAAGCTGAAATTCACATGCAATTTACTACTTGTCAGCGGGACAGGATTTTAGCAAATTGTTTTTTCGCATTTAATATTCGGCAATTTCACAGCTTTACTATTCTTCTTAAAACGCTGTTCGTAACAGTTCTTAACATACAAGTTGCGTCTTTGTATGCGTCAATGGAGGCAATCAAACCGTACGATAGACCAATTAAATAGGTGTCGCTACTGGTAGCGTTTGATTCATCTCGCACACTGACTATTCAAATTTTTTGTAGTTTTCTAATACATATTCATTGGAAAATTAAAAAACTAAATGTTCCATGTCCTGCAAAAATTTTAGTACTTCAAGCACTCTCTAGATCTGTTTACCGTCGTCTTACCTTAATCTTTGATTCAATACTATGCACAGCTGTATTCTATTAAATAAGAACGGTCTTTTCGTTGGCCGAGGTGTTGAAAAGTGCGTGATATACGTACTCAGTATTCAAAATGTCAAATAGTCAGTCGTGCTGTGTCAGTTTATCTGGTTATTTGTGTATAAAATTTACTGCCAAATGAAACCGGTGCAAGTCCAACCACCTTCTTGATGCTGTAAATGACAAGTAACGACTTCCACGTTTATTAATCTTTGTCTGGGTTTTAACGTGTTTGCCTAATTATATTGTAGTCAGGAGTAGTAAGTAACCCGAAAAGTTAATTAGTCTAGACGTGCAGCTCGATTTAATGACTTGTGCTATGCATTAGTCAGTAGTAAAAATTATCGATCATTCCATGAGCAAATTACTAAAATTTTACGTTTTTATTTGTAATTCAGTATCTAAATCGGGCAAAGAGGCGACCAAAAATGCGATCCGCTCAATGGTTTTTCTGACCTCGGAGATTATTACCCAGTTTGCCGTGGGAATGAATTCCAAAACCCAAGAGACCAACCCTGACAGTGAGGGTAGTTGCAGTGCACCCGGTGACACCACTTCCTCCTCGGCTAATGTCCCACCAGCTATTGAGTGCATTCCTAGTGAAAGGACCTCGAATCCAAACTCTTCCATCAACCCATCCCCGTCCAGCAGTCCAACGCTTTGGACAAAGCTCAAACCCTCCTAGATTATCCTCTCGATAATTGCGATGATGATGAGGTGTGTGAGTCTTCTAGGTTTACTACTTCCATTTGCGACACTACCACCAATGCAGCTGTCGCCGCGAAGATGATCGGATTACATATATATCTATACATGATATATAATCCTATCTGACTATTTTTGTATATACCTCTCCTACTACTCTTTCAGCAGAAAGAAAATATCGTATTTGTGTGAGTTTTCTCTCCTGTTTTCAGGGAAAGTAGATCTACAGTAAGGGGTTCATCTCGATCCTGTGGTGAGCACTAGCATGCTCAAAGCACAGCCAATCAGAGTGGAGTACGGAAGGACTAGACGTTCGGTAAGGTTCATAGCTTAATCGCGGAGCAGAACCGTTTTGTAAGGTTGTGGGCCCATCCCCTCCACCCTGAGAGGTAAAAAATTTCAGCCGCAAATATTTGTTTGCTTGCTGTTTTGCCGCACCGACAGGCAACTGCTTGCACTTCAAATTTTAAAATTCGCGATGTCCTGCCAAATGCGCGTCGCAGACGGCGCTCCCCCTCATCTCAGTGCCATATTCTTCGCCCCCTTTCAGAAGCACTGTAATTTCTCTCTTTTTCGTGTCCTTTAATATCGACACAGCTTTCCCTTTTTAAATTACAAGCTGTGAAATTCAGATAATCCTCCAATTCGGAGGAAAGCAAAATTTGGGGAACTGCAAATTGGAGGTTTTGAGGCTCGAATGGCGTTACTGCCACCTTGTTAGTCCCCAAACTTGTTAGTCTTTTTGGCTAACCATTTTGAACAAAGCCAAACGCAAGAAAGAGTTAGAATATTCAAGTGAAAAGTACAACACTATATATTCTTCCCGTTTTTTTCAACGTCACCTCCCAAAAGACGTAAAATGGGATACCAGCAAAGAAGAGGATTTATGCCTAACCTGCAGAAGTGCTAAGAGGTCATAAAATAGACAGGAAGTCATAACGTCAACAAGATTACTAAAGCACAAGCGGAAATGAAGAAACCGTATTTTCCGATACTTCTTGTGGTCATTCTACCTCCTTTGGTCATCGTTTCAAGGCTAGAAATGGCAGTGTTTTCTTCTCGTAGCTTTCCACAGATCAACAAGTATGTACTGCGGCGATTCCACAGCTGAAGGTTTACCAGCTTGCGCGGGGTTACCCCGGAACGCATTACTCCCCGCCCGGTTGTTTTGGCTCATGGACAGTTGCTTGGGATATTGGGAAGCCGACTTTTCTCCACAGACGTCTATCAGTTCTAAAACCAGCGCTCCCGAATTACCACCCGACCCAATTATTACTCACCGGAGGGCAGAAGACAGTGAACGCTAAAACAGTGTAGCCTTATCGTTTGGTTGGAATAGATTGCAAATCGCCACCGCAAAATGACCCCTAGAGTTCACCACTGGAAAGGATAGCAATGGCATAGCCGCCAAAATCGAGGCGACCAAAGATCTAGCATAAGTAAGCACCATAAATAATTCTCCAACCGCTCCTAGTTGGGTAATTTGCAACACTTCTCCTCCTTCGTGGATAATTACTGAGACGGGTAGTCGGGCAATAAATGTCCACACCCCTCGCTTTTCCCATCTTTGTTTGTATCCCCTAGTCATTCATTTCCTTACTCTGTTTGTTCGTCTTCTTTGTAGATTTATTGTGGGTATTCAGCGGATGGGTTGATTGGAGGGCTCCCTTCGCATGTAGCGTCTGTGATTGGTCGGGTGTTTTTAAACGATGGAAATAAGTGAAATTTTGCAGTGTGCACAGTCAAATCATTGGCAGGAGGAAAAGGCAGCATCGCTGAGCATGGAGAGGGTGATAAAAACGCCGGATGGTTCCTCTCTCATGTCCATACAGTAGTTCAATTGGCCTCCGCCTTGGCACATTTGAAGCCCATCTCCATACGGTATTGACCAATCGGAGGAGGAGGAGGCGAAAAAGAGCGCAAATTCCAAAACGTCTGAGGAAACAAAGCCTAAAAATGTAAAACGGCTTTAAAATTAATCACCAGTCGTCACGATCAGATGGTTGTCTGTACGAGGCGCCTGAATCTAGATGAGCAGCAAATAAAGACAGCACCGACGCGGATGGGCCAGCACAGCGGCACGGAGTGCGTGCGCACGCGCCCAGCGGCTGGCCAGCGAAAGCGGCCGGACAATGGGCCCGAGGCTGGGTCAGCGCATAACCCTGTCAGGATTGTAGCGGCGGAATGACCTTGGTAGTAGGGCAACCACTAACGTACTTAAAGTAGGGCTATCGCAATCTCAGCCAATCAGAAAAGGGGGGTGAGTAAGGGCGCAATTTCCAGAATGTTTTGGGCCAATCTCTAAAAAAGTGGAACCTTACAGAACAACAAACAGGACTGCGTTTTTCTGTTTGGGATTGCGGGCATCCCCATCAGGTAGCATCTATATCCTGTCCTTTTGAAGGTACCACAGAAAATATTTCCATCCATTCTCCAAATCTGGGCAGTTTTAAGGAAGCAATTTTCCGGTTAAAGCTGTAAATTTCTCAATAAAAAAAAAGAAAAGAAAATTAAATAACGGAATAGTCTTGACTACAAATTTGTCTATCTAGTCAGAAGCCCTCTTTCCTTATTTATGAAAAAGTTCACCTCATATCTAGCTATCTAGCCAAATTTTATCCCACCACAATTTAGAACTTTGCGGCTTTTTTTAAAAAAAAAGAGAAAACAAATTAGCTTAATGACTTTTCAAAATCGTCAAAGAGCTGATTTCTCCAGCAATGTGTCATCGATCAGCTGTTCTCAGGCTTCCTAATCGATAATACATGGAATTAAAAGTACAGAAATGTCAAAATGGAGATCCTCCCACCCGACTCCCGTCCACAGCATGAGGAGGTGGAATGGAAGCTCTCTCCAATTATGAGGGTGGCTTTGAAAGCCGTCTTCAGCGACACAGTGGAGGAGTTCTCGATGATACATAAAGCCGCCTCTTGTGGTGCCTCTGTGCTTCAAACCCTCCCTGAAGGGGAGGAGGGTGTGGAAAAGAATAGTGACACCTTGATAAAAGAGTTAAATAGAATATTTTTTGAGACTCTGGTCCGTTTTGAACGGTGTCGTCAGGAGGACTACATCGCGTTGCCAGATGGATCATTTCGTAAACTCAATGAGGAGGAGAGCAATTTACGAACCTTTTTGGAGGAGGTTAAAAGGGTGATAGATATTTTTCAAATACTTGAGAGGGAGATTGATGTCTGGGGCACCTTCAAGTCTCTACGAATGCATTGCGATGATAAACAGGCGATAGTGGATATGCCCCTAGATTTGGCTAAAACTATTATGGATAAGGATCAGATGATAAAGTTTATGCATGAAAAGATCCACCAAATAGAGAAGCATTTTGAAAATCAGAGGCTGCTTTACGATGAGGTAATTAGGCGGCTAAAACATGAATGGCAAGAGGCTCGTCAATTGTCACTGATGTCTTACAAGTACCTCAAGGCCTCTTACAGACAAAGAGCCGATCACTACAGCATCATATGTGATGAGGAGACCAGAGCCCTGAGTGATAGTGCGCAGAACTTTAGACAGCGTCTTAACACTGAAAAACGCTTAATTAATGAGACCTCCAGTTCCCTGTTCGGTGAACTCGATCTACAGGCCAATCATTTGAAGTATCTTCAAGGCCTAACCAGGGTTGAAGATCTGTCCTCCGAGTTAGATGCTTTGACAGCTAGTCTGGAGAAGTTGCGTAAGGACCACGAGAACCTCAAACTCGAGTACGCTCAATGTGAACAAGTGGTTTTGGATCACAAAACCGCAGAAGAGAAAAGAAGGTTGGAGGAGGAAAATAATCAAAAAACTTTGGTGGCTATTTTTCAGGTGCAAGCTTGGTGGCGAGCCATCATGGTAATGCAAGGTATTAAGGCAAAATCCAAACGGCGGGGAGGAAAGCAAAAAAAAGGAAAGAAGGCGTAGTTATGTCGTTCTATGCTACCTTAGTTGACACAAAAAGTGTCGATCTACTGTATGCTCTACTTATAAGTTATAAGTAGGTAATCTCGTGACGCTTTTTTGTCATTTGATACCTGGTAATTACGGCCCTTTTCTCCACTTTGAAGTGGATAGACATGTTGCGAGGATAAATTCGGGGCACTGTCTTCCTAAAAAATGACTAGGAGTCTCGAGAGTCTAACTACGCACGACGGATTAACTGTATAGGTGGAAAAGCGGATATCAAAAAAATTTCTTTTGAATTCCGATGCTATTCGTAGTCATAACTTGTAGCCTCTTCACCAAACTTCAGTAAAAGGCATCAAAATAACGTATTTCCCGTGGTCTGCACTACCTTTTTGTCTATTCTAAAGCCTCAGCGGAATTGATTCGGATAGATGTGGCCAACGCCTGTCAGGTAACAGTCGGTTTAAAAACCGGTTAAGGTGGTTTCTTGTCTGAAGTGATGCTTCTTGTGTGGCATTTGACGAAGGGGGTGTGTTGGCTGACCTGAATATTTAAAAATGGTCTAAATTTGTTTGATTTGGGTGGATGATGAGTCACGGGATGGTGATTCAGCGGGTTCAGAATAAGACTCCTTCTGAATTCGCTATTACGAGGTTGTAGGATGCTTTTTTTCACTCCTCACCCCCTTCCCCTACCCACTGTCAGTGATACAACCTGCGGATGTAGAGGAGGCTACAGCTACGGTGTCATAAGTGTCCACTAATTCTGTGCTATTAAAGACTGATCGAGGTTTTACAGCTGACCTATTCCTTATGACGACAGCTAACAGCGGGAAAATTTGTCCGAAACGGAACCTCTCAATGCATTCTTGGCCCCAATTTCTCTTGTCAATGACTAAAAGAGTGATTATTTATTTTTTTTTTTTCGAATCGGATAGCAAAACTTCAGCATTGCTGGTCAAATTGAGGTGATTGTCAAGAGCAAACACGGATGCCATTCGTTTGCGATGTTTTGGCATCATAATAGCCCTTGAAATCGTGATTGTTGTTCCTTTCGAGCGGATTGTTTGTTCCTGCCACCAATAGGATACTTAAGCCATCTTTATGTCCTAAAGGGTCGGACAGTTACAGACAAACAGCTAACAGGTCAGGGCGCGGGTGGGGAGGATCATGGCCAAATCCTATCACACAAATGCGACTCAGTTACAATACTACTTAACTCCAGTAAGCCATATCTTAGATGCAAAATTTGAACAAAAGATGGCCGATTTTTTTTCGAGGCCTACTTTTTCGGACAACGCTTCCTGCAACTCGTACCACAGCTAGAAATACGCGGTAATGGGACAGACAAGCGCAACCGCGCACTTGTGCGTACGTGCATGCGTAAGTGCGTCCTTGCGAGCGGACGGTAGCTGCACGATGGTTGGCCAAAGATGGTCAGACAGGCGCCTCGGTGATGCAAAAACTGCCTTTAGCTGCCTCGTCGAACTCGTGGCCTAGCTTGAAGAGGACTGCCCTAAAAAATCACTATTTTATAATGCCCGCCTTCTTCTGCCCATTTTTGTCCTTTTTTAAAAAGCAAAAAAGGGGAGCTGTACTTCTTGAATGCTACTTTTATGAGAGGCTTCATCTCCAGAAGCCAAGTAAGAAACAGCCTTGACTGCCCCACCGCCTTCCTCTTCCGTTTATCATGTCACTGGCATCTAGCTCCAAACTATTCATAGCATGTCTACATCAACCAGTTTAGTGCCAAGGGAAGGCACTGAGAAGTAAGAGCTTTCGATGTGAGATTGCCCAATTCCAAGAAAAGCTTTTGATCCAACGGAGTTTGGAGTGAATCATTATCTCCCTTCCTCCTTCCCATCCCATTTAGTCCCATCACGGAGCTTTTAAAGCTTTGGAGGTGAAAAAACTGCTAATACCCTGGATTAAGTAAACATTATGACTTGACAAAAAAGGGATTCATTGACCCTCGTACTGATTTGTTCTGATGGGATGTGACTAGCCGCCTCCGTCACCTGATTGGCTAGAGCCTAAGGCATGCCCCGTAGAACGCTCTCCTGCATGGCGACATTTTGTGGCTCACTCGAAAGCAAGAGAAACACGCCACTGACCTTACTAGGAATAGTATAATAAAAAAGTAGTTTGACCTTTTCTCTGATCAAGTGTCGGATTCTCAACCAAAGCCAGCGCCGAAAGCCAGCCTCGCCATTCATCTGGCGCATTAAGCCAACCACTTACCTAGGTTTATACAGTGGAGGTGCAGATCCACTTAGAGAGCAAGATTTACTTACACCTTGTACATCATTAACAACTGGCTACTGAGGCTGTAATTAATTGATGAGCCACTTTCAGATGTGACAATTGCGCAGATGAGGCGCTTAATGCTTGCCAAGGTCCAAAGGGAATGCTAGCGTCTTGGTTAGAGGTGCATCGTTTACTAGTTAGGTAAATAAGACCAGAAGTGTTATAAGTAAATCGAGAATAAGCTTGTGGAAATGGAAAACTAGTCTGCCGATTTTTCTATTGGCTTTGTGTCAAGGTTTAAATTACGCGGAACAGTCCTGCCGTCTGATTGGCTAATTTTCGCGGTTAAATTAGTATACACAACTATATTTTGGCGCCTTGATTAACACTTAAACTAAATTAGTAGGAGTAGTTTCCACTCAAAAAAGGCATTTAAAACTCCATTATTTACAGTGAACTATATAAAAAACACTAAAACGTAATTCAAACAAAAATTTGACAGACAGGCGGATGTGATGAAGGGAACACGTTACCTCTCACGTCGAGATATGAAACTGTGTGACTGATTTGTTTGAGAAAGAAACCACTCCACTGGGGCCTGGTTTGGATGACGCACAAATAGGGGCGCGTCTGTGAGTCATAAATGAAGTGGCTAAGTGTATAGGTCAAATGCCCGCGGTGATTGGGTTGCTTATACGGCAGTCTCTCACTTACCCATCTCTGTCTTCTTTATTACATACTTTTCAGTGATAGCCCAAAATCTCACAAATTTTTTTTGTACTCCCCTTTCTGTCACCTGATGACACGAAAAGTTGTCAAAAGGGAGATTGGAACAACTTCAAGTTACTATACGCGGTAAAGTGGATGAGAGATAGTTCGAATCACTTTAGGACTTGGAAGTGCTTTTTTGATAGTCAAGAGGAGATGGTTACAGTACTACTGAGATAATAGAAATCAGGGCCTGATTTAAGAAGGGACCTTCTCAACTCCTTCATCTCTACTACAAAATTTAATAGGTGATGGGAGAAGACTGAATGCTACTGCCTTCTGTGGCGGGTTAGAAAGACTGACTGACTGAGTAAATAATTACATAAATATTAGTCGGAACGACAGAGAGAAAGCAAACAGTGACACGGAAGTTACTTCAGGTTCCTTTGACCTTAGCAGGTACTGCGGCATGACTAGCGTGAGGTTAATGTTGCATTAGCTGATGTCGACATCCTGTTAGGCAGAGGAATGAGCCAAAGGCAACACTTGAATAGGCTTGATATACATTCAGCAGAAAAATCATTAATTCTCCACCCACCTCAGGAGTCACCTAGCCCATTAGGAAGGCCTCCTCCTACTGCATGATTACCCTTTGGGGTGCCTTTTCAGTATATCAGCCTGTCTACGTATCAAGAGTGTTTAGCTAAAATCCACTAAATGGACAAACCTACTATGGTGGATGATTTACAAGCAAACTGTCATTTTTCTATGTGAGTAAAGCCCATTACCTGCCAAGGCGTTTCCACATAGACGCGTCATCCTTCGAATGCGCATGGACCTCTCTTGGTGCGGCAATGATGACCAAATTGACCTCCAGACAGGATTGGTGAGGTCACCATTTCCGTCGCGCATTTTGTAATTACTAAGAGAACACATTTTGCGGTAAAAGGAACGCAAGCAGGCGTCAGTAGGTAGGGAGCGTTAGTGGGTTTGATGTTTGACAATTTACTTACCGAAGTAGTTATAATTTCGTTAAATTTTTGGGGCGGAAGTTGACTGCTTAAAACTCCTGATTGTTTATTTATTCTCGACTACCCCTTAATTCAATTCTGAGATGAAGCTAGGTCAGAAATGCATCTATTTAATACACAGAATAGGTCTGAAAAGCGGATCATTCAAAGACACTAGAAGAGCCCCACCTACAGTTGAAGGTACTGTTAAATCGCACAGCGATGGCAGCGTGGAAAATCCCGCAAAATATATTAACACAGCTAACTGCAAATTGTATGACTTCTTACTTTTGGGAAGTTTGACAAATCCCAATTGTTCAAGGCTGGCATCTTGACTAGGTTCACACTGTCAAGGGCGCACGTTAATTTAGACCATAATCACGAATGGGAAAAAGGGAAAGTGTAATTTAGCCACGAGAGAGGGAGAGCGAACCCAAGGAGTATGCTACAAACCCCATAAGTTGCACTTGATCATTCCTTTCGCGGTGACTTAACATTCCCAGTTTGGTAATTAGTTTAGAATGTTTTTCTATTGGAAGTGCAAGAAAGGTTGCACGCAGCCCTCTACCCACATCACGAAACCACTTAGTGATCAACTATCACTTACAAGATCATGCCAGAAGTGTCGCCATAGTGTACTTCTTAGGGGCGAATTTCTAGTATCTAACACTACGAAGAACGATGTGTGCGCATTCAGTACAGGATTATGTGGTGGCGGATAAAATTGCATGCTTTTTGCTAAGAGAAAAAGCGGTTTACACATGTCGCATATATTACCTAAAAATATTCACCGTCCCAATTGGTCTATAATTAACCAATGGATGTGCTCGCACAAATAACCATTTGTCAGCTCATTTGCCATTGATCCTGAAACTCTCTTTCAATTGGTCACTAGAGAAGAGACAGTTTATTGGCTCGCAGACGACCAACAGAAAGGCGAAAAAAACGGATCCAAAATGGAGGAACTTAAATCATTTTGGCTATTCTTCCACTCCCACGTTTGGCAGTTATGCCGAGACCATCAGAACGCTAAAGAATTAACCTCTCCGCCTCACAATTAACCTTCAATGTATTCGCATCCCGTTGTGGCGGTCGAAGTGGAAGCGTAACCGCAATGGGAGACGCACCTGCCAAAGGGAAGGCGGAAATCACACCGCCTTCCACGCGCCGCACTGCCAGTACCACACACAATTGGTCTCTTGACCTCCCCTCCGACATGTGCACATAATGGTACCTCCAAAGGCATCATTCTTGACCGTTCCTGCTAAAAAAAGAAAAGAAGGTACATTTACGGGAAACCATTTAGGTAATTAAATGAGAATGTCAGGGGGGGGGGAAGGAGAGGCGGAGAGATGAGCGAATCAACAATGGTATCATCGAAGAAAACAAGACAGGTACATAGACAGATAACACAGTTGGAGACAATAGACACAGAAATTGATAAATAGAGAGCAAGACGTGAAAGAATCGGTTGGGAAGTACTTAGCCATGTGTGTATGTGTGTGAATGTGGGTTCAGATTCCCTTCTCAAGCGTCGGCGACACCATCAGCACTGTCACCACCGTTCACGTAGTCAACAGTTGACTTGTCAGTGCCTCCACTTTGAGCCGCAATTTCAGGTCCACCGGCATTGCCACCTGCGTTGTCGTCGGATTCATCAACGTCCTCGACTGTTTCCAGCCAATGCAACCATCGCATGACCTAGAGGAAAAACAAAAGGCAGTTTCACAAAAAAAGAAACTAGATCGAGTGAAAGGGAAAAAAAGTGACGTGAGGATGCTCTCGAAGCCACAGACCTGTCCTTGTCCAGAAGTAACCGACTGCCGTTCGCAAAACCACAGCTTCAAACTACCAAACTCCACAACAGTAGCCAAGACCAAGCAACCACATTTGGATATGATATATACTACTGAAAAATATTGAGCATATTGTGATTACAAACTGGTTTGCAATATGAGGACTAGTGCCGACGCGAAAGAATGGAGCCTTCTGGTCCATTTACTCACTAGTCCTAGTTGACGTCCATCTGGCCTATTTGATGACAAGGGAAGGTGTCAATCACTGCACAGTGAAATTGAGAAAATACACAAAGCAACAATCCTCCCACAGGTCAGTTTTGCTGTGCTATGCTACGACGGAGGGGCGCAAAAGGGTAGTATGATTAGTAAAAATTATTTTACCCCTCCCAAAGTCTCCCATTTTTAGCACTTTGGTAATCCAGACAACTGACCTCAAACAGAGCTTGCCCCTTGGCCGGGTAGTTTTGGTCCACCTCTTCACGCCACGCCAGAAATGCCGCCTTCTCGACCAAATCGAACTCGTAGAGGTTTTGGAAGCACCGCAACACAAAACCTGTAACAGGAGTAAGCACAAGACCTGATTTCACATCCCAGTTGTGAGTTCCACAGTAGCTTCAGATAGAGCCCAGGAGGGTTAGTTTAATGACACCGAGGCGATAAATGGCCATCTGCTAAAATTTCCAGCAAGTTATATGAAATACTCCAAGAGAAAGCCTTCAGTAAAAGGAATTGACTGTCTACGAAGCAATTAGGGCTGACTTGTGCCCAAGTGTATTGAAGACGAGGAACACGAAGATTTAATACCAGGAGTTAGGTGTAGACCAATCAGATGGATTAAGCTGTTCAGGGTGATTGGTTAAAAAAGTTGTTGAGTTTTTCGCACGGACCTCCAACTTAAGGCAGTTAGCCAAAAAATTGGGCATGGGATAAGTTAATTCACAACACAAAATTGGAAATCTTCTTCTCGATGTGGCGTCAAAATCAAGAAGTGATAGGTCTACTTCTTTACTTTCCAGAGAACCTAAATTAGACGATCAAAAATCTCGTTACAATGTGCCAGCCATCCACTCTTGGCTATAGCAGTAAACGAGATGGGTAACTCACACCGAAATCCACAAAAACGACTAGTAAAGCCGCCTCCTGTGCAACAAATTCACATGACCACCTTTGCTCATGCCTTACTAGTTACTTCAACGATGTATTCGATGCAACGAACACATTGTCCTCCGGGTTGTCTTCTGCACAACAATTACGAACTCTTGTGCTTCACAGTAACTTCGTGTTCTACAAGAGGATGTACTTTTAAACGCAAAAATTGGATTGCACCATGGAAGAATGACAAGTATGTCACTCCAAACGTTTTTGCATTTCAAATGGTCATCAATAAAAAGTGTGTGCATAGCAACGCTAATGCATCATCACACCCCATTGTCAGTCATAGTACTTGGATCGCACAATGCTGTTAGTCATCTGGGTATGCATGGAAATCCACCTCAGATCTCCCCCACAGAAGCACAGTCTACCCTGATCTAGCCATATGAAATGGCCAAGCGAATTAAAACGATTTGAAAGACAGACTGGGTTCGCACCTTTTGGTTTGCCCTTGTCATTCCAAAAGACTTGCAACGCATGCAATACGTCCATCTGGCGTTCTGGTAGCACACATCTATGCAAATGACCCTCCGCAATCATCGCACACCATTCAGCCGCCTCTGCCTCCTCGACTTCATCCCTGTCGGTAGATGACGTGACGCTAGATCCAGCCACTCGAGCGCGTTCAAACGCGGCGCCCATGAGACTGTGCACCACCTCGGCACTTAGGTGACCTTTGAGACTAGGCACGTGGTTAGCAAAGGTACGCAGATCCTCACCACTTGTGAGGAGGGGACAAAGAGTCTCCACAACAAGGCGAAAGCAGGGTAGGAAGAAGTCAATACCGCGTTCTTGAAGGAGTTCAAGCATCCGCTTCGGTGACTGGCTGCCCTCTGAAAAAAAAAAACAGGACTTGAAGAGTTTAAAACCAACCAACTCAGAGTCAATCAATTGGCGGTCAACAAAACAGAGAGGTAACTACAGTCTTTGAGCAATGATGTCTGCTTAGAGGCCAAATGCAATTTATTAGTGCTAGATGATGGAAAGATGACAATGAAAAGACAAATTAAAGTGCTGCGAAATGCTTTTGACATTTAGGCATGGCCAGAGTTAAATTGAAAATCCACGTTGTTGCGCCTTTTTCTTTGCGTGATGAAGCATGCCAAGAATGCCAAGAGTACCAGCTGTCAGGTGACAGAACAAGTTTACTCGGTTATTAGCGTATTCCACTGCGGTGCTACGTAGTAAACTAAGGGGGCTTGCAAGATGCTTGTCATAGTTTGTATGCGGCAATCGGTGGGTTAGCCGCTTGAATCAGATGAGATGGATGGATAGATAGATGGTGATTCGGCCCAGTTTTCCTTGCAAAAACCGAGTTGAACTCAATTTCATGACTGTAGAAGCCTCTGGTAAAACAAGTTGGATAGCATTTGGAACAGCTATAGTGTGGTGTGGCAATGAAACCGTCCATTTGACTCTAGTGACGAAGAACATATCACACGAGGGTGATGCTGACGGTGCATTTGGCGTGAGTGGCGAGGCAGGCTGTTGGCATTTGCATGATAGAACTGATTAAGTTGTGGAAGCTACTAAATCGCCACTAAGTTACGATGGAAGCGGGGCGAATGACGTTCTACATTCAATAGTCGGTAGATGCCAACCAGCTTCACCTTCTCCGCGTGCGTATCTTTTAAGAACGCAAGTTTGGGAGGCAATTTTTCTCAAACTGACTGACTAACTGACCTGTGATGTAAAGCGATATTTACAGTCTTGCATCGCAACACCAAATAAACGTAGCTATCGCCGGTTAGTCCAAAACTGACTACTTCACGGTGCTAAGGTGGTGGGTTGTAGACGCAGTTACTGACTGTGAGGTGAACAGCTCTACTCTACACTACGCAATACAACTAGGATATATGGAAGACCAACTTCTGCCCGAGAAACAGGCAAGACTAAGTGAAACTAAGTGAAAGTAAGTAAAGCGGCCAGTGAAAAAAAGTCCACTTCCATCAACACGTTACAATATATGACCTCAAAACATGCCACAAAAAATTGACCTGTGGGAGGATTTACACACTGGGGTGGAAGGCGATGGGAGATACTGCTCATCACACTAATCGCATCTTGCGCATTCTCCTCAGGTTTCTCCCAGTAACGACAAACACCTCTCCCTGACATTAAACAGGCCAAATGGACATTAGAAACCGAACAAGCAGTTGGAATAGAAACGGGTATGTCTATGGCCTCCAGAAACGAGAAAAAAAAGCTCTATCAGGTGCCTCCTTCTAAGGAAAAAATCCCATGCAAGAGCCGGATTTACGCAGCAAGATTATCTCCTTCTAGGGGAGAGAGCATAGATTCCAAGCAAGAGAAGGATAATAATGCATTATAGTGAGGGAAATATGGATAACTTAAGTGACCATCTTGAAGACAGGTCAATCACAAAGCCCACTGGAGGATCAAATTTAAAATGCCTCCTTTTTTACTCAAAAAAAGTTTTCCCAACTTCCCTACCTAATTATCATGGGGACTTGGTAAACTTGACAAGCTGACTCTTATCATAGGAGGCTGGGCGTGATTTACCACCTTAGTTGAAGTGGCTAAAAAATTCGAGCATGAATTGTATAAAAGGAAGAGGGGAAATGAGGGACAAATTCATACTTGTCAATAGTTATACCCAACGTGTATCTTTTTTCTTTAGTCTAAAGTTCAATACAGATAGGATGCCACGTTGCAACAATGGTGGAACAAACGCAGCGCCCCACAGGTGTCCCGACGGATACAACTACAAGCACGAAGAAAGAGGATCGTTGGATAAAAAGAGTGGGGAATGGTGGAACGACCGACAAAGTCTCCAAGACACGCTGAATTGTAAGTGGTACATTCGCTACCCTCGTGAGTCATGGTACACTAAGGAATTGACAAAGAAATATGAGCACAAGTGATTGGGCTTCCCTTCTAGCCACCTAATCCGGTAGCATAAAATGTGAAAAGGGAAAAAAGGAGTGGAAAGATTTCGTCGATTTTGTATGGCTGTCAGCTATATGATGGTCTAATACCAAGAGAATGTAGTAATCATGACTTGTAGAAGCCTAATTAAAAGAATACAGAGGGCGGGGTGAAGCAGTACCTTCCTTTCCCCTAATTGTCAGCCTAAAGTACACATTTTCACATCACGGAAAATTTTTGTGGTATGAAGCAGCGGCCATCTTGGTGCGTTCTAAGAATAGGCTTTACTTCCACTTGACTGATCCACTAGACCTTGTGGTATTTTAAGAAGAGGTTGTTTCTGGACACGTTTGTAATGGGCGTTTAGCCCTTCAGCAAGGAGATTTATAAAACTCACTTGTCGCAAATGGTAGCATCATTAAGAGAAACCATGAAATCTTTCATTAGAAAATGTGATGGAAGCCAGTATGGATAAAGTCTGTCACTAGAAAATGAGACACCAACTTCAATGCCCAACCAACTATTGACAAAGAAGTAATGATCACCTGCACTCAATCGGTGATGTTGAAGAAGACAACCAGAGAAAAAAGTAACACGATTTAGAGTCGAAATAAAATCAGTATCGGAGCGATTTGGTGACACCGCAATCTGCCGCTTACCTGGAAGCATCTTCTCAAGCACCACATTACTCTCTGCAAACATCTTCACTAACTGTGCCCTCCTGTCCACTGAGCTTTCAGCAAGAGTCACACCCTCGGGAATAAAGTCCCCATCCTCTACTTGCTGAAAGGCCTTATTTTCATTTTCCTCATCTTGCATGCGAAGAAACTGGCCTGGAGACGCCCTTGACGCAGCCATTTGCGCAAGCTGCTGGAGGATGAGCAAGAATAGAGGATGATGACGCCCTGAAGACAGGGGTTCGGCCACCCTAGTTAGGGACAGACAGCCAGTGAGGATGAGTCGTGCGGTCAGGAAAGCCAACGCAGTCTTGGGCGAAGCGGCGCTGAGGCACTGGAGCACTCGGGGCCAAGCGGAGTCGAGAGCTGTGATGATGTGATCCGATTGTGGTTGCGACTGGGAGTATTGTAGGAGGGAGGCGAGTTGGCAGGCCGTGTGCTTGCTCTGACGATCCATAGAATAGATAGTAGAGGTGGCTATAAGCAAGAAACAATCAACTTTCTCAATCTCTCCTTTTTTTAGCTTACGACATCCCTTCAGTAGTTCCCATCTATGCACCTCCAGCACTGGTCTCACCTTAGAGTATTTCTTTTGTGAGAACCGGAAGTTAAAGAAATACTTCATACTTTCACACGAATTTTGCCGTGGGAACAATGCAAGGCAGGTTGAGGATGGAGCAAATGTGCTCGGTAGGAAGATAACAAACATAAGCACAATGAGTGAATGATTTGAGATGAGAAATTACCTTTGGAAGGTGATTCCAAACTTCGTGTTGAGTTGAGACGTTGAAGAAACAAGTGAAATTGTAATTTTGGCTAACGATGGTGTGGATCCCACTTGGTAAACATACACGGTCAGTAAAGGTTAATGGGTGGTGGGAATGTGAAGTTCGCTTCTGGTAAGCGACGTAAACCTCAAATCCAACTGGAGTTGACATTATGCAAATCTGGCCTCATCTGCCCTCAACTTGCAGAACATCGTCATTTGAGACCGATGGATATGAATATCATTGTGGAGTCCAATGCAGAAAAGAGTGAATAGCTGGTGACATCAATGAGTGTAAGCGAGTGCACGTGGCAAACTCGATCGTCTGAATATTCTTTAGAAAGTCCACATTTTAAGACCTCCTCTTGTGAAACGGAGAGTACAATGCGATCCATCAAAACAAGGTAAGTCGATGATTTGTGACTTCACTGTTATAATTGATCCTAACCCTAGATCTCGACTGGTTCAGGAGAGAGGAGCTTGATCTGAGACCAAGATAGAGAGTGATTGTGAATACAGATGTCTCAAGGCCTAGACAAATGCTGTCAATGCTTAGCGAGATCGCGCCTGATAAACGATCAACTAAAAGCAGGTCATGTAAGTGACCTAACCTATGGGCAGACCGAGGATGCAATCAGCTCTATTTGGGGTCGGGTACATGAACTAGCTACAAGGTAAAGAGAAGCTCTCAGGCCAATTAGGCGAGTCCTTATGTGTGGTGACAGTGGATGAGGCGCTGAAACACTATCCACAATCAGTCAGATAAAAGTACGCTTGTAATCAGAAAAGACCTACCATCAGAGAGAAGGAGAATGCTTTTTAGAATGACCTCCCTATTTAGGCGAGAAAGAAGATCCCTTGCTTTGAGTTGATCGATTGCCTCCTGAATACTTTTGGTCTTTGTGAGAATCCCAATCTAAAATGGAGGCAATTGCGAAAGACATCTTAAGTGAGGAGCCAAAAAGAAAGCTTTACCAAGGAGATGATAAAAGGAAACAACGTGGGAAAGAAAGCGTCGCCTTTTTTATCGACACCTCTACTGATGACGTGTCGATTAGATGGGAGGCAGTAGAAAGTCCCTTTGACAACCACTAATTGATGGTTTGTTTGATAGACTCTGGCTAATGGGATTTCACTTCTTTGTAAGTAGACACGGAGAAAGATATTTCATTGCAGGATAGTGTGCCAAATCACAAGTCTAAAATCGACGTGTTTTCGCTGTCGACTGACCCCTAGTAGTCAGAAGTCTGCGATACAAGGCACTTCTTTAGGCGCTTTGTGAACCCCTATAGTTGTTTAGTACCAAATCCTCAGAATTTACTGAACCGCAACTATGGGAACGCATATCATATTAGATAAACGGCGAAAGTTAATGAAATTGGTGATAAATGGATGAAATCGTCGGGAAGGTGAAAACGGTTTTAACTATGGGCATCAAGAGTGCTGTCAGCCTCCTTGGAGGAACTGATAAAAATCCAATTTTTTAAAATAATCCGCATATTGTATCCAGGTTAGAGTTACGGGGGTGCGTCCCAGCCTAAAAGATAAATAATTCCACATTGGGCGAATGTAAGAAATTTACCAAAATCTCATGAAAGGGAGCGAATCAAAGGGTCGTACTAGCCTTTGTCTCGGAATCGTATGCAGTTTTAAAGTAATAGACAACGGTGGCGATGATCATTTGCAAGGATGCAACACCCAGGGGAGTACTAAGAATGAATATCAAAACAGAAAGAGGAGGACACATAACGCAGAATGAAAACTTAATCAGGCAGTCAACTGCTCTTGTCAGTGTAACTTTCAAGCCGGATGTGCGTGACTATGATAAAAACGTCTGTACTGTTCCAGTTACCAACTCCCTTGATATGGGTTATAAAAGAAACCACAGAGGCAAAATTTTATGCATACATTTACAGAGGAACGCCTCATAAATGGAGAGACTTTAGGAGGTATGAAGATGAGCAAGCAAAAAATAATAAACAGGAGGGATTAAGCTTGAAGGTGAATCAAAATGAGAATGAGTAGATGGTCTAATGGATAAGAGACAGGCCAAGGATTGAGCGAATGAGTGGACAGACGAGGAATGGACGCGTGAACGAATAGTTGAAAGATTGAGGGAAAGTACGAAAAACAAATGACCGGACAACTAGGGTAGGGAGTAGTGTCTGGAGCAAGTGATGCATTAAAAGAGGATTGAATGAAGGGATGATTGAAGACCTTGAAGATGGGCAGATAAAGGAACAGATGGACAGATAAGAAGTGATTGGATAGAATGAAGAACGGAAAAATCGGCAAAAGACGAAAGAGTAGATTGATAGATAAGGGGAAGAATAAATAAAAGGTTAAATTAATTAGCAACCAAAATAAACGGAAGAATTGATCAGGAATAAGAGAAGCGATTATGGGACGAATGGGTGAATGTATAATTGGATCAACCGAAACTTGACGGACAGAAGGAACCCGAGAGAGTAAATATCCGTCCCCAAATAAGCAAGCTGGCTCACCACAGTCCTCGCAGCCTCTTTATTTTCATCAATTGGCGCCTGTTTCTCCACATACGTAATCACAGCCGGTGGTGCATGGTGCAGCTGCTGTCGTGGTAGTGGAGGCGAAGGCCGCATAACCGGCGGTCTCCATAGTCCTCCCGTCAACTGTCTTACATCCGTCCGTCCCGTCATCATTGCATCCAAATCGGGACTTGGCGTTGCTGGTGTCACCGCCGCCGATGAGGCACACGAAGTCGACGCTCCCTGACTCTCCGATGCCTTTTGTGCAGACTGCAAGCACTCCGACTAGAGAAGAAGGAAGAGGGAGGTAATTTATTTGATTGTGGTGGTGCGATTATACAAAAGCGTGTGATGATGACGGTGTATCTCGTCAACAAAGTCCTAAAACCAGAATACACAGCTCTTCCAACACAGTACGCCACGGTGATGGAACTCAAAGCCAATTAGCAGTGAGATATTTAAATGGTATGAACCCTTCAAAGCCGTACGTCTGTACAACAGTGATGACCTTGGCTGCGCAGGTCATTTGTCACAGCAGTCATTTAACGCCATGATCATTCACCAAACACGTGAAACGTTTGATCGACACAAAACCTGTCAGGAGTTTGCACAAGACTAATATTCCCGAGAGAACGGTGGACCCAGTCGATAACAAAAATCTGTAGTTAAGAGAAATTGATGCGAGTCGGGTGCCAAGACATCTATCCGCCTTTGACCAATGCCACACTAAACGCTTTGCCAAAGAATGACAGAATTTTCTGGACTGCGCCATTACATGAAATGAAGAAGTGCCTCGGATGTCAGCATTTCAGCGCCGATGATAAAGAGATGCAGATCGTTTTAGGGTGATTTAGCTATAATAACAAAAAACTGTGGCACAGCCATTTGGAGGTCCGAGCTGCATCCTGAGGTAGGCATGCATATATCAGATTAGCCCAAGAGCAAATACAGCTTCCAATCCTTTAAAATGTGTTCGTAGGTGAAGTCACCTCGAAAAGCGACGCACTGTTCAGCCCCGCAACTGCTGCTGTACGACCTTGACAGTAGAGATTCCCCAAATTCGGACTCTGATGAGATCGATAAGGACGCCTCTCAGCGAAACGGCGTCTAGTCCATGATCCGCTGCACTCATTACTCACACCATAGTTTCCATCATTGCTGCCACAACTGCCAGCAGAGGCGGCTGTGCGGTTGTGAGAAGTGTTGGCACCACCACCGCCACTGCTGTAGCCACTGTCCCGGTTGCGATGGCTGGTGGTGCTCAGAGAAGCGGAGTCAGTGCTAGAGAAGAGGTCGATGTCTTTGCCACGTGAACAGAGTGCCTTGCCCATCTGGTTGAGTGTGGTCCAGTCCCCCTCGGGCTCAAGAATACCTGGAAAGTGGCCGAGGACGCTGCGACTCCCGGGAGCGGTCCGAGATGCGCAATTCCGTGAGGAGGTGCTATTTGATCCCTATTGATGGTGCAGATGGGGGTTCGGGTTTAACTGAGATGAACCATTTGGCCAATTGATATTACGCACTTCAATGTTACAAGAAACAGATAAAATAACTTAAAAAAAGGATTTACCCAATCAATGATGAGGGCAGAAATCTTGCTTCTATAATTTTAGCTGTCAAGGCAAGCAATCCGCGCAAATCAGCGGTGTTTTCAACCGCCTAGCATTGCAACAGAAAAGTGCAAAATTTTTCTCAAAACAAGTCAGTCAACAAACGATCCTTTCCCATCAACGCGCTCGTGCGTCGCACGTCAAAGAGAACACAGCAACAGCCTTGGAATATTTTTGCCATCTACTGGCACATGACATTCAACACCCACCTAAATTAGTAGCTTTTAAGACTTTCCAATTTATGCGAACGTCAACCAATTGTTTACTCTTCTGGTTTTTGTGGCTTAATGTCGAAGTGTTTCTAATAACAGTGACACGTTCTCCTTCATTCTCAATAAAAGTAGAGCTTTCACTACCTTGTACACGAGGCGTTGTGCTATTGCACACCCCCTAAGTGCAACACAAAACATCTTACGGAAAGCTTTTGCAGTGTGGGAACGGAGTTAATCTCCGCTCGTAAAGGCGACAAGTCGTGATAACCATTAGGCTCTAGCCACATTTTAAGATATGGGGGTTTAAAATAACAGAAATTAGTCTTAATCGGAGCGAAGAGTATCATGTCGATAGAAATATGCATATATATATGCTTTATTATGCGTGCATGTAAACAATCGCGTACATTTTGCAAGTTCCTGCAAGTTACAACAATGAGTTATTGCAGTGATCCAGTTCACTGGTAATAGGCTGAAGCACAGTGATAAAACTGTTTCAATGTGCTCATGTAAGCCGGTAAAAAGAGGAATTCGAACTATACGGTACTCTGCTCAATTCACTTATACTATTCAAGGGAGTAGTGATAATGTAAACGAACACTGGTAGGACTATAAGTACCGAAAAAGAAAGTCAAGGTAGGTATTGGTTAGGAATGACAAAGATAATGCAACAAAATACCCTTTCTACCTCTCAAGACCAAACAGCAATGACTTCAGCAAAAGGTTCACCCTACAATACTTAGGATGCTATTCGACTCCCCTCCAGGGTTGTATGGCTGGCAATGCAACCTGAGCAACTGGATACCAGAGATACCAGAGACTCACCCTATCGATCGCTTCTCGCAAATCCGGTAGAAGCCAGGGTTGATCGTAATCAGCAATTTGACCTTCAAAAAGCGGCCTCCACTTGTTTTTGCGCAGATCAATGATGTCCAGCAACATGAAACGAGTGCGCGTGCTCAGAGGGATAAATTTCCTTTCAGAGCAACTCTTTCGCATGCGCTCCGGCGAAGCACGCTCCACAATTTGCGCTATACGCTCGAAGTACTGGTCCATCAAGTTGCGCGCCTTTGGCGAGTCCATATAGGATCCGGCTATTTTCATGAATTCACATAGGCATTCCATGTCCAAGGCGACATGCTCGTTTTCCTTCGGGTAGACTGTAGTAGAACTAGTACCCTCCTGGGGCGGTGGCAATGCCAGCCCATCAGACTTTCCGGTTTGTTTACACAGGAGGAGGGCTTTAACACAGTCGTGGAGTATCTTATCCGGTATAGCCTTGATGTAACCCAAGTGGGCAATGAAGCGCACAGCACCGATGCAACGTTGGCGCGCGACTGAATTGGTGAAATCAATACTTTGACGCTTAAAGAATTCATTTTCACAACGCTTGAGAAGGAGGAGTTTGAAGGTCTAAAGGAGCGCTACATAACCGCCATTGAAGCTTACGGAATAAGCGTTTTCAGGTTCAAAGTTACGCGCTCGTTCACAAAGAACCACGCAAAGTTGTGAGTAAAGATAAGTGAAATTGGGCTCATTAGCAGCCTTCTGAAAAATCTAGACAAATACATCAGGGAAGATTAAAGAACACACTCACCAGCTGAACGAAAACTTCAAGGACATCTGGTGACTCGACATGGATAGCTAGGATACCTTTCACTGAACTAAAGAAATTATCCGGGGTGACTTTATTTAGCAATCTAATGGGAGAATAAGTCAGCGGAGTTGGAAGAGAAATCTTACAACAGAACCTCTCTACGGGTAGCTTCTACCCTACTAAGAGGCGGATAATTGGCTTTTGAGGTCGACTGCCATGCCAGTGGTTTATCAAAATTCAACTGAGTCTGATTGACAGAAGGTCTGTTAAACCGAGAGCTAGGTTTGCTCGCCGAGTCTTTGTTACTACTGGCGAGCTGTGCACCTGTATCCAGAATTTTGGCCGATTAACGTAGAAATGAAAAAGCACTAATAAAATCTAAAAAATAGATTTACGCCTGCAAAAGACCTACGGGAAAGGGAAAATAATGTTGTTCGCTTGTAATTCAATGTTACAACTAATTTGACAAATCGATAACAACGCACACGGGATTTGAAAGACGCGGAGTAAGGCTTGTCGCAATGGAAAACACCGTTTGAATGAATTGAAGGTTAAGGTTGGCAAAAACTTAAAACGAAAACAATGAATGCAACCCAAAATTGACGGCAATTAATTTACTTTAGTCAAGGTCAAAATTAAAGCTCCTTTTTTTAACACTTTGCTCAAACATTCAGCAGCCAAGTCCTTATTTATCAGTGATAGTAAATGATCAGTTTAAGTAATAACTCTTGCTATTTTTATTGCACTTGTATCTTAGTAAGTTAACTAAATTATTGCTCCAATACTTAACAACATTTATGATGCAGAAATCAAGCTTTTTCTCTATTATTTACCCATATAATGTACAGGGATTTCCCTCATTTTTCACCGAATACGTAGCGACCGTGCCAAAACGCCTTTTTTACCTCTCGCAGCCTAAATTTGGAAGAAAGCAGCAAAGATTTTATGGCATTAATGTCGCTCCTTGCACTGAATTTAGGGTTTTAGTTAAGGTCATCCATAATTACATATTTGATCAAACTAACGGTCTTTAATTTTCCCTCCCATTTTTTAACCCTTATACTATGAGCGACAAAGAAGACCCTAATAAGTAAGTGTGGTTAATTTTTTCCACCCATGAAGTAAGCCTCCGGGACCTAAAAGGGACATCTTCATGGAAAGTATCGTTCACTGCTACCAACGCGGTCATAGAATGGAAAGCCCCGCCGAGAAGATGAAGCACTTTAAATGTCCGGCTTAGTAATGCAGGAAAAACCCTTTCACAGGGTGATAGGGGTACCAAAAGTGAGTCAGCAGGGGAGGCAGTCTACCGTCCAGCACGGTTCCCATTTCCTATAGTAGCTGTTCCAAATACTACTTCTGGTTCCACAGATCAACTCGCCGACACGGATGCAACTCAAGCATTGGAATCAATCCACAGCACTACACCTTCCTAACATCCTTACGCTAGTGTCTACCCATACTGACACCCCACCCTCAGCTTTCGCAACTGTATATCTAGTGGGGTCGTCTAGATGCAGCCGCGGACGCTCATCTTTCATGCATCTAAAAGTCGTCGGAATTTAGAACGAGCCTCTTTACCCAGGACTACACTCAGGAAAATCTGTAAGTACGACTGGCCTCAAATGAAACATCTGAAAGGAAAACGTTGGACACCGTTCAACGCATTCATCGGGATCGCCTTGATCCCGTCCAGACCACCTGAGCACCCCACTTTGCCCTACAGAATTGACATTCCACCCGCCAAATCAATAAGACAAGGAAGGATAGTCTAGTGGACGCTCCGATCGCCTACTTGACGGTATATTCAAAGCGTCACATTCGCCGAACTGGTACCACTAACCTATTCCATTTCACTGATGGTGAAGTTATGACCCTCCAAGAGGCGCTTCGACACTACAGCTAGGCTGGGCCGAGGGAAAAAAGCCTCCTCAGTAATACAAACTCAAGATGTTCCAGCTTTTATGGACCTACCCAGCAAACAACGACCCAATTCACGGAGGAGGAAGCCCATCGGCAAGAGAACCAGGCGCTACAGTTCTTGTAATTCCATCACGTCGACATACCGCCAAACTGAAACACACACACACACACGCACATACACTCCTCTGAGAGTTTAGTCTACAAATTCTTCGGGCCTCGTTTCACCTCCTTCACGCCTCCCGGGTTCGCCTTCACCGCAAAAGTCTGACATTTGGCCTGAAAATCCTTCATTGACAGCGCCAGAGGAGTCAACTTGCCCACAAAGTCTAGCAATGGCACGTACTCCTCTGAGCCAGTCAACTGCTGCACTGCATCATCTCCAGCACACCACATCGAGGCTAGAGGTAGTGGACGACCGAGGTAGCACACTCTGACCCACATACGGCTCGCTTGCATAGTAGACCAATCAAGGTGGGAGTGAGGTGCGTCATCCGGATAGACTAGCGCGTCGTTCAGGTGTGCGCGATGGTACGAGGGACCCAGAGTCTGGATGTACAATTCAAAAGTAATGTCCGCGCCGAAAGGCGGCCACATCTCGTCACAGGAATCGAGAGTCAGGAGCATGGGAAGGATAGTGGAGTCATGAACCGCGAACAATTGCAACGGTGGAATACTGTGATAGAGAAGGGGAAAAATAGGGTGAAAACCTCCAGTAGGAACAGTTCAAACCTTCACATTCTCTAGACATTGAGATATGCTTCTGGAGTATGATACGGAGATCAGAAGAGATGTTAGTCGATCGAAAGGACCAGTTTCAAAAACTTCCCTCCAAGAAGCTGTCATCAATGAACTCAGCCTCTCCCCAGCCAATCTTGCAGAGCAGGTCTTTTCAAAGGTCCATCCTGGATCCTCTTTCCTAAGAATATCTATGAGCACAGAAGAGTAGATTCACCTCAACATTCTAGAAGTTTCTACTCGCAATTTGCACCTAGTTTCTGAACAACGTGAAGCAGTTTTTGATTTCCAGTTTTGTTGAGCTCTCTTTGGCCAGTATCATGCAGAGGCATCAAATACTCACTCTAAGGTCAGGGTCACTCGAAAAAGACAAAAGTACGCGAGAGTGGTGGCTACCCGGGTACACCCACACATCAAAGACATTTATTCTAAAGCCTATAGCCCCGCTTTGCTGTATTGGTTGGGACTAGGACAATATCCAGGCCCTACCAACTTAGGAAGGGTTATGAAGGCAGACATTTCTTTCCACCGACTCACCAGTATTCCTAACGCCTCACAAAGACTGCGCCTTGAACACACCCGAGGCTTAGCGTGTAGGCAGATCATAACCCTGCTGAAAGATTGCATCTGTAGTACATCACATACAAACGCACACACACAGAGAGAGAAGAAAAGCAAGCAGTCGTCTCACGACGAGATGAGGGGATGCACACCTCAAAAAAATGCGACGTAGATGGTGAGACAATCGTCTGAGGAGATAAACAATGACACGTTTACTTGCATAATATTGCAAAAGACGCCCACTTCTCGCCAAGAGTGGAGTCTCTTTTTCTTACCCTCGCGGTAATGGGTCACCCATCGGCAGAATAACCTTTTTGAAATATCTGTCTGCACGCCGTGTTCTTCATCTCCTCCTTGAAGCTTTGGGACCGGATAGAAAAAGGCAAGCTCAAATCCCCCCCCCCCTCGCTATTAAATTCACCTGACACCAGATGCCAAAAGGGTTCAAAGTGAAAGCGAGCACAACAGCGAAGCAATAAACAACGGCATCAATTCCATGGATCACTTTCACACTATTTACAACAAGTGATTGAAAGGTGTTGTACCGACGACAATATCGAAGGGTTTAGGGTACGTGTGCGGCGTATGTCTCATTTACAGGTCTGCTTCCGGTTTCGCCGTGACGGTGTCACTAGCACATATACCACTTCATCCTACGTAAACTCGCAAGGTTTGTCTCCCTCCCACCCCCACCCTGTCCATCACGACACAGATGTAAGGCTGGCACACCAGTGCGTTTGACAGAGTGGAAGGCATATAATACCCTCAAATCCCTCCCCTTCCACCGCAAGCGCTTTGTAACAAGGACAGATGAGATGAGGTAGAGAAGGAAGCAGTAACCTCCTTTTAGTGAGGCAGTAAAATAACAAATCACCAGAGTCCTAAAGAGTCTAAATCCACCGTGAACCGGAAATAAACGGACCAATTGATGTGGAAAAGAAAAGGGGGAGAGAGGGGTTCAAAGGTCGAGGGACTCTTCAGTCAAACACGCAGTCAATTAAGCACCATTATCTTCAGTCTGGGAAAATATGGAGAAAAGACTAAAGGCGAGCTAACTCAGGCGACTTAAATCAACCTCCGGACAAAAATTTACCCACATAATATTAAAAAATGTCAATAATAATAAAAGGTGAGACTACATTCAGTTGAAATGGATGCAAGAAAAGAGAAACGCACCTGGCATATTTGTGCATCTTAGAGAGGATGATGTACAGGACCGGTCCAATGTTGACAGGCAAATTTGCTACCCAATCTCTAAAGGAAAATGACAAGACGATAGAGCTAGTCTTAGCAGCTTCTCAAATTTCGAATGAATGACCAAAAAAGCATGCTTTGAAGTACAAACAAGTTCCGGTACCCCCTCAAAAGTACACATCATACTGTGCTGAAAATAGTGCACCAGAAGGCAGCAGAAATGCAGAGGCGCTGTGGCTCTGATCGTGTGGCATTGCACGAGTACCTCAGACTTGGAGTGATGGTAGTGCCACGATAAAAAATGTTAGACATTCTGCAACCAGACGAGATGGTGAAGTCGCCTACGAAAGCGAGCTAACTCAGGCGACTTAAATCAACCTCCGGACAAAGCGAGGACGTCAAGCACAATGAAACACGGTGTTGACAGGCTCAGTCACTAAGCGACAAGGCGTTTGAACGGTGTCAACGTCCCAAAGACAGCCGTATGTCTGGCAGCCATGGCGTTTACTGTGATCAGCAAGTACTGGGAACATTTGAGAAGCAAGTGGATCACAACTTGGAGAGGAGATGAATCTTGTCGCAGGAATGGGTACTGAGATAGCATCGAAGGCAAATCAAAACAGTCATTGTGGGTAGTTCAGCCGTACCAAAAAACACCCTACACACACTGACTTCACTTGCCAGGAATAAATGCACAGCCTAAGAATCTCGTCTGTTCAACCCTTCATAAACTCCAAATCTCAGTTTGACTTAAACAACGGCGTTATTTATTCGGGAGCTTAGATCACCACTCTGTTATTATAGTGACACATCTATACAGGTAGTCTATCACCTCCCTCCTTCCATACCGGCGTCTTGTTCGATTTTTAGAAAGCAGACTTACTCTCGTTTTCCAAGGAGTTCACTTAGCAATTCTACCGCACCGTAGTGATCCATCTCCGATTGGAGAGCATCCAACGCCTCTGGGATGGGGAATCCGTTGTGCTAAGGAGGGAAAGGAGCATTAAAATAATAACCATGGATTTCAACCTATGAAACAGAAAATTTCCTCATAGAACCTTGACAAAAAAGAATATTTAGAACGCCTAAAAGTGATGGCCGAAGACTTGTCAAGGAAAGCCTGGTAGGGGGAGTTGGTTCGGCCTCATATTACTCGGTCTCTGCCCTGATGCTTTACACTACCGATCTCTTGAAGGGTAGAGTGCTAGGAGGCGCCGGGACTCCTCCATTTTCTTAACATATCAACCTGGAAGTTGGTGACTTCTTCCACTTTCCTCTCATTTTAGGAGAAGGCAAGATTGCTGCGTACGTGAGAAACTGCTGAAAGTGGAGGCATTCGACCTTGACGTGATTGCGATCATCTAATTGGATGCGCCAAGGTATAGCTGCAAGCACGACCTAAAAGCATGGCTTCTATTTTTATGCAAAAATACACTCCAAATCCGGCTGTCCCTTCCTTCCATAGTAGTAACGAGGAGGTATTTAGGCGAGTGGTTAAATCTCTCACTTTTTTCACGACAAAAAGGATAACAATGTATTGAATAGCGATAGGATGCTTTGTGAACCCCAGCGTTTCGAAGGTAAAACCGCAATTAAGGGAAATTTGGGCTGAAACGAAGGCGAATAAGGTGGAGGCAAGAATGATTAAAAACAGTGAGAACAACCAAACGAGCACCTTTTTTTCATGCGGATTAAATCAGAAGGCGATAGGAGAGAAAACAAACGTCATAAAGGTCGCTTTCTCTAAATGTCACGGCCCATGAAGGTGACGAAAATTGACATATCGCGAGCACAGCTAACAAGTTGCCCAAGCACCCATCTTGAGTCCGTTCGTCAATCGAGAAGGCGTTAACACAAATAAAACACAGCCTGTCGTGATAAATGAAGTTTCTGGTGAACAAGGGTCTGTACATCTGTAGAAGTCTTCAAGCAAAGCACGGTGAGGTGACAAGACGTTCAGCCACTTAAAAGTTCTGGAGTACTGCAGCAGAGTATTCAGAGCATAGAGCACCCACCCACCCGGCTCTAGGCCCCTGATCACCGCAAGAGCAAACTGCCATGTGATTCCGTTGGGTAAGAACTCGTCTGTAGGACTCGTGAACACGAGCACTTACAAGGATTTGGGATCTCGGAAATTTGGCACACGGTGAGTACTAGGTGAAAAGAGATTTCTGTCTTAAGGACGGTGCCGAGAGGGGAACTTCACCTTTCAACCGTTTTGACTTGGCTCAAAGTCCTGATCATGCGACCTCTACCACTGAGCTGCTACTTCTTTCACATTCTCGTAGCACGTGACTACAATCCTAAGTGCCCTTGGGAGGGGCTTGGGTAGTGCTATAATGGGATTAAGGTGAGACGACCAACCTTAACGACTGAACAAGTACAGGACTCGTTAAACAACTCGTGAATTGCCAACAAAGGTGGATGGTGATGATTTTGCAACGAAAACTGCACCTACCACTTTTAACTCAGAAGTTACCAAGGTCTACGGATAGAAGATTTCAAGCATGCAAAGTCCAGAAGGAGGCAAGAGCCCACAAACACACTCAAGTTTTCTTTTTTCCTTTCTCTACCAAAGGAAAATAACGAAAAGTAAAAAATTGTGCCATCTTGGCAACCAACCAGTACACAACGCGTTGTAAATTTGTGCAACGGGGAAGGGAAACCAACACACAAAGTTAGCGAAAAGGTGAAGACACAAACAGAGGTGAGGTAATAACCACACCAGAAAGCGATCATTTTCAATTGCCTTACCTTGTTAACATTACTCCAATACATTCATTTCGGTTCAGCTCATAGTTTCTACGTAATTAAATCTATTTGAACAAGTTTACAGTGATCGAAAAAACCAAGCGGTAATGCCTACTAACCCCTCGACCAGTCAGACAGTTGATGTACAAAGGTCATTCTGCTAGATTAAAATATTTTTCAGACAGTTCACCAACAGCAGTAAGAGACTCAGCAGGCGGAGGTGAAGTATCACCTCCTCCTCCTTCAAAAGTTCGGTGCTTGCGAAAATTTACACAGGGTCTCAGAGTAAACTCCAGCGCCGCATCCCGGATGTTTACTAGTCAAATACGACAACAATAGTGAAGAGGCTGATTCAACTGCTGCTCAGCTTTTATCAACTGACAAGAAACAAAATGTCAAGAAGTACCCCTATGATGTAGAACAAAAGTAGAGTAGAGGGGGCAGGAGGGGTGAAACTTACTTTGCGTGCAATGTAGTCATCTCTCACGTAGTAGACCTGACAGTCCTTCGAGTACTTCTTTTCATCATTGTCCAATTCGTCTACGAGCCTATCAACCTCTAAAAAAGATGTAAAGATGAGGTGGGTAAGTCAAAAGAGTATCTTAATAAAGCTTCACACTGACTGTGGGAGGTACACAACATCCAACCCAATGACCTCTCAGAAGGAGGTCAATGCGCGGTGCGTCTGGAGCATCAAGACAGTTCAAAGTTCTAGGCGAGTAGAACATTCTTCATCGAAAAGGTTTGAAGAAAAGTTACGAGACTGAGAGAAAATACGCTTTGAAAAGTAATCGACTAAATAAGGCAGACTGCAGAAGGTCCCTGCATAGTACCACCACGAGGAGGCACAATTTCACGGTGAATTTCCCCTGCCTTCAGAGTCCACCCCACTTCCACCTTGGTTTTGCATTTCATCTGTCACCCTCAGATTTGATCACCTAATTGTTAAAGGCCAAGAAAAGTTGACAATCACCTTAAGATTCGTAGGGGGTGGGGGGGGGGGGGCTGGAGAGGCTACGGATGATGCAGCTGGATCCACTGAAAAATGTGCTATTCATTGCCGCGCTTTTTGAAGGCTTGGCCTTTCCTGCATGCATTTAAATTATTGTATCCATTAGATAGACTAATTTCAGCCATAGATTTCAGCAAGTAAACAATTCCCAGTAAACATTTGCGTTCACAGTCCACCGCGCACAGGAAAAGCAAGCAGTCGGCTAAGGATGAAGTAAGGGAGGGCGTGCGTTAAATGCATAGTGGATGAATGGTCTGGAGACAGACAAGGACACGTCTGACCGCGTAACATTACAAGAGAAAAGGACAACAAGTACTTCCCAGTCAGCCAGCCAGTCATCAATCAAGCTATCTCTCAACAACCCATTTTTGCGGGGCACTCCGAAGAGGCAAACACGACGATGCTGAGCCTTTGAGTCTTACTCTCACCCGTCAGGTACAGAATGTGCCACCTACGTGAAGCTTATGCGAGTGGAAACCCATTGTTTCACCAATCACCCCTCACCTCGTGTGTCACGTCACATAGCTGGGACCTACCCACCATACGTTCATCTCTAATTCTTCCACCCACCACCTAGGCGTACTTGCTAATCCTCAACCAGGGTGGAGATTTTTTCAGAGAGAACCACTTTTTAAATCAGTTTAATATGCTCACCAAGTTCTGCTATTGCACACCCTCTAAATAGCCCACAAACAATGTGCTAAAAGCCTTTACACTTTTCGAATCAAATTAGAGTATAATTGTGAGTCATTCAAGCTAGAAGCCCTTTTAACAGGGGAAAAAGCTGGAAGGCTGAGACGTCAAGGTCTGCCCTATACAAGTTACAACAAGTCATTGCTGCAGACTACATCAAAACAACACGGACACTGCGTAAGAAACCAGATGTAAGTGATCAAAGGCACTTTACTCGTTTCGCAACGCCAAGTGACAATCACGTCAGAAGTGAAAACCTCTCTTAAGGTTTCAATGTATTCAATCTGGTGGAAGAGCATAAGTGATTGAACAAAACACACAAGGCCTTAGAGACTTGGAGCAGATTCGACGTTGGTTCACCTGTGACCCAGATAACACAGGGTCAGCTCAAAGCATCGTAATCAGCAGCCAAACGAATTATATTGGCTACTCCTGTCTACCATGAATAAAAACACGGTAGAATAAAGAAACGAGTGAATTGATTGTACAGCCGAGAAAAAACGAGTAATAAGAGATTTCCGTTACCAGCCATCTAGTCACCGAGTGAAGGTAATGAATGATGGCAGGTCCTAGTGCATATAAAGTACCAAGACCGCCCCCGACGCCAACATTTATAAATTGCACCAAAATTAAGAAACTTCACACAAGACGCAGTGCAGGGGTGTTTTGGCATTGGCGTAGAGAAGAACGAGCAGGCATATCACACAAATCAATTTGCAGGATTGACAATGGCAACAGGTCAGTAAAGCCTTCAAAGAAGAAGATGAAGATGATGGCGACAAGGGGACGTAAGATTACCAGTTACACGTCAGAAAACGAATTCATTCTATTTACGCAAAAAAACGTAACTCATTTGGCAAAATTAGACCTTTGACACTTGAAAACTTGCAGTTAATGTACCTTTTGCGAAGAAGAAAAAAAGGATAACGACTCACTCAGAGCCTCCCTAATCTTCTTCTTCAATGCGAATAGAGAAGAGTCATTCCGCAACTCCTCAGTGCCCTCATCAAAGGGCACGTTCGTGAAGGTCTTGGGGTTTGGAAAGAGCACCTCATTTTCGAACGCCATAGAGGAGACCACGAGAGGGCCTGAAAAATTCGCGACAGGTGTTGAGAGTGAGTTGAACAGTAACTAAGATCATTCGAGGAAGAGGAGAAACCCACCATTTACTTGACCCTTGGTCAAGCCGGCCACGAGGGAGCGAAGAGACTTGATGTTGCGTCCTACACGAGTAGATCGAGCTCTAGGGTTGAGGAGGTAAAACCATACAGTTGTAAATTGTGAAAGCCGTAACCTTTCCTCGGAACTGCCAATACATTGAGGCTTTAAAACTTATATCTATGCTGGTAAAATAAACAGTCGACCTCTCTTCGAACCGACAAGGAGGCTGTTCCGTAGGCCACCAAATAGGGGCGAATCTAAGGGCTTATAACCTTGAAACGAAGTTAACGTATTTTAGACCTACTGTTGCTACAACATCCAAAAGGTGCAAAGAGTGATGAGATTAAAGAGACTATTAGCTTTATTGGCTAGAGAATAGAGGTGTTCAGGTAGAACCACGGATTTATCAAAGCTTAAGCAATTTGGAAAAAAAGGAGCTGGCGCCAGGACCAATGAGCGAACTTTGTCTTTTAGCGAAACAACTTTATCAGCATAAGCCTAACGGCCCGTGCTGTTCATTAAGAGTCTATAACAGCAAAAATTTAACAAAAGTCAGATTAACCATAAGTGTTTTTCCCAGAATCTTCCTTTCGTAGACATTAAAAGATCCCAGCCTCGGATTAGAAAACGACATCGCTGCTCTGCAGAAGCTATGCAAGACATTCACTTTGAGACTATCCACCACGATGTCTTCTGGGACATCAAATTGCACAAGTGAGGAAAATTGAAGCAAGGATACACACACTTTTGTAGATGGCTCCAAAAAACGCCACTTTTGCTAACCGATAAGTAGGGCCAAGAAATTTGGGGAACGAAAACTTACTCAATTTCCGAAAGCTTGGGAGGATTGGAAAGAATGCTCTCGCCGCCAACGTAGTCCTTGCGCAGGCGACTACCTAAATTGTATAGATCCTTTTGACCCGCTGTTGTGAGCATGCCGATTGCCTCACCACCCTACGTCGAAAATAAAAAAGTACTCAACAGTTAAGGTTGAAAAATACGATAGTCTTTCTGGTCGAGTGACGATTCACGCCAAAAGAATAGATCATACACGCTACGCAAGGACCTCACATCTGTGATACCGGAACTTACCGGCAAGTGTATCGGCCTGTAGATCAAATCATAGGTGCTTTCATCCACCAGTGTACCCTTAGAGATGTCAACATGCTTGATGGGAATGACAGCTTCAGGAGCGTCCTTGGTGCAATCCGAACTCCATAGCACCTAGAAATTAAAAGAATCAAGGCAATAAACAAGGGAGTACTTACATCGGTCAGAGGGGATTTCACATAGTGAAGCGGAGTTCGTGCCCCATGACGGAAGAAAACTTGCACCTGGACAAGCTTCAGCTCAATTTTTCTAGATCAAAATAGGAGCAGGTCGTGATTCACAGAACAACTTACGATAGGCGTGCGACTCCTCTCCTAAATAGGGGGAAGAAAACATTAAGAGAAGATCCGTGAAGACTAATTTTGGCGAATTAAGCAGAATCCGATAAATGCGATGACGTACTAAGCAAAGGCAGTTATTAAGTTGGTCATTTAATAAAAATAATGAGGTAAGGAGCACAGCAGCCTGCATGAGCTAACAGAAAATTGGAAAGTGGTTAAAGAGACATTAATGATGCACCGGAGCTAAAGTCACATACAAGAAATGGAAAAAGAAGGTTTTTTTCAGTTAATATAAAAAAGATGCAACTGTTAAGCGAGCCCGTCGTAAATGCTTAAACATACACGGCGCCGGGAAATGCGTACGACAGCACAACACTCACCCTATAGGGAGTTAAACAAGTTTTCCTGAAATCTTATTTTATAAATGCTAATTTTGTAGCTAAGAGAAATAAGGGTGCTTCTAAAGCCAAGCAATCAGTCAACAAAAGAAGTAGAACTAGGTGCTAGATTTACATCTTGCTTCAAATTACGGAAAAGACTTTTTGGATGAATACTAAATTCATGCAGAAATTAAACCCAGGAAATGTAGCCTACTCAAACAGACTCAAAACACAGAAAGAAGACAAAGTTACGAATAAAATAATCGAGAAGTGAAAGAAACGGGCGGATTTACATGCTTGGTGAGATTAAAAGGCGATATAAATAAATCCCAATTGCAACAACAATGCAGAAGCGAAAAAAACCACCGCGAACCCACATGACTTGCAGAAACGAACGGACCCAACGGCAAAATATTGAGGCACAACTGCCCAATGGTAAATAAACCAAACAGTGCACAAATCACATTCGTCCACTTATCTTCAGCAGATTAGGAGGAGACAATTTAAAAGATTTAAACAATCTGCTTCTCCAAATTTTAGCAAGGTAATCTCTAAAATTTTTGGCAAAAAACTACCATCTGCCGTAAAAATCAAAATGATTTGAAATCTTTAAGCACGATTTTTTGATTAGTATTAACTGATGATCTCAGCTACACTCTAATAATTAGCAAAAAAGAATGAAGTACAATTTAATTTTAAGCCGTCACTAAGCTGTTAGGGATTTTTAAATTTGTGGTATCACCGAAGTTAGCGTATTACTGACAGAAAGGATCAATTAAGTCCGAGTAACGTGAACCAGTGTTCATGCTGCCGGTGGAAGTACGACCCGTGGAGACCTAAAGTATTCTATCATTACATAATATCGATATCTTTTTTCAGCATCACTAACATGTTGTTTGTAGTATATTGTTCACACAGGCAGTCTATGCCTGTGTTGCGTTACGCTGGATTTAACAAATTCTGCGGTTAGCCTCTGAAGGATGTAATCAAGCAAATGTGGGTTTAACCACCTCTCCACTTCCTTACTAACTATTTCTGCAAGAGGGGTTATTGCAGAAACCTTGGATATTACTTAGTCTCTAAGTAGCTTGCGCCCACAAATTGATTTATGATACTGGATATAAATATTTGCCTAGGCGATGAACAAGGACTTGCACTATGCCCTTCAACTTAGGTGAAATTATTTTGCCCAAGTGTGCACAAAAACAATGTTTAGTTTGGATGAATATAGGATCCAAATGCTGAAAAAAAGCGATATAGAAACCAACCATAATATGCGTTTATTCTTTTGGGTCCAAATATTTTTCTTAATTGGATGATTACGGAACGGCTCTTAAAATGTTTGTTTCAGATTTGAGTCTTGTTGGTTTTAAGAAAATATACTCCAAAGTACAGTGCGGATTTAGTGTTTCAGTCCCTTAAAAACAGGTTACTTGATGCTCCGCTTTTGTACTTTTGACTGCCAGCGTGGCCTCTGAACCATGCAGATGGCCCCACCTCTTCCATACACAAGTAGTATGTCTTCTGATACGCTGGGGACGCGATGCTATAACAAATGACAACAAATCTAGCATAACTTAGCAATGAGGGTTAAAATTTGTTAACATCTGTTGATCCTTTAATTTATCCTTGCTAACAGCCACCTGCGTTTTGCAATTTCCCTCACAATACATCCACTCTTTCCAACCTTAAATTTCAAAAAAATCTCTTATGCTTTGTCATTACTTAGCCAAAATTTTGCATTAGGTGACAGCTATATTCTTTCAAAAAATGAACCCTTAACAAAATTTATAAGTTTTGATTGTGCAATACACTTTTTTAGCTGTTTAGTTTAAGGTCATCCTGTAGTAGAACAGATTCAAAGCGCCTTAAGCATTGTTTGTGATAATTAATGCCTTAAAATAAGTTAACAAAGACAACTATCACAGTATCATTGTATAAGTTCGAAGACATTGTTTTAGTACTTAACTGTAGTTGCTCCTCGAAAAGGCCCTAAATACGAGGCTAACATACTCGATTTTGTTTAGCCTCAGTCACTGTTATTTGTAAACAGAAACGATGATCTGCTGGTGAATGTTGCTTCCGTTACACCCACGAGAAACAAACCCCCCTGTACACCGATTATCCATAGTGAAGAGTGCCTTCTGTGAACAAAGAATCCACCTTTCCTATGCGTTTGCTTGATTTGTACCGGATTTTTCATCGAGAAGTAAGTTAAATAGTAGTAGATTAAGAGTGCTATAGACAACTAGCCAATTTTTTGAGACTGGAAATGAACCCTGGTGTAGAATCCCATTTCCACTCCTTCCTTGGGAGACGAGGACGATAGGAATGCGTGTGAAAAAAGACCAACCTCTACTTGCTTGTAAATTAGTAGTGGTGGGCATCTAGGGAGCGAAATGACATCAAACATTGCAAATATCAGAGCTGTAGGAAGTCCCTTGTAGAATTCTTCAAATTTGATCCCATAGAAGCTCTCAAAGGTAAAGCAGTTACAACAACCACAAAGGCCATCAAGAAGCCTACTCATCAGATGATTTGCATCAACCCATGCGGTATGATGGGGTTGCAGATGCCGCCTCATCATCTCTACTCCCCTGCTCCTCGTCCACAGCTCCCTGCATTCCGCTACAAGTCGGCTATGTCAGATTTATCAAAAATCATGCAAGATTTTCCTCACCGTCCGACACTACTTACTAGTAGTGAGCAAACGACGCAGTTCGATGTGGTGGTAGCGGTGACGGTGGTCCAACCACTCCTTAATGACACCTCGTTGAGTAACCAAACACAAATGTTTACTCGGAAAATGAGGTGTTGTCGGTGGACTGAATACATCCGTTGGCGAAGTAAATTACTTGCCCCTTTTTTCCAACCATATTTGGAGGGGCAAAAAACAACCCATCAGCTATTATAAAGAAAACCGATATGATCGCAGTAACATTTTTAACTACTTGACACTTGACAAGTGGTTCAGTAGGGTGGAGTTATTTGAAATTATAAAGTGACATCTGCAAACATAGGGAGGGAAGGAGGGTGAATAATTGAGACATTATCTGCCTGACCAAGCTATTTGTTACGTTTCCCTATTTTTCTATCATTGTTTGTTTTCTAGGAAAAAAAGTTCATGAAAGTTCTCGAAAAGTATGAAGGGAGAGAAACCGTTCATATATGATTGGTGCAATGGGGAGGGTAAATGCTGAGGGATCAATTTAACACTTGGATGCACTCAGGCGGTCTATCCCTCGTCTCCTTCGGACTGTGTATCATCGACTGCCTCCGCTGACTTTGCCACCTGCTCCTCATTTTTGTCTTTTATTTCCTGTTTCTTATGGCTGTTGGGATGGACGTGAAAGTCGGAGAAGGAAGGTCGTATTCCAGGCGTGAAAAGTGATTTCAAACGCTGCAAAAACAATGATAGGTGGAGAGATTTAAGGGTGTTAGTCAGGAAAAAGAAAAAGTAGCAATAGATACCTCCTTGAAGGAGCCACGTGCATTGCAGAAAGTAACGACAGCGAAGATGGGGATGGTGACTAGGGAAGAAAATACCAGCATCCACGAGACGACATGTACCCACGTGTCCGCCCGCACCGTCTTGCCCATCACGGTGATCTCAGGTGGGCGGAAGAAGGTGATGTTGAGAATGAAGATGCCCTGCAAAGTACAAGAGGAGTGAAAGGGCAAAAGAAGACGATGAAAAAGAAGAAGAAGTTTGTGTTACTCACAAGCATGAAGGCGGGACTGATGACAGCCCAACAAATCCGCCAGAACCAGCCCGGTTTAAAGCCCAGCATCGATTCTATATCTCGCGTAAATCGCCCTACACCTTTGGGGCACGAAAAAGGATTATTTGATAGGAAGAAACAGACAACCTACCATAGCACCAGCATAGTGCCACGCATTCACAGAAGACAATGAAGAGGATTGAAAAGGGTGCGCCATATGTGTCAAACAATGTCAGAATGTAATATCCACCCTTAAAAAGAACCATTCAATTACTTTATGGAGCATTTTAGCAGTACATCTAATATAAGGGGAGCAACTCACATTTGTTGTGGTGGGAAGAGCTCCCACATAGCAATAGATGATCATGATTAACACGACAATCTCTCTTCGTTTACGCAGCTTTGGCCAACGATCCAACAGGGCCGTGATTATCGCCTCCAGCCCACCAAACTGAAACGAAGTGTTGGTATTGCAATATTCCAGTGAATAATGCAAATATGCTACTTATTTTTTTCGAATAAGTGGACACGGATGACATACAGTACTGTCGAGGCCGAGGGTGATGAGCATCAGCATGAAGATGATGGCCCAAAAGGTTGAGCCGGGCAAAGTTGCAATAGCTTCGGGGTAGGCGATAAAGACAAGGCTTGGACCTAAGGCAAAGATTAGTGGGTAGCGGAATGTTACTCATCAGTATTAGCAGCACTGCGACGGAACGTGGGGCAGTAGTATGTGTAAATAAATAAATGGGTAATACTTTTGAGTTATGGAAGATGGCAGGCGAATACCTTCATTGGCGACTGTATCCATGGTTCTATTCATACGATAACACATGTGACCGAGCACGGAGAAGACTACGAAACCGGACAGAAAACTGGTCCCACAGTTGATTGCACTGGTTAGCATTGCATCGCTGGCAAATTCGCAGGGAGAACCAGTAATCAGATCATTGTTTTAAGAAAATCTAAGCCGATTTATCTGAAAATCTGCGCGTTTTGAGAGCGGCGGCTTTTATTGGTACTGATCATTTAGAATAAGCTTTTGAATTGTGCAATTAAAGAGTAAATATTATACTCATTGATTGAATAACCACAACTAATTAGGTTTTCTATTCTAGAACCTCCTAATTCTTTAACAAAAGTTTTTTTAGATGCCTTAAAATTGATAGAGGTCATTCTAAGTGGATCTCTCGAAGCGCTAGAGAGCACGCGGTAATATTGAATAAACTTTTAACATACTAATAGCAGTTATTCCGGAATCGGTTGTAACTAGCTAGTGCCAGGAGGACGCCGAATCCGGGTCCAAGAGAAAAGAAAATCTGTGATGCAGCAGCATTCCAAACCTAAAAAGAAAAGTCTAGCACGTCTAGAAAGTCTGTTTCCAACTTAAAAGGCAATCTAAAAGGTAAATGGGGTTTCAACTCGGAAATTAACTATTCTGAATGATAAAAGAAATAAACGTTGAACCTCTTCGAAATGGACGGCTGATTAGGTGTTCCGTTAGATAATGAATAACTTGGAGACAGAGTTGTACTTTCTCCAAGATGGATCAGTTTACAACTTTGAAAACTGTCGAAAATGATGAAAAAATACCATTTCGAGTCAGATTAGAATTCAAGAGCAAAATTCCACTGCTATTGGAAGATAAAACGACAGAATACTTGTCTCTTCTATTAAAAGATGGTGAAAGGCGCATTTGCAGTCACCTCAATTGACTTGAGCCGTCCAAAGTCGGGCAGGAGGTAGTACTGTATGCCCATGAGGGAGCCCCTCAGCGTGAGACCACGAATAAGTAGGATGAAGAGAATCACGTAGGGCAGAGTCGCTGTTATCCACACGGCCTAAAATTTTAGAAAATCACTATACTTGACTATATTTACGTTCGAGTCATTATAGAAAGTAGTGGGATCAAATACTAAGATAAGCTGCGTTATCAAATAACCTAGTAAAGGCGTCCATACCTTTCCGCTGCTTTTAACTCCCTTCCACAGAGCAAAGTAGACGAGAGTAAAAACAGCCAGTAGGCAAAGTGCCACTTCCCATCTGATCGTGCCCAATTTGTTAAATCCGTCAGAAAACTGTATTTGTAACACACGATTGCTTGAACGAAAAAAATTGGCCGGAATTTAAACGGGAAACGCCAATACAACAAAAAATGTTACATTGGAAATAAAATGTATGTTCTAAAGATGACATTTTCTGAACACCTACTAGAAGTACTGTTCAGTTGACGAGTAGTAACCAGTGGTATTGACAGCATGCAGAGTATTGGAAGCGTCACTATCGGCAATGCCTGAGCTATTAGCTCCAGTGACTAACTTCTGGTAGACAGTGATACAGGTCTTGGGTGTGTTCCACCAATTATCGCAACTGTCCCAAGGAAGACGCAGGCGCATTGAATCAAACATGTAGAAGAGAGCCCAGGAAATGACAGTGTTGTAGTACCACGCGGTGTAGCTCGCAATTATGCAAATCCCATAGCCCAGACCTGTAAACGAAAGCAAATTTATGATAACACTTGCTCTCCCCTCCAACACATTAATTGTCTCCAAAACAAAGAAAATATACATTATTCTTAAATATACAGGGTTTTATTTGCGCAATGGGGCTTGGGTTTGCAAAAAATGCAAACCTATCTCTCCATCCTAAATTAGGCAGCTGAAACAGCAAAAAATCTCAACATCTAAAAGACATTATTGCTTGAACAAAGAAAGGTGTACAAAACGCGCCTTCTTGTAGGCTCACCAGTAAAGAAGGGACAGATTCGACTCCACACAGAAATGCATCCACTACGTTGGAATTGTCCAAGAGCCAGCTCCAAGTAGAACAGTGGCAGTCCGCCAAAGATATACATCAGCAAGTAAGGTATCAGAAATGCACCTATGGAAGATAATTGAAATAAGTTACACCGAGAAAGCATGGCATGACACATTTAACAACTATGCATACATATCCGGTGTTCTGTTTCGTTTTACTGACTGATTTGGGGTCTCGTATGTCCTGTTACTGTAGTCTTTGTTGCACAAAATATGCCCCATATAATTCATGGTTAAATGTCGTTTATGCCGATCCGTATAAAAACACCATACGCGGATCTAGGTACGACACGACTTATAAGCCGCGCTACCAAGAATGTAGTAATAAAGTGCCTTGTGTGAAATCGATCAAAGATTTAGGCTGTAACCCATACTATTCAATTACAATTCTGATTTTATTGTTTTTATTGCCGTTTACAAAATAAACTCTTCAAATTGAGGTTTTATAATACCCGCTTTCTGGAAATAATATTCTTGTACACACACATGGCCTTACTCAAAAATAACTGAGAGCACAAGATTGACAACTTTATTTGAAGAAATAAAAATGAATGTTTTTAGATCAAGGCAAAGTAACTGTTTTACGAAGTGATTTCACAAATACGAACAATATTTCAACAACTTTTTAATGTTCAGCACTTTGGAAGCCTATGACCATATTTTAAAGAACATTTTTTTAGGAAAAGCTTCATGGGTATTGGCTGATAAATTTCGCTAATCTGATTATTTACTTAGTATAGATCCTGAGATCTTATAAATTTCCTATTAAATAATTCAACTTTGGGTAAATCAATATCATAAGAAGTTAAAGGACGTTCTACTTTTGCGACCTTTCTGTCTATGATAAGTTAAACATAAAAGAGTCCTCTGTCAACGCACCTCCACCATTTTGATAACAAATATAGGGAAACCGCCATATATTCCCTAAATCCACGGCGAATCCAATCACAGAAAGGAGAAAGTCAACTTTTGTGTCCCATTTCTCTCGTTTTCGCTCGACTTTCGTAACACCTGCCTCTGCTGTCTCTACCACCACGGCTTCCACCAGCGATGGCGTCGGATCCTGCAGATTGCACGACTTTAAAGACTTGTCTTCCACAACCACATCTACAGCATTCCTGCCACTTTCCAAAACTTCACTTTTAATCTTGGCACCGTCGATGGTTATTTGTTGCATTTAGTACACACGGCTTGGCGTACTCAAAGTAGGAAAGTGAAGGGACCTACTGGAGCAACTTATAAATGAGGTCTAATGAGGCGTTAGGCGAGTGGTTGGCGATGGGATTAAGGGGGAGACGAGAATGTGACCCACGCACTAGTAGCGGGAGGAAGGGGGAGGGGTATGAAGGGACGGGAGTTTGATGGCCATCCATACATCTCCTTCCCTCGTCATACCCAAATATTCTTGCTGATGGTGTTACCAATGCATAGAAGAGCAGTAAAAGCTTAAAAATTTGCTTTTAAATCAAATAACGCACAAAATAGGCTACTTATAGAGGCGACGCATTGAAGCGCCATAACTAGAGGGTCCAATTAACTATCTGCTTTTTTCCTCCTTTTTGACAGTATAGAGGCTTGATATCACCAAATGGCGGCAAGATTAAAGCTTGCTTAGGAGGTTCACTTGTTGCGTCTTCTGCCCTCCCACTGGACCGTAAAATTCTGCGCCAGTGTGGACAAAAGTCCCCAAAGCGTTTTGGCAGTCTGGGGAGAACCTTCTTTTAAGCGTGTCTTTCCCCCTTACTTTGGATCACTCTTCTACTTTAGCCATGAGGAGTTCCCATGTAAACTGCAAACAATTAAGTCTGATTGTTAGTCTTTCTCTAGCTCCATCCCTCTCTCCTTCCTTCAACACTGCTTGCCTAGGACTCAAAAAACGTGTCGACTCGAGTTTTCCCTCTTGCATCCATCCGAAGCAAGGTTTTTAGCACCCAAATTCCAGAAAGGAAGCTGAACTGTTGGAAGGAAGCCTCATCAGTCCTGCAGAAGGGGATTTAACCTCAGCGTGAGCTACGCACCACGTCGACTTAGATGGGTCCAAAGTCGTGTCAACTCTGTGGACTGCTTCAGAATGGGTTATGATTTACTGACTCGGCGCTACTTAAGACTGCGTGAAACTCCACAATGAGTGCACTCACAAGCGGAGCTACCAATCAGCAGAAATTTCTTTTTACAGCTCTTCTTATACATCTAAGTGGACAACGTTTGATGGGTAGAAAAGTGGAGGCGGTCGTACTTGCTCCTGGCCCGCTTTTAAACGCTTTAGCGCAAAATATAAAATAGAGAATAATGGTGAGGTACGCTTATACTTGTGACGCTAAGCTCAAATGCACGAATCACGCTGACACTTATTTGTGATACTAATACATTAAGTTGGTATATTTTCACCAGGATTCTATATTGATGTGTGTGGGCTTTTAATCCGGATTTTAAGATCAACTCTTCCTCTTTGGGAGGTCAAACCGCTCCCCTCTACTCTACCCTGGCTACCTCCGTTTTTTTGCCTGACACCGCTCGCCCTAGGGTCTAGGGGGTATGCAGAGGATGCGGTGAGGCAGTACCTCTTCTCTCAAAGTATACGTTTTTGCAGAAGCAGATCTTGCGACGTATCCTCTAGAAAGTTGCATAAGATTATAAAATGATTTCCCATACCACCTCTCACCGACCGCCAAACCATCGACAATACCAACTCCGATTAGGAGTTATAACTCATAAGCATTTTTTTTAGAAATCACGTTATTTACTTGAGTACTGTAGAGGCGATTAGCACTTGGTGCTGAGAGGACTAACCACTGATCGTCTTATTTGTCCGAGTTGGAGGGAGGGTGCGGGAGGCTGGAGATGGAGGGATTAGAGGAGGGCTCTCCTCTACCTATTATCATGGCAAGAGGAAATCGGTTGAGGGATTTGCCCTCTAATTATGTGCTAATCTGTATCCTCTTTAACCACAGCCCTGCCTAAATCCATTAAATTGCAGTGACCTAAGAAGCAGAACAATGCTTCTGGTAATTATTTGATGCAATGGCAACAGTTTAGCAGTAGTTTAGTTAAAAGAGGCCAGTTTAGTAAAAAAGCATTATTTCTTTCAAAGACAACAAAAATTGTAGAAGTTTCAAACACTTATCTCATAATTTTGAGTGGCCGCGATACCCCAGCACTGCTACCATTTTTAGAGCTTGTGTCACACATACGTGACGCACCAACTTTTCTGCACGACCAAGAAAACTAATTAAAAAAGGGTAAAATGATTCAAAAGGGGGTAGTCTGATAAAGTGATGGAACAAAAAAGGTTCAGTGGTGGTTATTTTTTGTAATAGCCTCGTATCAAGTGCGCGATTGGCGCGAGGGTGCAGGATATCTGGTGCGGAAGACCGACTCTACGAAAATTGCCCACAGGGAAGATTAGGTAAAGGCTACTTTTGGTACTTATTTCCGGAGGAAGCCATTGACCAGATAAAGTTGCGTCCTATTTAGAGGAGTTGAAGTAGTCCATCTTACCATTAAGTCACATTGCAAACTAAATTGAGATAGTCGGAAGAAGACACTGAGGTGCAACCAAATTTCAAAGTAAGAGAGCAGATATGCAGTCTATCTAACCATGGGCTTAGTCAGTGGAGCTATTCAAACTCCACAGTTTAACTTCCTTTTTGTCTGCAGAACCGTCGAAACAGCCAGGTGTCACCAGAGAAGGCAACAAAGTTGAGAAAGGAGTAAATTACGAGGATATAAGATTATATAGTGTTCGTTATAATACGATAGCTGTTTGTATCTCGGTTTTAGATAAGAGCCACATTTAACTTAGCCATGGTACCACACACCGGGAGTTTAGGCCTTTGAGCCATGCCAGCAGTCCAAATACCTTCTGTATGTCAAATAATTTTATTCTGCTTAAGTATTATGTCGCCTTTCATCTTTGGGGGAGTCACGGGGTGTCACATTGATGGCAGCGGAAAGTGAACCCGGCCCTAAAAACATCTCTTCTGATTCCCACTGCTGGTTGATAAAGTTTTGTGAGGCGGAAGAAGTACATGTACTGCGGATGGGTGGATCGGTGATGACACCAAACAGAAGAGCTAAAATTGACGTCTATCCTAGGCAACTACGACAACCCCGTGTTCTGCAGGAAAGCTGTTAACAACTGAAGCAACACTGGCCATGAACCATCTGAAACAGATTCGTTGCCGAGGTTCCCTCCCATACTTGCATAAAGCTGTCAATAAAGTTAACTTGCAATATCTCTTCCACTTCTCGACTAGCTGGATAGAACTCGGGTAGATACGACTAGGCAGCTCCGAAGTGAAAACAACGTGGTAAGGAGGAACAGACGCGAAATCCTTCCCTCATAAACCTATATTGAATCCCGTCCTACCTTGCAAAAGTCTGATTTTAGGCCAGCATTTCTACGTCTATCTGTAGATACACATGATGGCCAACACAATCCTCTGTCCCTGAATCTAGTTCTCATACCGGCCGAAAATCCAGATGCAGCTGAGTTATCAAAAGAGATCGGTGGCGGTAAGGTCAAATATCTACTCAGTTACATGTAAATTTGTTGACTGTTACGGGCAGCTCGTAGGTATTTCTTTGGAGCAGTGACTACGTTTTGATGGCTGACGCGAAATGTTGACCAAGTTGAGCGACGGGGACGACGCTCAAAAGAGAAGAAGAGCTGTGTAATGCGATGACTGCCCCAGTATTACGTCTCCTTTTGTCTTCAGAGAAGTCCCAAGATGCAAAACTCGTACTCTGCTACTATTTTCCAATATCTTCTATTATTCAAAACAGACAAAAATACAGCGGAAAGACCTGACAATGTTCCATTGTAAAATTTGCGCATATAAGTAGTTGGTATCCTCACTACTTGCATCAGTTCAACTAGTAACATTAAAAAAGTTTCGGAAAATAACATTAATTTATGTGCAAATTTTGTCTAGGGGGAGAAAAGAGTGGAAACTGGTCAGTAACTGTAACGTTACCAACCTATGTCGCTAAAAACCTGCCATACTTGCAATTGTCATATCATTTCCTGCTTCTTTGTTAAGGTATATTATGCACTATAGGCTTAAACAAAATTTGTGTCTCAAAAGAATGGTAGACTTTCATTGAGCAACCCGCATATGGAATAAATAAATAATCAGACAGCGAATGAATAATGAGACTATACAGCCGCATTGAAAATTTTGCCTTTAGTGATAAAATGGCATATGCCTTAAAATATGCACCATAGAGAAAGGTTTTAAGCAATCATTTGCACGCATTTCTGTTTTATTTTTTAGGGGTTCCGCGCCGTTTCCAAGTATGCTCGTTTGGACGAGTTGTGGGTCGATTGGATTCTAACCCAGTTGTAAGTGTCAATAACAGTCCAACTGTTAGGCTTGTGCGATGGTTGCCACAGCTTTTCGTCTTCAAACAATTATTTATAGCCAATAAATGTTTGTGAACTGGCGTTTTAGACATTTTTTTCCGTATTATTTGTGAGATCCTACCTTAGGAATTTTTGGACAAACATATTCATTAAGGCGTTCTAATGGTTGGACTACTTAGTGTCTCGGCTTAAATATACTGTTAGCTGATTTGGCGCTGGAACAATCGACAAAAGTCCCCAATAATAACTATATCAGCGGTCCTCCTACCTTTAGATGTCACTCAGTAACAAACGTCCTCATGACACATATAGTCAATGCGGCGCGCCCTACATAAAGAGGGTTCGAAATGACGCAACTCAGTCCACGGGTAATTCCTTTTTTCATTTAAAAGCCTCCATCCTCCTAGTTAATGCCTTTTCACAACTGCTTGCCCCGGCGCGTCGCTTTTACGCCAGTCTCACTGGTCGCCCCGCCATTCCGGACACTCCAAAAGAAACATCACCAGAATGTTCACCACCTCCTTTAATACCTCCCATTACTGCCAGCCAGTCGACTCTGACTGATTTTGGTTTCCACAGGCACTACGACAATAGAATTAGGTCACCAGACTCTTACTAACCTTGTGATGCTCATTACTTGCGTTATCCAACTAAAATGTTTACTTTTTTGTGGGGCGTTTGAGCCAAATAGGGGCTTTTGATTTTACAGGCTTAGGAGTGGACACCATCGTGGCAGTGCTTCACGCAGTAGTAAATGTCAAGTGGGTCCTATTCCTACTCGCGACAGTCAGCGTACATGTCACGAGTCGTTCAAGGCACTACTGATCAACCTGGCAGCCAAATGTGATGATACTTGCATACAGCAGCGTGTGATGATGAAATTTCTTGTGAACGAAGGCATCAAACCCGCAGAAATCTACCGGCGACTTCAGGCACAGTTCAAAGATGAGGCGCTCAGTCGCAGTAAGACATTCGAATGGTGCAGACGTTTCAAAAACGGTCGTGTATCTATCCGAGACGATCCTGGTCGTGGTGGTTCCCGGCCCACAGCAATCATTCCTGAGAATATTCAGCTAGTGGAACGCCTAATTTTGGATAATCGACGCGTAACCTGTCGTGAAATTGCACGCAAGACAAAGCTGTCTGTAGGAACGGTGAATAAAATTATTTGCAAACATTTACAATTCCGGAAAAATGCTGCGGGGGATTATGTGGAGAAATAAACGCATTTTCCATTCGTCGGGACTGCTTTTTATTTGTGTAAATCGAAAATTCCAGTCCGTCCAGAATCATACAACGTACGTAGATGGGGGGGGGGGGTGGACCGTGGCTCTTTTCTAGCGCTATTTGGTGAATCATGGCAAATGCTCACGGAGGGGGGCCTCTGTCGTTGCCAATTAGGCTCTGTCTGTCCAAATTGACACTCCGAGCTGGATATGTCCGTGTCCTGAGGGCTTTAGTAGGAAACGTTAACCATTCCCATCTTCCTCTTAAATTTCCAAATAAAAGGAATGCTTGGTATAAATATGTTTTGTTCCGTTCGCAATTCATGTTCTTTTGATTTGGGAGGGAGGGGGATGGGGCATGGTTAGTAAGGGTTTACAGGACGCAGACGTCAATAGAAGTCTTCATTGGGGAAGGCAGATTGTTCACTACTTCTGGTAGCACGTCCATTTGGAGTATCCGTAGGAGTAACGTCTTTTCCATCACCGTCTCGTTCTATCCCCATGGAGGCATCAACCCCGGAGTCGGTTGCTTCAGTGGAGACCAAAGAAATTGCAGTTCCAGCGTCTCTTTCTCCTCCTCTACCACTTGCGCCAATGGGCACGAAGCCCCTTAATTCGTTGTTGATACGCTCCAATTCTTGAAGGTAATCCGTCTCGGTGGAAGTTTTACTTTGTCCACATGTACCACCACTGGCACCGCCTCCAAATAAAACGCTTTCCATATCTACGGAAAAGGATAAATTCTTGGCACTGAAATAAGTTTAAGTAGACGTTATTTTAAGCCATAAGTACATTGGAGATGCTGCTCTACAGTGCGCATATTTGAGAGGGAATCATTGAGCTCTTGGTGGAGAGAAGTGGAGGTTTTGAGACCACTTTTCCAGCTGCTTGGGGCGACAGGAGAGATGACATCCGAACTGGGAGCACTAGAAGGGGTAGCAGGAGGAAATTATAAATTTGCGCAACATCATGGAAAAGGAAGGAGGTATTCGAACGAACCCGATTCGCTGTGCGAGATTATCAGAACATCGACGAAGGCGATTAGAAAGACGCAGGATTGAGGCCGCAAGTAGGGATTCATAGGACTATGCGGAACAGAGAGTAGGAGAAAAGGCTTTCACACGCACAATAAGGCAGTGTCGTTAGAAGGGTCAACAGTGCATTTTTCAAAAAGTGGACATACATTTGTTACACATGAAAAAAAATAAGAAAGAAAAGCTGATTAAACAAGTCAGCATGCATCACAAGCCTACCATATCTGGTAAACTAGCAGTAATTGTGCTTTTACTGTGAAAGAAATAACAATCTGCCATCTGGCTTCCGTGGACAGATGGTGTGACAGAAAAAGATATTAAACCCCGTAGTATCAACATAATTCGTTTCCACAGATTAAACATTGAGTGTTCCATCTTCCCTGCACGCTGTACAAGGTTAAGTCATTGGCTAAATGTTTAATCGGTATTTCATGGGCATTCAACACCAACGTCAAGCAAGCAAGCACACCGCTGTTCACCTTCAAACGATCAAGTATTCTACACCACAATGATCAATCTTCACCCATTCTGTTCAAAAGGCAGGAACTTGGCAGAATTAGTCAGAACAATCTGATCGAGAACAAGTGCAGTGCATAGTAGACGAAGAAATCAGATAGAAAACAGGACAAATTGCCAGACCCAGCATCGCATAAAAGTGGTGCTAACGGTACACATGTCAAAAATCTACAAGCATAAATGTCAATTCCTCATTTTACTTAAATAAATCCCCCAAAAGTGCATTGCAGTAGCAAAAACATATATGTTTTTTGCGACTTAATGTTGACAATAAGGGATAAAAGCCAATTCTATCAAAACAAAGGAACAACTAATTAGGGTTGGGGAAAAAAATTCTGGCATCCTGATTTTTAAACACTCAAGAAAAGGCTATGTCCATAGCCTCTCAACTGCCCCTCTAATAAGTTGATAATACACCCCTCCCCCTTCTCTACCCTGTCCCGAGTTTAGGTGTGACTAAAGGCACAGTAGCCTAATTAATGAGGAGGCAAGGAGAGAAGCAAAACATGAAGCGGGTCGGGCTACTCACAGAGCATGTTCGACGCTGTCAAACACCACGGTTAATAAGGCCTTCACTGCTCCAAATCAGACTATAGGTGACTGCGAATTCGCCCAAACTGTATGCACGCACTTTGCTGGGCAGGCTTTAACATCCGTAAAGAGGTTAATTCAGCCCATAAAAGTAGGCAATGAGTAAAAGACTAACAGCAGCCTTCAAAGGGACTTGTTAAAGCAAAAAAACGCATTGAAACTATGAATAATTTCATGACAAAAAAGAGGAGGCAAAAAAAGAGGAATTAGAATCACCCCAATGATGAATTTGCTGTCAACGTAAGGTCGAATTGACAGTACACTAAAACAAACGCAAATTATTTACCAAATTTAATAGTCCTATGTTAAAGCAGAGCAAAGAGCAAAATTGCAGAATGCCAGGTGATTTTCCGATGGGAAAAATTAGTGAAACTTCTAATTACTCTCACGCAACGTTGCGCCTATCTGAGGCTCGTACCTTAACACCCTCTAGCACAGCCAGACGAGGTCAAAGTGATAAAGTGAATGCAGGGTGGTACTCACAGTTCCTGCGCATTGTGTGGGTGTGACTCAACTCGTAGGTACGCGAAGAAACCTACATACACCCCCTCAGAAACGTCCATTAGCAATGAACCAGTCAGTGCAGAAAAGTCCCCCTTTTTCTCAACTAAATAGAAAACGGTTAGGTTGCTGGACGGCTACATAGCAAAGAAAGGCCCTCAAAAGAAGTATGGAGAAATGCAAGGTAGATAAGTGGTGCCTCAGTCTTGGCAAAACCTCCTAGGAGAAGTGCAAGGCAATGTGAGCTACCCTCGTTGTAGGATAGCATCCAAAAGAAGGAATGGAGCAAATTCTTCTCTTTACTCGCCTCCTAACCACACATTACATTCGCCCTGAATAGGACGAAACTCCATAATAACAATGCAATCTCACCACCGTAATCCTAATTCACGGGGGGCTTTTAAAACACCACCGACGTGATAGGCGACACACAAAGGAAGGCCCAAAATGGGAAGGAGGAAAATAAAAGACCAGCTAGCTCTGTACCCACACTTGGAGGCCACCGAGGGCCATAGGGCACTCCTAGTAGCCAAAGCAAAGTGGCAGGCAAGGGCGTCAAATTAAAATAAACGACTTTTTCGTTCACTTCCTTTTCCACATCTCACAAAAAAATTTACGCTCATTTACTTGTTCAGTAGAATTACTGCGTTCATTAGCCACAAGGTGGGGGAGAGGGGAGAGAGGGATCAGGACCACATAAACGTAATAATCAACTACATAAGTACCCATCGTTAGCCCGTTCGCCAGTTGACGTGAGTGTCTGTAGTCCTTTTTAAAAAAACGTCTGCAGGTTTATCATCTTCGGTGACGTGATTTCAGTGAAATCGCGGAATTCGTCAGTCATATGCCACTTTCAGAACAAGCTAAACATTGTCACCTCATAAAACCGTAGACAATTTCCAACCAGGCTAATGATTTGACATCAATACGGACTTAATGAGACATAGCGCACCAAAAGTCATAGCGGAGGTGGGCACAACGGTAGACATTTGATTGTCCTTCTTAAAAAGTGGTACCCTTAGCACCAAAACTGCCGGTGTAAATGGACACGATCCGCCTTTATCCTCTCAAGGGGGGAAATTGCAGGGTCGACAATTCGACGATACGATTATAACTGCTGCAGCGCTGTCATAGCTACTGCAGCCAATTTAAGCAAATGAGTTGCCAAAAGGTAGGGATGATGGACATTATCGCTCATAAAAAGGCGATCAAATAAACAAAAGCACAATTATTTGTGATGAGTCAAGTTCATCACGGGGGAAAAAGGTTTATACTTTTTCTGGTCTATTTAATAAAGCCTAATTAGTCCACTTTAACGCTTATAAGTCACATATCCTTATCCCCTTCTACCCTCATGTTTTTTTATAGGTTAAGTAGAAAAGAGAGGGAAAGGGAAATAAATTAAGCCGCTTTTTGGCTGATCACTTAATCAACGTCAGTTAATGTCGCTTAGGCGAGAGGGGGGACAGTCCGTTGGTTCGCTAGAAGTTTTGGCACAAAAAGTATGTAAGCATAGTGGTCTGAGGTCCTTAAAAGATGCGGCCATTTATTTCACTAAAAATGGGAATAAGGAATGATTTGCGAACTGGCCCAATTGCTGTCGTGCCGTTTATGCCTAACCGCCTGCGATCTTCCTTCCCTCCCAGCATATATACACCTTCTCTTGGTAGATACAATGCATGCCACTCATAATTTTTTTTTTACTAGAAGCTCGGTTGCTTCAGTGCGACATTTACCATTAATAGGCGAAGCAGATAGTAGGCAAAATACGCATGGAAAATGAAATCATCATCGTATCTACAGTCGTCGCGTATGTGTGACGCGTCTAGCATCACATGCCCTACGGATCGCACCAAAAAGTGCCACGACTAACCAAAGTGATTGAGTGGAGGGAAATAAAGCAGCTGGGTGGTGTCGTTTCCACTCCGAGGTTGAACCCTACTTTCATGTACTTTGTGAGCCACGTTTTGATTGGTCAATTCAGTGGTGTAAATATTTAAACAATAAACCATTTGGAATGTAAAGGTTGATTTCTCCCTCAAGGCCCTGACATCAAACACGGCCAAATAGATATTCTTTGTAGAACTTGTATAAGCAGACTAAATTTTATCAATTGTTTAAGCAAGCAACGGAGAGGTGGAAAAAAAATAAACGTCCAAAAAATGTGCATGGTAAAAAAGTACTATCTCAACCGACACATCGTCCCAGCTTTTACCTTTTCTTTTCATTCGAAAAGAGCACCAAAATGGCGTAAATAAATTGCTGAACGACATTTACCTTGTCAGTGGGATCAGGAGGTGGTTGAATTTCATTCTCATTTCCACCGACCTCGTCACCAGCACCGACTGGACCGAGGGAAAGCGAGCGACGGCACCGCTCTGCAACATCGGTGGAGCGGAGCTCTGCGGGACGAAGAGCGACACGGGTGGCAGCGACAGATGAGAAAGCGGAGCCTCGTAGCACCTCATCTGCGTCAAATCGACGGGCCACGGGTTTTGCGATGCCTCCGACAGAACCGCTTGATGATTCCTCTGTTGACGAGACTTTTATAGAGGACGAATTTCCTGTCATCTAGAGATGGACAGAAGGTGGTAGATGCTCTCATCATGTGTAAAAAGTCTGGCGGAGACTTGTGGAGTAAAAGAGCCGTGGTTGTTTGATTTGTAAATTAAACTACGTAGCTTTTAAACTTTCGTAATTTGAACACTTGTCCTCCAGGCCACCTAAGCGCGATTAATAAATCTCCTTATTCAACAAAACCATGGCTTTTACGACTTCAGAGAAGGCCCTCTTCACAGTCCGTCTTGCACTTTTCTTTCAGCACCTTCACCACCAAAGCCATTTGTGTATGACGCGTGAATTTTATTACCGCCATTCAGCGTCACATATATGTGACAAGAATGCACTAGCGACCAATAGAGTTGTCAACACATTGGTCGAGTTCAAACAAAGGAAAAGAAAACTAATTGAACGGTTTCCCTATGGTGAGAGTAAACATGACGTTTAGTCTTATTCCCCATCATCGGCGGCCCCTTCCTGTCATGCTAAACAAAGAATGGTCATTTTCTCCCAGAAAGCTAACTTAATCAAGACCAAAGGTTCCTTGAGCAATGTCTCAGCAAATATCCCATTTTTGGCGTATAAATATAGCGCCTATTAATCCGCCCTCACTGTGCACTCCTTCCAGTTACGAGGCTAGGAAATTCCTCCCCTTGCCTGGGAGTCATCTGGCTAAATAAAATGTGGGCGCGTATGTGCAGACGCTGAAGGATGAAACGAGGGAGGAGGGGGAGAAGAAGAGGGGAAAGGGGAGGAGGAAAGACTCTTGAATTATTGAGCATCGAGGAGGAACTAAGCGGAGGGAAAAAGGTATGTTCCTTCGCCAACACTCCCCCTCCCTCCCCTCTCTACTTCTCCTTCTCCAATTCACGCATTACACGAGAAAATTTGCAATTCGTCATGCCTGAACTCCCATCGCCCAATCATTCACTTGCTCAGTGCTTTAAAGCAAAACCCTCAAATGAAAAATCCGTGTTTGGATAGCTAAAACATATTCCGGTGAAGAAGTACAGAACAAGAAATATTTATAATGTGGAACGGTAACCCAATCACCCTTTCAATTTGTACGTGAGCTAGTAAATTGATTTTAAAGATAGGCGAAAGAAGCGGTAGTGAAATATGCCTTTCCTTTGCGATAAAGAAAACGGAAATTTATTCTTAATACAAGGCTTTTTAAGCTAACTTTGCTTACTAACTGAATTACTAACTGAATTACTTCAAATTACTTCAAAAACACATTTCAATATGAAAAAAATAACTTCAATAAGAATTTCGGGGATAAATGGATGATTAATTAAGAAGCTCCTTGTCAATATCTTGCAGTAAAATAAAGCGGTGTTTTAGTTAACAGTGGGAAGCAAGGCGAACTTTAAATTGGGATGAGATTGTTGCAACACTAGAACTACCGCCGAAATAGAGCAACAAGTATCTTTGCTGAGATGGCAAAAGAGAAATATGCAAAACGATTTCAACGGCTAAGGGTTTGAGAAACAGAACCAGCCTTTATTGGTGCTTTTATCGCCTGGGAAAGGTGCTTCGAGAAAAAGTCCTCGAGGCGGCTTTGATTGCCCAAATGCGTTTGCTAATTTACCTACTGCATTCTAATTCTTGAGATGCAACTTTTACCAGGAAAATTAGGCAAATTAAAGCATGACAAAACGAGGTGTGGAGTGGGAATGCGAAAATGAGGTGAAGGCGTGATGTTTTTCATTTCGCAAATCGCAACTTACCGTGGCATCGCCAGGGGTCCCTGAAGGTCGGTTTCCACGCAAAATGGGCGTTATAGCGACCACGGAGCCTTAATAATGATAAAACTTTTATATAGGACTGAAAAATAATTGCAAAGATTCAATTTTTGAATTTCAGGTTCGTAAGGAAGAAACAAAACGAAAGGGGGGGGGGGGGGAACACACTTGGCACGGATTTTGATGCGACACTCGGCAAGTTACTTGTTGGAGCTGATAGGAAGAGCACAAGTTGTTTAAATGCACCTCGCCAATCCCCAACACCGGAAGTGAATCCCGATCCTTCCGACCCCTCGTCCCCCTTGCCCACCAATCATATGTTAGGATACTCAAATGTGCTCCCCCACTTCACCTCCGCGATCGAAGGCGGAGGCTAGAATGAAGAAATACCGAATCCCCTACACAGAGGTTTATGGGATATTAAAGGTTGTTTCTGCCTAGGGAATCGGTGAGGTCCACTCGGATAAGAGGTTGGTGCAATCTGTCCGCTTGTCACAGAACAGGTCTGCATGTGCCATCTCCCACCTCATTCTTGCCATCCGTTCTTGTTCTTCCTTCACGAATCTCATTTAAGTCAGTTTCAAACGTTCACCTACGATTTGCTATGTGAGGGAAAGGGAGAACGTGGTAACAGAAGACAGTTTGTTGAAATGGTTCAATAAGTCGGGTTAGAGGAGAGAGAGAGAGCGAAAAGCAAAACAGTTCGTGGCGCCATTGCCAGGCTAATGTGGAAGTAACGCGTGAAGAGTAGCAGTCGTCAGTAGTTGTTTAAGGGCGTGGGTGCTCTTAATCACCCGAACGACATCCTAGTGACAAGGAAAGTGGTTCTAGGGCTAAAATGTGAGGCGGGAGAGGGGGGAGGAGTATTCGGGGTGCCGTAGATGCCTGTTGAAAGTGGAGATATGTCTCCCCCTCCCTCTGAAACGACTAAGACACAACTTGAAGGTGAGCAAAAAAACCGAATAATCTTACACAGCAAGAAGTGAATTATGAGAAGATGGACAGCCTGAGAAGAGAGCTAGATAACAATAGGAGTTTCCCTCCTCCCTTCCATCTTTCTTTAAAAAGAACACAAAAGGGGGATTTAAAAAAGGTATTTTGTCTTCTTTTCTACTTCCTCCTTAGCCAATTAGCTAATGAAGGAGCACAGAAAAGATCTTTTTTGAAGTGACGTTTGTCAACAAAAAAGAGAGGCGGAGGGGGAAAGCCTGCTGCATTGACCCTTACCTCTAATGTAGAGTAATGAGGTAACTCTATCTACCAAAAGCCGTTTATTTCCCTCCTATGTAGGGAAAAATGGGATGTGTTAGGTTTTGCGACGGCAAAAAGCACCCATCCTTTTGCCTCCCCCTTCCACTAAATCGTTTTAAGGGAAAAATCAAGAAAAGGTAGGGGAGGGGAAGGGAAAAAGGTGAGATACGAACCAACAGGAGGTGTGCTCTAGTCTTAAAAGGTCCTATCTTCCCAGGAAAGCAGGTCCGTGAAATGCATCAGGGGCGGTACTTTAGCAGTCAATAAGAAAGACAACTTTTCGGCCTGGTGAAAGTGACTCCACTATGCCTGCCTACAAGCAGAAGGGTAACGCAAAATGTGAAGGCAGAGGGTGGTGGAGACTGCGGAGGAGAAAGTGGATCAAAACTACGGATTGAATTCACGTTTTCGGGACAGGAAAAAAAGGCGGGGATAGAGAGGGGAGGAGAACAGAAACAGAAGGAGGATTAAGTCACGCACAGAGCTCGAAAGAGTAGTTGAATAGTAACACAGGGCTTTGAAAATTTGGTTACATCGGCGCGCAATTCTACCCACCAGTGAATGTTTCTTGGGGGAAGGAGTTTTGGTCTTTGGATATGAAGCTCACGGAGAGTTAATTCGGACCCTAGTCTCTTGCCAGAAAACTTAACAAATCTTTTAACCCCGAAATATCTACAGTACGGTCGAATCCTCCTCGGATAGGCCGCTGTCGGTGGCGAATTTACCACTAAAGATAGCTGCAATCAAAAGAAACACACGTCGGGATCTAGATCGAGGTCTTCAACCACCAGGGGAGAGGTCGTTCCTGGAGTTAAGAAGTACTTCTAGCCATACTGTTGAATAACCAAACAACCAAGTACTCGAAGTGTTCTTCAGATGCATTTATTTAAAGATGTAACAGCATCATTTTCCAGGGCTTTCAAGAGGTAGACGAAAGTTGGAAGAGAGGAACAGGAAGATTCAAAGTCCTGTTTCTCCCCTCAAATCCTCCCCTCACCACTACCTCGCCTTTCAAGCAAATGGAGCCATGAGAGGCAAGTGGAGTGCCTGTTCCCCGTTCGGATGGCTGGATATTTGAGAGCCCCAGCTGGACCTACAGCATGAACTACGGGGTGTAGAAATAATCACTTCGTCTTCGATCCCGTCTCATGGTTCACCACAATCAACTGGAGGACCTGTCGCGGTGGAAACAGGAGGATGATCACTCGACGCATCACGAAGGACATTCAAAAGGAGGCTAAGCAGTGAACGCCTCTGTAGGGTAATAATAATCCCTCCTCCGTGTTGGGAACTTCAGAAAAGACGAAGGAAAGGGGTTGGAGTAGGGGCAAGCGCCATGCAATCTAGCGATACAAAACGGGAGAGAGAATTCTTCCAAAAAAATGTAGCCGTCGGAATTATACATCTGTGAAAAGGATTTTCTTAAATTAATATCATCGAGACAAACCGGAAAAGGTATAGCTTCACCCTAACTCCCCACGCGGCATCAACTACTTCAGGTGGTCACGAATTCAGCTATTCTTCATCCTTACCTCCCCCCCCCCTTCTTCCTATGCATCCAGAGGTTAAATACTAAGAGCATCTTCTCAATAAAAACAAGTATTTTACCTCTTAGAAAAGAAGAAAAATAAAACCAAAGAGACCTACAATGCTTCGACTCGGCTTCGGGTCGTCGTTGAAGCACCATAGGTGGCACAGTGGAGGTAACACTTATCCCCGTTGGTCGAGATGACATGACCTTGACCTCGGTTACAACCTTGGTGGCGAGATGACTAGGTGGTGCGCGAGTGAGGGTGTTGTTTGAATGCTCAGTAGGGAAGAGATCATTAGGAGTGGGACTGTCAACACGTTGATGATTTGCGTTTCGTAGGGAATGCCGACGAACTGTGTAACGACTGCGGATAAAGGAGGAAGTCAAACAATGATGGCATTTGTTTCAGAGGTTCACATCACTTTATCCACCCACCATCCAAGTTACCTCCTCATCCAGTTTAGAATCATATTTCCCTATGTACTGATCAGTATATTTTCCTTACAGGTAAAAAAAAGAAAGGAAGACAGAGAGAGAGACTGGACAAGGGCAAGAGATTCTAGAAGGAATTGTCTGGAACTCAAAACACTCCACCTAAATGTCAACCTACCCTGAGCTGCTTTAATCTCTCAGACCAATTCTGCTAAAATAAAGTTCGTCCTAAAGAATGAACGCAATTTGGGAATCTCTCGACAACGCCTACATCAGATGTTACCATCAACTGCCATGCGGGTGGCAGAGATTAAAAGAAGGACTCGTAGATACAGCCGAAGCAAGGAAGGTGCGACGGATAGCGCAGGGGATGACGCCCAGAAGCCATGATTGGCGACGAGGACAACACTCATGAATACTTAATTTCTCTCCTTTCCTAATAACAAAGACATGCAAGTGAGGAGCGGGTGAAATCAGAGGGAGTTCAGCCGAAAGGTTCCAAGCACTGACTAAATGCATAAGGCTATACTGACTCCTTAAAGTCCATTTCATAAACTCCAAGGGGGCTTTTGCCTTCCCTTAAAACCTGTCGCGACATGAAATACTTAACTACAGCAAGTTTTAAACCCACCTAATTCTTGACCAATAGAAATAAAAGAAATTCATCTCCGGCTCATTTGATTGGCCAGGAAGGCAACTCACTTTGAATTGGTAGGTCTTCGGCCACCACGAAACGGATGGCCCGGTTCCGTAGCTGAAGCAATCGATACAGGGGATATTGGTGGTGCTGAAATTGGAGGCGAATAAGGAGCAGTGGAAATTGATTGTCGAGTCTCACTCGGGCCTTGATTCTGATTAGATGCGAAGAAATAGCGTGTGGGGTGAATCACTTCATAGCGGTTGGCTGATTTGCCTGGCATCGATGAGCGGTCCATTGATTGGCTGTAGAGGTCACTAATTGTGGGCTGGAAATTTTTATTTTAGAAAAATATTTCGTATCCATATTTTTAAAAAATCCTCGAAAATACAAACAAAAACTCATCGGCAAAATAATTTGCGGTCATAAACTAGGAAACTTTGGCGGTGATTTTCTCATTTTTTTAGAAAGTAGTATATGATAATTTAAATATTTCACTGCAGAAAAAAGCGTCAGAAGAATTTGAATTTTAGGTTAGCAAATTTAAGTAGTTAGTTTACGAGGACAGACAAAAAAAGAAGACTTCTTTTCCAACAGGGACACTGAAAGTAATAAAACGCAATCTTGCAATGTTATCTCAAGTGTCAACGGTGTCAATGTCATAATCGGCCGAGGCGTGACAACTGCTACATCGCGTTTTGACATGAATTAAAAGCGCCGACGAGGACGCAGATGTCGTAAATGTGGGGGGAGTAGTTGCTCGGGGTGGCAATAAAATGCGGTTGTCGTGAGTAAAGAGGAAACAAGGGAGGATTATTCCTTCGCGCTTTTCACTAGAAATTTTTAGTTTATTTTTCAAAACTGCTAAGTGAGAATCTACCACAAACAAGTGTTCAACTGACGGAGAGAAAAATGACGAAATTTCGGCGCAGCTGTCGATTTAGGTGAGGAAAAGGATGAAAAAAGGACCTAAATTTTTTTTTAAATTTGCAACGCGATAACGACCCCGTTGGAGAGGAATTTCGGCATAATCAACTACCAAACAAGGACAATGACGTGGGGTCGATGGCGTTGAAGCAATAGAAATTTCCGACTTGGTGAGGTAACACCAGCATCCCTGCCCTGCGGTCCGCTGCCCACTTCAACATGTGTACAAATAAATGGTTTGCCCCAAGTTGACACAGTCTCCTCCTCATTCTGTTCAACAACGCGACAGAGGTGACAACGACTAGGGGTTTTAACAAGCAATCATCGCATTCCCCTCAGTGGCTGTATTTCCATTACGACCTACTTCCACACTCCAACACCGGGGTCCCAACTCACCCAAAACTCACCTGAGTGGGTGGTGGTGGTGGAGGAGGAGGGGACGGAGAGCAAAATTTCTCATTCACTGGGCTTCTTTTCACACTTGTCTCACCATACCGATGGGTTAGGTAGGTAGATAGACTTTGCAATTGTGGCAGTTGAATCGGTGTTGCTGGCACTGTTGGGTGAGTAGGCTGTCTGTAGATACGTCGGGCTATTTCGTTCAGTGCTTCTTGTGAATCCTACAGTGCAGAAAGAGACATATCACGACCCCATCAACTCAAACCAACCCACCTCAACTCACAAGAAGAAAGGTGTGAGGAGGATGGCGTTTCCTTAAGAGGTAATACGTAGCATGTCCGCGTGTCACGAGGAAATCCGACGTCGCAAATATATGGCTCATGTTCTCTACCACTTTATGCTAGCTGACTGCATTTTCACTAGTGGGTAAATCGGTCAACAAAATAGGCGTGCGCCCATTGATGCTGAGTCTCATACACTGAGCGAATAAGCAAACACAGATTGTGGCAACCGACTTGTCTCTGCAATTCTAGCAACAGGCTGGGAAATATCTAGGTGACCCTGAGTAGGAAAAAAAACTTCACAAGCCCCAGCATTGTATGCTAACCATTGCGCAGTTTTTTGCTAGACTACAAAGTCGCAAACTTTTGGTTGGAAAAATGGCAATAAAATAATTTTTTCCTCCTTTTTGAAGTTGAATAAAACAGGAGGGAGGTGGATGAAAACCTTGTTTGACTGAATTCCGCACCTATTTGAGCATTTTTTGGTGTGTGGATGTGAGAGAGGAGGCAGGGAGGGGGAGAGTGATTTAAATGGTGTTGACACCAGGCGGCAGATTGGGTCGCTACGATGCTAGACACTGGGTCGTGATATTTGCTAACTTACAACTCACCCTCAACAATAACGCAGTGTCCAGACTGGCAGTGCTACGCGTTGATCGAATAATGGGCACCTGTTGTCCCGCAAAAGGGTAGACTGCGTCTGAGGTGCGTTTTTTTTCTCGTATGGAGTACTGAACCGAAGGATAACGATGACGACGATGATATCCGGAACCCTGTGCTCTTCCATTCTCTCCATACTCCGATTGGATGGAGCATCGACTAGCATGCCGCCGTAACTGACTCCACGTCACTTCTAGTAGATTGTTCTCCGGATTCCAGGAGCGACGAGTTGTAGTAGACTGGGCTTGCTGACTACTTGTCGGACCTCGCATTTCCAGACCAGCTGACGGTTGAATTGGAGCACGGATAAGATTGGGTTTCGGGACGATCTCGGGTTGAAGAAACTCCTCTTTCAAGTGATCAATGAGGGGAGAGGAGGAAGAAGAGGATGATGAAGAGGTGGAAGGGGAGGCAGATGCATTCAAAAAGCCACAGGAATCTTCGACAGGGAAAATTCGACCTTGAAGGTTGGGAGGATTGGAGGGTAATACCTTGAAGGTGGCGACAGGGGTGGCGGCGGCGCTGTTGGTGGTGGTGGAAGCGGTGTTGGTCAAAGGAAAGACAGCCGAATGCGGTTCGGCATCAACTACACCAGAATCGATGGATTGGTAGGGCCGAACGCCTGTCGGTGAAATTTGGTTTTGAGTGATGACTTGGCCTCCAGCTAAAGCAGAAGAAGAAATTTAACAAATGATTGACGTTAATTAAACACCTTTGGCAATAAAAAAAATACTTTTTAAAAAACGAGCTAGCTTCTTCGGATCGCTTTACTGTCCTTACCAAATTATGGTTGGACTTGAAGAATGTGCTTCAAGCCAACCGGATTCATGAAAAATCTTTAACTGGAAAATTAGTGGAAGCTAGTGGAAATGAATGTCACATATCACTATCCATAATACTTCTAGGCCGTGCATCACTTCGCCCACACTGAATTACGCCTGCTTTGTGCAGAGTGAACTGTAGAGACCAATGGTCACCTCCTGAGAGCCAATTGGGAATCAGGGCTGAAAACGACGTCTTCGGCACAAACGGCTAGTATTAGTAATCCGGCCAATTAAAAGACAAGGCAACGTAGCACCTCATGCCTCGTACCGCCTCAAAACCTTGTTGTGAGAAGATTTCCTTTTCCGGTTGGGACGAGGGGGGAGGGAAGAGGTACAGTCTCACCTCATCACCTCCGTATTACACTCACATTTCTCCTTGCTCCAGGTGATCATAGCCTTTTCTGGGCAGTAGATAATCACGTACAACGACAGTTTGGAGAGTAGAATGGGGTTCAAACAATAGCAGCTAGGAGAGATTTTTTGCCCCAAATTCTACAGACGAGTGGGATTTGCAAAAAATCAGCTACCGCGTTAGGAAAGGATTATCAAATGTGATGATGATTATTTTGACCGATAAAATCTACTGTGTTGTTCATTTCTTAGCAGAAAAAGGAGAAAACACACAGAATTCCTTTTTATAATGCATAATAGGCGTAAACTGTCTTTTTTTTCAAACCACCCAAATTCTTACCATGGTATGGTATGTTTTCAAATAAAAATAATATAAAATTAAAACCAAATAAGTTCGAATAAGACTTGATATTTACTCACATCACCGAAAAACCGACTCACACTTTAAAACCACTACTTACCAGTTACATTACTTGACCCGCACGAAATGAATGCCAAGTCTGTGCAACTTTTGAGTAAGCTAATAAAATTTTTCAAGCTTCACCATGCATAAAATTAAGTCAAACTTGTGGCTCTTCAGTGCAAAATTACAAACGAAATTCGTAAAGGCAACTATAAATCATGAAAAAGAACGTGGTTTTCACAAACCAAAAAAAATTCGTAATGGGAGCAAAAGGTGGAACCTCACTCGGAATAAATCGACAGTTAATAGTAGGTAATTATGAACATTTTAGGCCTTCTCAAAGACTGCATTTTTGATTCCAACGAGCAATTTTATGGGTAAACTAATCTTTCTACACTATTGTTGGGAAAATAGCCGAATTCCGGAAAAGCCTGAGGTCTGCCACCTACGCAATCCTATCGCAGGCTTGGCCAGCAGTCTTAGCACAAACATAATTGAAGCTAAATTTCGACACTGAGATAAAGCCGGAGCCAGCATCTGTGTTTGGCTTTTGGACATTATTTGATTCCGCCTTTCTCTTTCCACTTCAAGGTCGTAACTCCATCTGGTCGGACTTCCGGAGAACTCCACATACGTCAGAGCAGTTCGGGCCACTCATAGAGAGGAAGGCCTGTATGCTGCACTTAAATGTACATTACCAATTCAGATGAATTAATGCTTCCGGCAAACCCATTCAGTCCTACAAAAATAGCCCATTACAACTCCCTAGTGGAGCGATTTATGAAGTTTGACAGTCGGCTTGACAAGTTGGACTAGTTATATGGCTGGTTCAAATACAGTCATTTACTAATAATTTGTAAAAATTAAATAAGAACCAGCGGTCTGAAAACAATCTAATGCTCTTCAAGAAATAATAAATGGAACATATTTTACTCAGAGTTCAAAAAATTACTTTTAGCAATTTATTTTTCCACAAATAATCTGACCAAGTTACTTGAATCTTGTAAAGGAGATTCCATACCGACTATTCTACCAATTCAATGCAAATCAACCTTAAGGCTGCAGAATTCTCCCGTCAGGATAGGAGATGAGATGGGTGAAGGTTCTCCTCATAACAAAAGTATGATCTAAGAGGACCCGGAAGTCTTTAAAAAGGATTGTCTTCGTCTGCACCAAGAGAGGTCAACCTGCGCCGATTGAGAGAAAGGTATTTGCTCACCTTTCCATTTGGCCAATTTTGTATTTCAAAGTTTGATAAAGGAATAAACATGCCTTCCACTATTCCCAACCGGACCACTCGTCGCCTATTCCACTCCACACTCTAAAGGAGACACTACTTCGGTTCCTGTTTCGTGGGTGCATATAAGTGAGTTTGGTGCAATGCCAACACACTGCAGAGGTGATTCATTCACTTCCCAGTAGTCAAGCAATAAATATGGCTGAGGTTTACCCACTAAGAGAGGAAAACTAGGTGTACAGCTCGAAGGTGTGAGTAAACCTCGTCTCATTCATTCGGAACACACAAGCCCACGAATAAAGCCATACATACAAAAGACCCGCTCTTATCCTTCCTCCTCCCCGCATGACATTTCTCCACGTGATGAGCTTCCGTAAGATTTGACAATCGCACGCAAGAAAGAACAGACGGTTGGAAAATGAAAGGGATGAGAGAAAGGGTGGCGGCTAGATTTTGACTGCTTTTTGTCTCCTAGGAGAGCATAATATCGAGAGTTATTGCGAAACAGATAGGAGAATGACATATTAAGAGGCATCGCCGCCAACAAATTCGCCTCTGCCAATCAGCCTAAAAAGGTGGAGCTATTGTTAGATGGGTGAGCCCAAGATAGTTCTTGCCCTTCATTTATAAAAATGATGAACAAGCCTTGAAACAAGTAGCCTTACTCATGTACACCCCGAAAATCTCGAAAAGTAGGCTATCCTACTCATGAATTCGTCGCATTGGTAGTTAGTGATTCATATCGACTGACCATAATTGAAACACAGAGGATGGAAAGAAAGGTCAAAATTCGGTGTGATGGAACGTCCTAACGTTAGATTTTTATCTATCGTTTTTGCTTAATGCATAAAAATTAAATAATTTTAAATATTTTAAAAAACTACTGTGTTTACCCCAGATGCAGTGTCTATTAAGACATTAATCGGTTGCGCGACCTTGAAAGTCGACCAATGAAAACGCCGAGGAGTCAACCATTTTTCTACTGGAGCAGTGAACAAATCAAAAAGGTTTTCTAAGAAAATTTTCATAAACATGTCATAAAACTGGATTTAAAACTGCAAAAAAAACATCTATTTGACTGCAATTTTAATGTACACTAATACTTAACCTGCCTTTCTTGGCACCATCCGATTTATGAGGAAAAGCCCAAGACTTTTCAACACGCAGTTGATCTAAGATTCCCTTTGATCCTTCTCGCTTCTCCAACCAACAGGGTGTTTTTGCCAGGTACTCCGGTATCGCGGGAGGCCCCTGACGCCTCGATCCACCCAGTGGAGTTCTACCACCACTGCTGTTGGATTTTGCCTCTAGATCCTGCAAGTGGCGAAAAGTACAAGTGAAAAATTGACCATTCCCCGTACGGATTTCACATCCAAATTTGGCACTCAAACAGCACATAAGTTGAAACAACTGTTAGGAATTGACAATTGACTTGCTTCCGTGATGGCGCTAAGGAAATTGCACAATTACTTGCACACAAAGAACGCGCAATTGGAATGTCAGGAGGATGTAAAACAAAACATAAGTCCCTCCTTTTTGATTTGGTAGCGGAAACTATGCATGGAATTGTAAACTTGAATGCCTCTGCTCCTTGGGTAATCAATTTATTTTCTCCCCTTTCGGAGGGTAATAGAGCGAAGGGCAAAACACTTCGTGGACTCGTCTTTTCATAGGCATGTAAGTAGGCGGACGAGCTGTCCAAATGTTCGCGAATTCGCATACCCAAACACGGTTAGGAAGGCCGACCAGAAAGTGGGAGCGCAGCTGAGTGGAGTCAGGAAAAAAAAACTGCAGTTTGGGGTAGTCTGAGGTGGTGAAAAAGACTGAGCAACCTCTGCCTTGACTGAGGCAATCGACTCATCCAAAGGCCAACTAACTCACACTAATCGCATGAATTATTCATCAAAATTGGACCGATTTCATTGGAGCTTTTTTCATCCCGAAGCAACGCCATATCCCCCCTAACCTCCACCCTGACTACGTCTTAAAAATGCTACGGCGAATGAACAGACTTGTTGCCTTCTTAAGGCGATGGAAAATCACTTTGTCTAGCACTTTGATGCGCCCAAAAAAGTTTTCAGGCGAATTTTGAGGACGTTGAGTCGTAAAACCAACCTGTTTACTACCCACCTGTTTCTCTCCACAAATCTTTTGTCCATCCTTAAGATGTGAAAGTATCTGCTGATTGGGGAGGAGGAGGGGTTTTGGTGCTGCGCCTTAAATAGAAAAAGAGGACGCATTTTCCACTTCACCCACATTAAACTAGTAGTTGGTCAAAAGTTATTTTACTTTTTGAGGAAAAGTTAATAAGTCTTCATTCGATTTTCCCTCTCAATTGAGTAGATTGCTTGAAACAGATATCATTTCTACAACTAAGAGTGGCGCCTTTATGCTTAGAAAAATAAACTTCAAATTAGAATAAGTGCTAATACCTATGCGATTAAAACAAGCAATTTCTCAACCCAATACCGCCACATACCGAGCCAGTCTGAGACCAAAAGCCAGATTAAACAGAACGCAAGAAAGGAGAAGGAGGCCACATTTTTCAAAAATAAAGGCATTATTTACAAAGTACGCATACATACAAGCATTTTAGTGATTAGTGTGTATTAGCATGCCCATAAAAGTGAAGGTGATTAGCCAAAGTTTTACATCTGTTAGAGCTCTCAAAAAGGGAGGTGAGTAAAATAGGTGGGTAAGTAGACAAGCAAGCAAGCTAGTTGGATAGAATGTCCCTCTGTACATATTATGCAAGGCGCTAATAATTTGTTTTACGTTCAGCATTGTTAAAGGCCAAGCCTTCTCTCTAAAAATTAAAAAGCAAAAGTTGCAAATATTGCCATAAAAAGCAGTTAAAACAGTCCCCCCTACCCTCCTCTCTCGACCCCCCATTACCAAACGACTACATCCAATAGGAGAAAATAGAGAAAAAAAATAAAAGCCCGTGTGAGGAGATTTAAATGACAAAAGGCGTTAGCGTTAATTTGAAAACAAATAAAAGTTAAATAAAGGCAAACCTTTTTCAGTTTAAAGAAGGGTTTAAGGAGATTCATTATTTCCCCAAATCAGGAGCGAGAGATCAGTCCATATTGGCAGTGACTTTAAATAACACAGCAGACGACGACACGTCGCCTGCATTAAGCCACCTTCAAACCTAACAAATGGTCTCCCACCAACATTTTCATTGGCCTTCTCACACCCCTCACTCCGAGCGCGCCTATTGGCTCTGCCAAGGTCACTAGTGGGGAAAAAACAAAAGCGCTGTTCCACACACGCTAGAACATAATGAAAATGAATTCTGTGCCTACGTTGCCTGTTTTAACAGCGCCCGGAAAGGCTGTCGCAGTTTTGTCTCTGTCTCTCCCTCTTTGTGAATACGGAGGAGGGCGAGAAAAAAAAGAAGAGGTACGGAAAGTAACTTTGAGATTGAGCATGTCCAGGTCTCTCAACCTGGTTTACTTAGAAAATGCAACAGGGGATTGCTCCGCATTGCGGTTAATACCAGTCGCGGGTACACTTTGACGACAAGGCTTGACACGAGTCGGAGAGTTTGTGATGGCCATCATTTACAGTTTCATTAGAAATTTAAACCGCTAAAGCGGAATTATTCTGAGCTATTTATGAAAAAAAAAGACGGCTTAAATGGAAATGGTGACGAGATTGAACTGGGTCTTTTTTGGTCCACCCTGAAACAACTGTAGTGACGCGTTGCCATGGTAGCCAGAATGCATTATTCCAAGACGGAAGTGTTCGTGATTGACCGCGTTGACCAAACGGACAGAAATATACGCGTATTGTGAGATTTCACAAAGATTTTATGTCGACCACGGTGGAGGGGGGATCACCACGATCGAGGAATCGTGGCTGATCCGCTTCAATGGAAGTCTTATCGTCCTAGGCGCTATGTTCCACCCATACATACACTGCCAATGCGTCGCCTCCTTGCTGCGTACAGAAGCTCCACAGAGCCAGAGTTCATTGCAGCAATAAGCTTAAACGACCCTTGTTAATAATTAACCACTTCCAGATTACCCCCTGTGTCGCTATTCTCGGAAAGACAACAACAAGGACCCCTAATTCTCGCAAATAATGATGACATTAGTGAGCTCCCATGGGAGTGTAGATACGGCCAACTATTTGGCAGTTATCCTACCTCATCATCACTGGAGAGAGAGTCCACTTCAGCTCTGAAATCCTCGTTGATTTCTTCTTCAAACCGCTGCAGTGCTTCTGCCTCTCCTTCCTCCTCTTCAGCCTCCGCCTCATCAGCCTTTGGGCTACCACTTCTCGATGTCATGGTGCCTTGATAGGGGATTGTGCAGGTGTTTGAGGTCTCCATGATACTTGTTTCCCCTCGGACCTCGTTTAACAACTTCTCCACGGAATCGTATATTACAACAGGTGGAATACCCTCAGCGGCCAATGTGCCATTAGCATCGAGAACATAGGTTTCCGCGATACTCTGAACTGATACAGCGGTCTGAAGAGTGTTTGGGTCAATTGCATGATCCTCAGGATGGGTCATAGGATTCTCCAGCGTCACCGTGGAAGCAGCATTACTCAGTGTTTGTGTCGCGAGATTTTCCTCTGTTGAGGCACCGACGACGGGGAGTTTGTCAATCGGAGGATGAGAGAAATCTGCTGATTTGTTGACATTTTTGCCTCGGATCCACGTTTTACTGAAGTCCTCCACCAAGGGACTGAGAGCTTGTGCCAACTGGGAGCAAGAAAAAAAAGTACTAAGCGAAGTTACGCAGTGATACGGTGAGTGTACGTGAAAATCACTTTCAAAAGATCAAATTAAAGTTTCGATCAAGTGCTATCCACCTCCTCCATACCACATGGCACGAATGTGTACACAAACAAGACTTCCACATCAGAGACAACCTGATGAGTAATCACGCTTGGTTAATCAGTCAGGGGAGAGGAAAAGCCTTTTCTGACATAACAGCTCTGCATAGCACCCAAATGCCCTCTTTTATCCGCCTTGAAAGGGAAGAATTACCTTAATCAACTATGAAAGAGGGCTACAACCAAAAACTCCAAAATGCTGAAAATCAAACTGAAAAAACCAACCACTCCAACTTACTGCTTCCTCTTCATCCTCTCCAAATTTATTAACCTCAGCTTCCACCTTCTCGAACAATTCCAACTCCTTTCTCTCCTCCGGCGTGCACACAATCGCCGGCTTCGCTTTTGCAGTTGGCACAAATGGATCCGCAGGTGCCGATGGAGATGCAGCTGCCGCGGCTGCTGCCACCTTAAACTCCTCAAACACTGCTTGGGTGGTGCATTTGGCAGCTGCCACAGCGGTGTAGGTAGCACTGATGCCCTGAAACATCTTCTCCATCACATACTCCTTAGCATCCTTGTAGGACCAGATCTCCTGGATCACGGGATCACAGATCGTACTCCCACCGAGCACAGGTTTTGTTGGCAGACAGATAGTAGAGCTACCGGTGGTAGTAGTATTGGTTGTTGTAATTGGCTTCTTTATGCTGTTGAATAGAGGACGTGAGGACTTCGGTCTCGGGGTTAGCACGGTCCCTCGCGAACCTGAAGCGGCTGGAACTTTTGTAAGACGAGGAGCATCTGCGTTAAAACAAACAAGCAAACAGTGTCTTAAGGTGATTTGTATTTCCTTGGGCAAGAAGATTGACAAAAATGGTGTCATAATGTTCAGATATCCGGTGACGCCTATTTTATTTAAGTAGCAAGTATGCAAGCAAGTATTTATGGCATAAAAGTGATTGAAACGAAGATGTTTATGAGTTAATAGGGCAGTAATTCGTCGCATTCTACACTGTAAAATTCACAAGAAGCACTGAACGAAATAGCCCGACGTATCTACAGACAGCCTACTCACCCAACAGTGCCAGCAACACCGATTCAACTGCCACAATTGCAAAGGCTATCTACCTACCTAACCCATCGGTATGGTGAGACAAGTGTGGAAAGAAGCCCAGTGAATGAGAAATTTTGCTCGCCGTCCCCTCCTCCTCCACCACCACCACCCACTCAGGTGAGCTGTAACCCCGGTGTTGGAATGTGGAAGTAGGTCGTAGTGGAAAAGCAGCCACGGAGGAGAATGTGACGACTGCTAGTCAAAACTTCTAGACGCTGTGGGGCCAAATTTTGTTAGGCCCGATACGAATGCAATGCATTAGTCTGCCGATAGAATTATGCTTGCCTCTGCTTCCCGCTCTCCCTCCTCCCGTTCTCCCTTTCCGGCCCCAACACCTTACCATCGAGTGTTGGCTAAATCTAGAAAGTACGTGAAGATATAGGAAAAGGTTGGAGGGGGAGAAGTGATGGGAGGGGAAGGAAAGAGTAGAGTGGAAGCAGATCACGTCGAGTTTCCAGCCGACCTGATGGCGCCAAAAAGTACGAACCGGTTATTTGACCTCTTCGTGGGCTGAAGTCCCGAAAAATTTGCCCTCTACCACTCCTGCCAAATCGGATTGGCAAGAGTTTAAGAGTGAAAGAGAGATAAGGTGGCTTGCCTCTTGCCCACACTTTCTTGTTCCTTTTTATGACAAGAAAACAGGATCTGCGACATAGACAGCCTAACCGGTTAGCTTCGCAGTTAGCCTTTTCAATGGAATGGGAGATGTAAAGATAAACACCCTCAGATAAATAATTATGGGGCAAAATACGCACATACTCAAATTCATTGCTTTTAAAAAGCACAATTTATTTATTTAAAATCCGTATTCGTCAGTGCAGAGCCACAAAGATCACCCGATGGATGGTGTATGTAGGGTGGGGGGGGGGGGAATCTAAGAGATAAGGCATTTCATCCACCAGGATATGATTAGGTGGCTTGAAGGTGTCTTATCCTCTCCCAACCTCTCGGTGTGCATGTGTGTGACCTTCACCTCCGAAAGGTCAAACTGTGGTTATAGTTAAACCCTACTCCACCTCCTCCACACCGCATAATGCGGCTGCGCTCGCAGTCAAGACTTGGCCATCAAGGAGAACCGGAACAGTCAGAATTGTTTAATAGGCCTCCCTCTTTAAGGACAGGTCACCCCAACGCTCCCATTTCACATCCCATGAGGCTGGCGGAAAGACTGACCCATTGATGGGGGCAACACCTAATGCATGGCATGAGCAAAGGAGATTGGTTAATCATCTAACACTCCAATTTCGAGGTGTTTTAAACGAGACAAATTGCAAAAAAAGGGTGGAAGACTCATAAAAAAACGCGGTCACTTCATCGCCTTTCACTAAATTAGGCCGTGTGACAGTGTGGAAGGAGAGGGAGGTAAAAAAGAAGTGGAAAGAGGGTTAACAAAAAGTAGAAGTAGAGAAAAAACCTCCTCTTGGCCTCATGATCCCCTCCTTTCAGTTGTTTTAGGGGAAGAAGCAACTGCCAATGAATCTCTCCATGCTACAATTACCCAATTCACCATTGTCGATGAACTTTTGACGACCAGCAGAGAAGAGTGACAATGCAAAATGCTGGGTTCGCTTCTGATTGATTTGGGGGTGTCTTAGGTACCTCCTCCACAAATCCCTTTCCAATCTCCTTTAAAAGTACCCTCTCCGACTGTTCTACAATTCTCCGCCCTATTAACTTACTTGGCGTCGCTGATGGAATTCTCTTCTCCTCCGAAACTGCAGTCCGCGTGGGGGTGGTCTGTCGTCCGGATGCTTTCACTGACGCCGTGATGCGATGCTGAAGCGGACTACCTACAAGTCGTTTTACACCATTCTCCGTTGAAATGGGTGTGAGGCCACGTTTCAGTGGAACTCGGCTTGACTGAACTGTAGCGCCGAGAGGCGTACCCGGAAGTGGAATGCGTTCAGAGGCTTTCACAACTGGTGGAGATGCGGAAGGACCTAGTAAAGTAGGCGGTCAAAGTGGAAGAATAATAAGTACGAGTTAGTCAAGCCAAATCAGACAAGAGCTTTAAATTTTGTATTTTTTTGAGGGGGGGGGGGAGAGGGGAAAGAAAAACTAACTTTGTGAAGGCCGAGAAAGCTCCGCCCGGCTAGTTGCGGGTTTTCGCGCATCGTTTGGTGTTGATGTAGTCTTTGAAGGTACTTGTCGAAGAGGGATACGATTGCGTTGGGTCAGTGGATTGGGTGGATCACGAGGCGAGAGTTTTGTGGACCCTTTTCGTGGTGGGGCCTTTTTCATTCCCAGTGTTTTGGTGGCTGGAGAGGCGAAGAAGGAGAAGAGAATTAGATGACATCTGCGAGAGGAGGGTGAGTGAGATTGCAACCCCTTGAGCGGCTCTTTTTTTGTTTCTACTAATACGTTTTGCATGAAGGTAATATGTGAGGGAGGGAAGGGATGGAGAGAAAACGACAATCGACCTATTAGAGAGATGTGCCCACATGAAATGACCATTTACTGCCACCTCCCTCTACCTCTGCCTTCCGCCTATTCCTGATTTTTCTCCCACCTTTTTTGGCACAAAAATAGACTTCTTAATGTCTCAAAAACAAAACAGCAATGACAAAACTGACTCTTAGGTGCGGTGGCGGGGGTGGTGTTGGTGGTCCGTTTGGCAACATTTTTTGATGACACAGCTGGTGAGGTGATCGGAGGTCGATTGTTGTTCGAGGGTTTTGTTTTTGGATGTGAGGTTGTCCTCAAGACACCCACCTGATTGCCTTTGACAGGCTGTCTGGAAACCAGTGACTGATCTGTAGTCTGTCGAGGTGGCTACCAAATTGAAGGGATGAAAAAAAAACTGGATCGACGGTCCTTTAGACAAAAAAAGAGGATCTAAAATCAACTTTGCAAGTCTTCCCCATTGTGTTACCGGTCTCGTAGGTTGTGTAAGGCTCATAAACATCATTGGTAAGGAATAATGCTTGTTTAACCTCTATGCCTAACCACTCGGGAGCTTCGATTTTCAGCGTATGATAACCGCATTGGCGATCTACCCACAGATGTGCCATCTGGGAGGTACGATCCAAGCCTACATGAGTAAGCTTTCGTCTTCTCGAAATAGTAGTATTTTCCTTTGACTTAAAATTCCACCAACAGGATTGAAGCAGTGACATACTACTTACGGCCTTCTTAGTAGCGGGTGCAGTAAATTGTTGCGCTGTAGGCACCGAGTGTTTCCGTGGCAATTGATGCCTCTCCTGAAGTGCCCGACGCAGTCTTTCTGGTACACAGACACTTCCTGCAGCACTGCTATTCCCTCCATCAGCCAAGTCGATAGTGAAAGCCTCGGCCTGGCGTCGTGGGGTGACTGAAACGAAGAGGCTTCCTGTAAACTGTGTGATACGACATTTGGAGGTGTATCCACTGGTTACCCCGAAGGAACCCACACATTACCCATTCCGAATCGTTAAGACACCCATTACAAGGCACTGTAAGCCTTGTGCGTGTATGCTGGTAAACTGCAGAAGCAATCGGTTACTTTCTCACGGATGGTGTCCATCCACCTGCTTAATATGAAAAATGAAACTTTTGAAGAAACAACCAGGACTTATCAATCACATGCCGTGCACCAAAAAAGACCTAATGATGGGAGATACTACCCCGACTCATCCCTCGCGGCTATTTGAGTGATAGGCACAAAAATGCAACGGAGGCGGTAACGGTTGTGTCCGTTGGGAAACAGCGATGTGATTTCATATCATATCCCCCTTACTTCATTGCATAAAAAGCGTATAAAAGCTGATAAGATCTAAGTCCGGAAAAAGTCTGGCCTCCAACAAGGATAGAGGTCTTCTTCTTCTTCCAGGAGGAACCCTTACAGTCTTAAAATACTTTCTATTTACTTAAACACCTTTTTGGTAGTTAAGACAGAGAGAGGTGGGCAAAAGGGAGGGAAGGAGCGAATAAATCTTCCCAGAGAACAGTGCCCTATTGCGTGTCCATTTTCCATAATCCTCAAATTGACCAGCAAATCAGCGGCATGAAGTACCGCTTCATGACATTCTTCCTATCTATTGGTCCCTCTTCCGTATTTTTCACTTGGAAAGAGCTTACCTAACAGATTATTTTTACCTGTTTGGCCTAATTCCGGCAGTAGCACAATTCGTCCTGCCAATGCGTTTACCTGTCATCGAGGTGGCAAATAACTTAAACTGTCAAAATTGCTATTTCCTTTACTGTGAAAAAAAATGAAAAAGGCAAAAAACCCCCTTTCCAAGATGAAACAAGGATAAGGTTTTGTTAGGACAACGCCAAGCAGTTAGAGGTGTTAATGATGCAAATGACTACCTCAAGGTCAAGGGGGGTACGGGTGTGTGTAAGCTTTGGAGAAGGGTAGTTACCTTTTATCTCACCGTTCAAATCAATTGTAAATGCTTCGGCTGGTTTGTGATCAGGGACTAGAAACAAAGGAGTCATTAACAAATAAATAAAATGATTTTGATTGCCTTTAAATTTAGCAGAACAAGGCGTGGCAATAGCGACCTAGAGCTGACGGCACGTACAAAACATCTACACGTCCCTACGAGCATTGACACGTCTTCTGGGCCGAACCTAGCGATTCTATACGTGGTGTTCTCACCATCACCAGGAACGGAGATTCGCTTTATTCTTTAAGGCGTCAAACTTAATGTGTCTACCGCAGAAAAGTCCTTTTGCTCCCATGATAGCCAGACATTCTAGGACACTTAAAAATTCCCGCTCTTGTTCATTGCCCCTGATTGGCCTATATCATGTAGAGGTAGACTTTAAGTTTGTGATCTCGCTAACATTTGGCTAACTGCCACGTATACACCCAGAAGTGGAATCTCTACCGTTCCCAGCTACTCCGGTTGGGAGGTGGACAGGCTCTAAATTCACGTCAAAAGGCACGTACTTACAGCAGTGTAATGCACTTACTTCAACAAATCGCTAGGGAGAAGGGGGATTTATAACATCTCTAATACAAACCGGACGGCATTCAAGGTGATTGCCACGCGTTTAGATCTCTAAAACGGATGCCCCAGAGACCAGCATCTCAAAATAGATGGCAAGGCTGAGCAGGCCATTTTAGAGTCGTTTAGCCAAGAGCCCAATACCCAAAAACAGAGTGAAGTTTCCACCCCCAGACTCGAGGGTCAATTTGTAGATGCGGATTTGGTATAATGCTGAACCACCTCTTCTCAATTTCCATTTTTACCACCATGGTCATGGCCTCTTCACTTCCAACAAAATACCATTGAAATGTCTATTTATAAGTAATAAGTAAATTGAATATCTGTTACAAATAAAAAGCAGCTAACCTTGTCCAGTGGGGCTGTCCGGCCGTAGGTCATTGAAGGACATTTTACGCGACGGTTGGGCTGAAAGCGGGTGGGATGGGGATTTCTCACTCTTCCCTCCCAGTCTCTCGTCCTCTAAATCATCATCACCCCACCAACTTGGTTTGCCATAAAGTTCTATAAGAATGAATGCACGGGAAAAATACCTATTGCTTCCAAGTATCTAAAAACAGACCGAGCCGGAAATAAGATGCCAATTAAGTGAATCTTCTGTTCTAATGAGTTTTTACACCTTTTTCCTTCTTGCATAACTTTTAACTACGGACCTGTACGCCTAAGCGAGACCAACTTGGACCTTGCAAGTAAGTACTTTTACCAACCGACCTGACCTCAAAAACAACCGGCGTGACATTTGCGTAGGTTGGCCAACTTGGCATACAAAAACAGCTTTCCGTAAAGCGATCTACGCTTCTATTGTTAACTGTAGTTTGGTGGTTTGCTTGATTACTTATTCATTCATTCATCCATTCATCTCTGCCCAGGAGCTAAGGCACCGATAAGTCTTGCACCTCCTCTCTCTCCCCTCCCTCCTCTCCCTTGCGCCATGCCCAACTTTTGTCAGGAGTGTAATCTATTAGGCACGCAAGTTCTTAGGATTATATTTTCCGTGGAGATGACCCTCACTACAATCTATAGGCCTTCACTATAGCGATAAAGGCCGGAGGTGGGGGAAGAAAGATTGCCTCAGTTTTCTCCCCCTATCTCCCATTTACCACGTGATTACCCAAAACTTTAAGGTCAAGGAAATGTGGACGATGAGGTGAGGGAACATCCATCGTCTATCCTTCCGCCGACCTGTCTTGTAGTATCAGTGATTACTAGGCCAATTTAGCTGTTCTTGTTGGTCGTATCGAAAAAAAAGAAATCTTTTTGGTATTGCCTGTCCAGGAGACAGGTGCCTCTCTCAGAGGTTTAGCCTTCAGTAAGATGAGCAATTCCGTCTGTAGCCTAAGCCACCCTCCCTCGCACACAAACACACACAAAGCAGTCATGAAGTGGTGCATGTCTAAGAAGTGCATGTGGTGAGAGCGGGTAGCAGCGGATGGATTGTTTAGAAGCAACCAATGGATTGAAAGTCCATTAATTTGTTTGGCCAATCCGCACCCATCAACAAACAGTCCTTACCTTGGTAAAAGAAGTGAAAAAACCTCCTGTAATTTGACCAAAGAAGCTTTTCTGTTTGACTACTAACAAGACTACTCCTGCAATCCAGGCGTTGAAAAATCTTAACGGGGGGTTTAACTACAAATGGTGTATCATCATCATTTGATGACTCACCACATATCACCAGCAGCCAAATAAATGGAAACCATTTGTGGACGGTACATTCTATCATGGTGAAGTGCGTCCGCCTTTACTTTACCGGACAAATTACTCCATATCTTAAAACTGACTCGTCTTCACCAGACACAACCAAGGAAAGAAAAGAACGAGACATTAACAAACCAGACCACTTAGTCCCCTGTTCTTGCCTTTTTTGGTGGGGAAAAAAACCGAGAAGCTCATCTAAGTATGCATATTATTGGGAAGGCCCAGGCTTCTGGCTAATGGTAGCAAAATTTCATTTCGTTCTTTTGCCGAAAATAGATGGAGAAAGTTAAAAACTGTGGATTTGAAGAGGCGACTGCTGATTGGTTAATTTTGGGGCTTGTCACATGGCCTGCCCTACTCCACAAGCGGAGCTGCTCCTGCAATTGGCTAAGGTATTAATCAGTCACTTTCCAAGAATTTTGCCCAAAAAGGCAGAAGGGAGGAGACACTCGCCTTCTGAAGGCACCTCTCCACTGACTGAGTCAACGAATGACCATACCTACTGGAGGCTGAATGAGTAAGGCGGAGTTGGTTACAAACCCTATGTGAAACGAAGAAGGTATCCAATACGTGGTCCGCGAAATCAGAGCAGAGACTATCAGAGAAAGAGCTTATAGAAAAAAAGGAAAGATGAGTAATTTGACCCACCTACATACCAGCTCAGAACTGTGGGAATGTCGTGTCTCACGGAAGGATTACTCAGAAAAAGTAAGGCAAATACTGCCTTTTGGTTCTCGGGTAGGCAGGAGATTTTATTCGCCGCTTTTTTACTTTTCTGAAAGTAGTATCTCTTCAATAAAGCGAAGACGGACAACACCTCTGCAGCAAATATCATAGGATTTCCTCAACCAGGAAGGCCCAAAGTCCACAACATCGAGGTATATGATACACTACACAAGAAGGGAGGAGAGAAGGGAATGGGGTCGTTCAACTGGGATCGGAGGAGAAGGGGAAGAGAAGGCCGCTTTTTTTCGCCAAAGTGGCAAATTTTAGTGATTCATTGCTTGTTTTAATGGACTTTTAACTACACCCAGTTCATTTATCGCCTAGCGGTGGGTTGACCTCTTGGTCGTGGCTACGGTTATATGGGTAATGACATCACCAGAAAGGACTCAGGACGCAAGGTACCGGTGTCAGAGTAGGAAGATCGTTAAACAAGGGAAATCCTTTTCTGGGAATAGTTAAATGTGGGGAGAGTAGCTACAGAAGACGTTGAGACAAATCTTAGCCTCTCTAGATCTAGGTAATGAATGAGGAAAGCGAAATGACCGACAGAAAGGGAGGCTTACACTCACCTCTAACACTTTTCCTTGCAGCGTAGGCAGCCTGTTTGTAGTCAACTGGAGCAACCTGCTTAGCCGCTATCGACTCATTCCACGGTTCCACTGATGGAGGTTCAGTGAGTAGCAGAGCCTCATCCCTACTCAACGAGACTGATAGATCCACCGCGATGGAGTTGATCATGGGGGACATCAATTTGGTGAGGAGGTCATTACAACCCTCGCGGCAAGGCAGTGGACTCAGACAGCGCTGATCATTTCCATCACCATCATCGCTGTCGCTAAAACTTTCACCGCCTAAACTGTGATTGTCATAGAGGTGACCAATCACCCCACGACCTTGAGCATCAAGAGAAAGGGAGCGTCGTACGCCATGGTCAAAATTGCCTCGCCGAAATTCCATTCGCGATAGACGATCTGGTGCCTGATATCGATCCATCACAGCTTATCAAAAAAGGAAATTGATCTCTCTATTAGAATCTGGTATGTTGAACAACACCTACTCACCACTCCCCTAAGTAGTATAAGACTCCAGAAAAATGAATCTTCAGTGTTCAAATTCCTCTCAAATTGTGTTTTGAAAGGAAAGCTTTTTTCTTCTTATGATCTAATTTATTTAAACCAGAGAAATAATACCCGGTTTTTTGTCTTATACTGACTACGTGATATCCTCGATTTGTGTCTCAGCATGGCGCGACGTATCAACTTTCCTCTTTCCGTACTCTAGCAATAAATCTATTTTTCTTCTTTTGCAACAAATAGATAATTTCGACCTTTAGGATTGCCAAAAAGGAAAAAAATAAGCTTCAACCTGGATATTTTTTGCTTTAATAAAAAGGGTGAACGAAAAAATCCACACCATTCCCGCTGTGCTGGATTTGAGACGCCCCAAGGGAAACATCAAAATTGCATAAAAAGTTCTTTTTTGGACACCCAAAATAGATAGTTGATCAGCCCACTCCACTTCCGCCTTCCTCCCAAAGTAAAACTTCTCCGATTAATAAAATAATTCAGGGAAGTAAGTAGCATAAAAAATCTGACGTTTGGAACTAGGAAGTGCGGGGGAAGGGAAAAGCATTCACCCTTTCTGCCGATCCACATGCTTAACTACTCCTTCGTCTTTATTCCCTCTTCTGATCAGCGTGGTTGACTGGCCAAGCATAACGCAAGTGGACTTTAAAAAAACGGCGGAAAAAATAAACTGACTTCTAGTTTTCATTGCCATCTCAAAAAAAAGGCGTGTGCGGGGTGGAGAGAAAAATTTAACAAACCAGCACCACTTTTTTCGTGAAACTGCTAGGTTAAACTCAAATCCACCACACCCAGCCATCCACTGATAGAGGTAGTGCTGCAGGGAAGGATGAGGCTCAGCGCCTCATTTTTTTGCTTTCACCATGACTGAAAAACTACTGCCTGAGTACCTGGGTTTAGGCGGCTTGTCTGGTGGCTAGACCTCCGCTTGACACAAACATGGAGGTGTTTACGTATGCCAGGACAGACATCAGTCTTTCCTGTAGCCGTAACTTTGCCCAGCTCTTTCCATTTTCTACAGTAGTACAGTCACAGTACAATACACAGACGGACAAGGAGTGACACCTAAAAGGATAGTTGAATTGCTAGAGAGAAGCGGTCAGAAGTAACCAACCACCACTCGCCTGCAGAAGTGAAACTTTGAAGGTCGACATATAAAAGGGGACCAAAAAATTTGTGTGCAGATTTCATAAATTTCCGCCCTCCTCCTCCCCAGGAAAAATGGCAGGCAAAACGAAAAGGTGAAACCTTTTCCTCCACTTTATACCTTTGTAAATAACCTTACTTTCAGTCATATTTATCGGACATTAGCGAGGAGGTGGTGCCCTCCTCCTTTCTGTTCAATCCCCCCCCCCCCCGCTTCCATTGACCCAAAGGGAGAGAAGGTACGAAAAAACTTGACACGTTTAAAGAAAAATTTCATTGGAAAAGGCCTACTTATGCATATTGTCATGGCAACGAGCAGTGAATCACAGATTTGCTTCTAACTGTGCCAGCTATGCACCACAAATTTGGGCGAACAAGCACGCAGGCTTGTGCGTGTGCATGTATGGAAGAGTGGATCACCTCGCGAAAATCCAAGCAGCTGTCAGGCCAGTCATTATTTGTACTGGTTCACACTTTTCCCTCTATCAAAGGTGAGGCAGACTAAGCAATCGGAAGGTTTGGGGATACGTGAATCACAAGTCATCCACTTCCAGGTCGATATTCCGGAAGTCGTCAATTTCTGAATTTTATTTGATACGAAAAAATGACAAAGCTCCAACATAACCTTTGCTGCGACTGCACTTTTAGCTAATAACCTTTAATTGCGCACCAATTGAAACGCAAGGAAGTCTCCTGATGATGGAGAAAAGGACAATAATAGGATCTTCAGATTGAGCACCATGGCGGGAATTACAGCGACTAAACCACAAAATTAGTCCATCACCTTTTACCCCTCCCCTTCCGACTCCCTACTTTGGGATGAGGGCTGTGTGGCCACCACTCTTATTGAAGCGTTTACGCGCATAAAATCTCACCTAAGCTGACAGACACCTTGAGTTAGGAACAACAAGGGAAAAGGGTGAAGGGAGGAGAGGAGGAGGAAGCCGCCTTTACCAGTCTTACCTCAGATATGAGATGGGATAGGCTTAACAAAACGATATGACGACTTCAGGTCAGGAGAGACCTACATACAAATGATTGAAACCACCGGATCCGTACACTTTAGGTAAATAAACGGATTCTTTGCGTAAATAAGAAAGGCTTCCTTCACCATTATGAAAGTAAGGAAAAAGAAGAAGGGAATATCAAAAGTAAAAACAGCGAAATCGACGACTGGAAGGAAAGGAACAATAGGGTTGCCTTGCCGCCCTCCCTCCCCGAAACATTAAACTTCGCCACGCAATAAATCAGGGCGGTAAAACCATTCATCTATTTACTCCAAAACACAATAAAAAAATTAGCAATCATCTTTAACTCCCGAATTGGGGGCGAAAAACTACAGCATACTTGAGATTTGGGAGAAGGTTACATTCCAGAAGCATTTTTACATCCACCATTTGATGAATGGATGTCACCTACTTTCTACCCACCAATTTGATGGGTTTTTTATAGATCCTATGTGCTTCCCGACAGTTCTGCCACCAATATCGCACCCTCCTGCAACACCCATCCCATTTCCCACGCTTTCGCCACAATTTGATCGACTTTGCAGGACTGGAGCAAATTTCTCCTTACCGGTTTGCCGACAAATTCATTTCTTCTCACGTGGAAACAGAAGTAAACTTAATTAAAGGCAGTTCACACTGGGACGAGAAAAGATTAAGAAAGAGGGGAGGCAGAAAATGAGGGGTTATGGCCAAGAGCTCGTAATCGTCCGTGTGAATGAGGGCCTTCTAACACACACAGGCACATACACCCATCGAAACACATGACTCCAAGCTTACGCGCTGTGCATGAGCGTGTGTGCAATGAGGGACTTTTCTCAGGGTTGATGATTGTGAACAATAAACACTCACCAGCTTTAGATGCAGCATTTTACTTTTTATGCACATAAAAAATTAAATCAAATACTTTTCTGGTTAAAATCCACTAAATAACAATCATCGTAAAAAACTTATAAAATGGTTTTTTTTTTCCAGAAGCTCAAGCGGACCTACGCGACACCTCCCGCGGGTATTGTAATTGGTCGAAAATTTCACCAACCAGATGCGTCACTCTAAGGGAACAGTGCCACCTAATTATCAACGCTGGCAGCGTTTATCTTCTAAATATGAAGGACGCGCCTTACTCACCCTGTTCCAGAAAATAAATGAATAGTTGTCTACTGTTTCCTGAGAAAAGGGAGAAAGGAAAAGGGAAGCTTCGACCTGGTATTTTATAGCAAATTTAATGACATGAAACAGGTGAAAATGTTTGGCGATTAGTAACCAGCAGCACAGCGCCACGAAGTCGGCTAGTGAGGGCAGGGAATAAACAAAGAACTCCAAGGCCACTGCTGACTAAAATGAAAGATATAGGTGTTGGGCCATGCTTCACATTACTTCCGTGTAGGCATTCATCTCCCCACATACCTCTACACCGGTGTAAAATGCAAACCACACCTTAAATTAAAAAGGGAGAAAAAAGCACGCCGTTGCCACATTTTTCTGGTGGTCTGAAAAGCTTTAAATGGTACAAAGCGGTGCGAGACGGGAATTGCTTCGAATATACAAGCTGCCAAGAGCATCGTCCTGTCATGCCGGTAGCTGATTGGCCAGTGGGCATTAGGGCTATTAGTCACTGTGGTCGCGTAATGACACCAGACCCCTCGGCCACAAGTAAAACAGTCTTCCGCCATACTGTGCTATTACACCAACCCAAAAAGAAAACCTTCTTTGTCATTGTGGCGTATATCAACCTAATATGGATCATGGAGTTCAACCTTTGCCTGCAACTGACAATAATACTGACCTAATGACCTTTACTACTACTACACCTAAAGTGGATAATGAAACTGATGGATAGAACAAATTATTGTTCCACTCGTCTAGCATGATAAATGAGGATCCGAATTCTCACACGTTTCCCTACTTAGGAGGGCATTTTTTGCACACTGAAACGAAGGCGCGTAATTTGAAAGGTGGTAAATTCAAGTGCTGTTCATCTACAACCTCAGCCAAATTGACGAGTCAATGAGTGATAGGTGGGAAAAACAAGCATCAAAGGGTAGTGGAGGATATGAGGATCTACTCACGTATCAATCAGGGAAATCGGCGAAAATACATTAAGTAAATGTTACTCAAAAATTTTTAAAGAAGCGGCAAATTTGGGTTTATTTAAAGGCCGAACGAAGTTTGCCTGACTGACTAATAACCAAACAAACGACTTCGGGCAATCAGAAAATGCCAAAAAAAGAGAAGGATTTTTTGAGCAAGGAATAGCAAGGGGAAAGGTGTGCCCTAGTGAAAGCGCTAACAACTGCCCTAATATGAGTCATCTTACAGTTAAGCATGAAGAAATAATAAAAAAGAAGGCGCAAATAGGCATGCACAGGCGCGCGCGTGCGTATACACGCGCACAGTAAAGGGCTGACAGGAGGCACGCACACGTATAACATCTCCTTTTTTGCATGAAATACGAGACCAGGTGAATTTACATTTACGAATTTGAAGCTGCTAGATAATTAGATTGCAAATGACAAGATATAGATTTAATTAAAGGCGACAAATGGATGTTTTACTCAGGAGAGGAGATTCTGGCCAACCCAGTAAAGAGTGGTCTCCAGCCGCTCGGGCATGAGGTGATGCGACAATAAGAATATCACAAGCAAAGACCACTAATACTTCTTCAATAAACCGCTAGTTTATCAAAAGCACTTGCAAAAATTGTTTCTATGAAGCGTTGTTAAGACGAAAAGAATGTGTCACTCCTAAAAGAGAGGCTAAGTGAACCAAAACGTGCCAATTTGAACGAAATTTATGAAAATATTGGTAAGGAAATAAACATAATTTTTTTAACAGTGCTCGAACTAATGGGCCAGCATAACTTATATGTCAGTGACGAAGTTAACGCGACGCCAAGCGGATGGAAAAGTCGATGACAAGTCGTTTTGAGCAAAAAGTGGTTGACAATTGGCAGAATTTAAAGGAATCAACCGATCTCTTTATTAAATTAGTTCAAAGGGCCTGAAAAGTTTAATTAGTAAAAGCGTGGCAACCAAGGAAATTCATAGTGCGTGCGATGTACGAAATGAAAACCAGCAGCAGAACAGAAAAATTACATACTGTAGAAATCGATGAAAATAGAAACAGTCCTTAGGACTAGGCAAAGGCACATTCGAAAAAAAGCACATCCAAAGAGTGACAATTGTTTGTTGTACGTACAATTCGAAACAGCTCGTTATTTTGCTTCAAACACGTAAGCTTTCTGACTTTGACTAAACTGTATCAAAAAAGCAAACACAATATGTGTTTAGTACGAAAAATAAACAAGGAAAGAAATTGCGAAACGTGTGTGGGCGAGATATTAAGATGGAAATGCTTAACAAAATTAAAGCACGGTGTGCGACATATCAATGCTACAAACTAAGTTCTTTGCAAACTCTATCTCTAAGGAATTCTATCCGGAGAAGGTACATTTAGTACTATTTGACGGAAATACCCTTACCTATGCATAACAATGAGCGTAGATTCAAGTCTGAATGAGACGCCTTGCCACTACAAGGCCATTGCAAGTTCAAATAAACTACTGGCACAAACTTAGCAACTTTGACAAAAAAGGTATTTTTTAATCATTTACAATTATTTAATCCATATATTATTACTTAAAATAATATCGTCCTTATTTTTGTATCAGCCAATGGACATCGGCGTCCATTTGGCGCGCTAGAAAGAATCTGGTGTGGCTGTTGACCTTTAATTGTTTAGCATTACTTACAGCCATATAGTATAGGAGGAACGTTGGTCATGCTCATAATAATCACACAGATTTTTGTTTTTTGTGTTCCCGTCTTTTCGCGGTACTGTGACAAGGACTTTGATATCCGTTTAAATACTATCATACTCACTCGTATCTCCGAAAATAGGGGTGCCGAGTTTGTCCATAAGTTGTCCGCCGACTCCTTGGAAGAATGTGTAAAGTATTGCTGTGACCTGAATGAGTGTACAGTCGGCGTCTTTGGACCCAAGGTATCTTCGGTCACCACTTCACTTTATTAATGTTATTTACCACTTAGGGAGGTGGAAATTGTTTTCTCTTTAACTGTCACAAAACAAATTTGTGCAATTTTACCTCGGAATCTGATTATACCGTATTTATACAACGCACTCCATTACCTGTTCCACCAAATGTGCATAAAGTTGTCGCATGGCCTAGTGGTAAGTGTACAGAATTTCGTGTTAACTTCTTCTTTAGGATCACTTCATGGTTTATGTGGTCCACGAAATCCCTGCGTATTCAAAAACATGATCTGTGACTCTGGGCACTGCGTTTGCAAGGCAGGATTCATCGAAAAGCGTCGAAAATGTGGTAGGGTCTTTTTTCAGCACCTTTCAGTCATTTTATTTGCGTAGCTCCTTCTATTTGTAGCAAACCGGAATTGGAGTTTCAATGTGACGATGCTACTACTTGCATAGCGATATATGATGTGTGTAACGGAATCGCTGAATGTTCGGATGCCTCGGACGAGTTATTTTGTGAAAAAGGTTAGCGAATCGATTATTAAGCATTTTTGTTATACCAGCTTTTTAGTCTTTTGTTGTAAAATTAACCACAATAGAACTCTCCAACTCTATTGCTACCTACAAAGTGAAATCTTCAATCTCTCCTGGAGCGCATTTTCTTAATGCCCAAACGTTTCCTCCTCGTGGTGACGATGAACATGACTTATCGGGGATCGGTTTTGAGCCTTTGAAAGTGCGTTCTCTACGGACACTGCGTTTTGGCCGTAACAACCCGATGCCCAGAAATTATGAGGATAAGGGGGAATACGGCTCACCCAACTACCTGATTTCATCCCTTGAACCCGATGTCCCCTCTTTGATGCCTTCAGAGGCGCGGGAAAGATCTATTCTTTCTGATGACAGGGTCAGTACCTTCCTAAAACGCCCTCGAGGTGGCTATCTGTCGCATTTTTTGGAGGACTCACAGTACTCCGATGAGGATTCTCCACTGGAACACCATCGACGTGAGATAGTACACCTTCCAACTCGACCACGTCATGCATCGGTTGAGAATTTTGACGGGGAAGCTGGGGAGCATGATATTTTACACCACCGAGGGGCTGACTTCGATCGTGCCCACAAAGTTTTGCGACACAGGGTGACACCATTGGCAGAGCATTTAGGCAAGTTTTTCCCTTCGAATTTATGTATGCTTTCATTTTAAGCCTCACCTGACCACTCCTGTTAATTTTTTATCTCTTAGTAATTTACCGTCTCTTTTTGTATTTCTACAAATTCCCTTCTTTTCTCTTAGATTTAATGTCTGATGACAAACATAGGATTGGTAGGCATCATGAGGAGGCGAAGAATAGCTCGAAAAGGCGTAAGCATTCAACTAATTCTTCTTTTGCATTCTTAGGAGGTTGTTATTTATTTTATCTCGTTCTGATTCCCAAATACATTTTGATAAATTGTAGCCAAAGCACCTACCGACACTGTGATTGGCCCCTACTCACAGAGTGGTTACCAGTGGCATACCGCCGCAATCCTATTGGCAATTGGCCTGGGTTTGACCTCATGTCTTTTTGGCCTTCTGGTTGGTCGATGTCGTCAACGCGGTAGATTTGACCAAGGGGGTCCACGATCAAAAGCTGTTGCCACGAGCAATCTACGCCGACGAATTTTGCGTACACGTGGCCTGCCAAATAACGATCTTGAGAGGAGTGGTTTACTCTCCAAGTTGCAATTATGACAGACGAGCGTCTCAGTGCAATAGTCACATTTTTCATGCATTCCACAAAGCATTTGTGTTGTTTTGTCCTTTTTTTCTGGCTTTCCCCAGCCCTTGCCCCCTCCCACCTCTTCCCCCGATTTGGTATGGTGTCCTGTTTATTCTGATTTGACCTCTGTCAACCCTTTATGGTAGCATCCTTAATTCGTAATGTCAAAGTCGTCTCAGTGGATGGATTTACTCAGATCGTAGGTGGTGTTGAGGTGTTGTGGTGGATAGACATGCATCTGCGGGTTAATACTGCTCTCGCTATCCCTTTGTTTCTACCATCGTCAGGTGGGTTAGGCTTCTTCAACATCACCGTTTGTCACTCTCATCTTCACCTTATCCATTTGAATATTGACTCTGAAAAAGCCCCTCTTGCGACACCGTGGTGTATCAAACCATCCAGATGCATATTTCTCATATTGGCTGTTTGAACTTCAGGAATTGGACGATTGAGTCAACAGGCTGTCTCATCTAAGGTGGGCACAATCGTTTGGGGTAGTGAGGTTTTCTGCACCTCGGAAGTGTGTGGATGACCTAGGGACGAGCAAGGCGGTCGTTTGAAGATAAGCGCAGAGAGGTCATTCTGCCTCGCAAGACATTTCGATGCGTAAGGCAGATAGGCTCAGATCAAATACACCCGCTTAGGGGTACAATAGGAGGGGGCAGACGGATGTCGATGCACGTCCCAGGCGATTAGCGAGACAAGTGACAAGAAGTCAATGAAACGAATGGAGAAGCAAAAGCACAGAGTTGACGCCCCAATTTCCAAGAGATTGGAGAAACTGCATCCATGCTCATGCAACCCACAGCCTCTCACTGGCTTGATGTTCGAAGTGGCAGGACTAGGGAGCGCACAGATTTTTGAGGAGACTTAAAGAAGATATTTGTTAGCTATCCCCTCTTTTGAATTGTACAGGCAGTGGAAGATATAGCCAAGTGTTTAAAGAAGCCATTAAAGACATTAAAATCGTCCTCAGTGTCTGGGTTTATGACCTCATAGGAAATGGTACTAAGGAAGCATAAAATGCTGCGATTCTGGAATAAACCTAATTATCATAAAAAGTTTTCATAAGGAGCTGTAGTCAACCGCTTAAGGCATTCGTATGTCTTCAGAATTGAGATATTTAGTATGTTAGTAATCAATGTCTTAGAGGAAAACTTATCACTACACTTATCATCATATCAAGGATATCCTAAAGCCGCCACATGGTTGTGGAGCCAACCAAACCCTAAGCAAAGCACACTTATGAACACAACACGTTACTGTGACTCTGCAATCATCTTAGAAAGCTGGGAGAAATAAGCAAATGTGATATCCGATTGCGAATGTAGTAGTAATCGCCCAGTCTTAGAATCACCGCAGGTAGTACTCATAGCGACAAGAATGTAGCACGCATTCCCCAAAATAATTAAGCTTGAAAGTAGACAAAACAAATAATTTGCCGTAGAGATTTCAGTCCTTAAGGTTTGTAACCTCTGCTGCCCGGGTGACATGATATTTTGGCCGGTAACATTATATCCTAATCCATGTTATCATCAAATTATTATATAGTCGTAGTAGAGTCCCAGATGGATAAGCGTTCCGGGTCCATTGATTAGTGAACAACAATGTGGGGAATCTACAGAACGATACCAAAATAGAATTAAACATGGTTAAAATTAGTTTTGATGAAATATGGGGATGTTCCCCATTGTATCAATGATATAATCTTTAAGCTTGCTTAGAGATGGTCACTCGTGTCCCCTAAATTCTAGAGTAAACAAATTTTTTAAAACAACTTGTAAAATCAGTGAGCAATGTGCTTCCTGCGTGTGCATCAATGCCATTTTTCATCCATTTGCCGAAAAGTTCTTTCCATAAAAGAGAATCCGTGAATGGATAAATTTGTCAACACTCTGATGATGCCACTTGACGATGGGTTACCTCGTCAGATTTCCGTTTTCGCGGTATATGATTAGAGAGCCACTTGTCTGTTTTCATATCCATCGTCTTAATTCGGAGGCCGATCTCAGCTGCTGCGTCGTGTTACTACCCATGCGATCTCTAGAACTCATTTCATATGGTGAATTCGGCGACTTTATTTTAACAAAAATGATCACTCCAGTGAATCCTTGCTGCGCTTTTGCGGTAGTTTACTACTACTTGACTAGCATTTGGCTTTACAAGCTCTTCAGTATATGCAGGCAGCTTTGGCCGTTTTCCTGCTAATAAGTGGCAGTCCACACGTCAATGCAGGGTCAATTTTCTATTTATTATGCCTTATAGGGCTTTAAAATGAGTTTAAAAGCGACAATTTTAACAGCTCGGATTGCTTCGTTGATGTGGTGAAAGTTTTGCTGGCCTACTTCAAAATTAAATTACGCTGAAAAACTTTAATTAAATAAAATACTGCAAGCTTAGACTTCTAGAGACCTTGAGAGCTTTTATTTTTGTATTTAGTGATTGATTATCTGGTTTTTCAAATTGATCAAATTTAACGGGTCACACACGTTGTTCCTCGAGCGGCTTTTGTAAATAGGAGACGGGTGATGCTGCTTGTGGTTGTTTTTGCATTGTTGGCGTTCAGCACAGGTATGTGTGCTCTTATAAAATGGACGTGAATAGTTTTTGGGTGTGAAAATCCGACGGTTCAAACCCGGTATTATACATCGACAGATTCTCTTCTCTCCTCGAAAACAGTTTTCATTGTCGAAGGTCGAGCGACTTGTGAAAATGATGAGGTATGAACATCGACTGTCAAATAGTATTTTTAAGTTGAGTGAACTTTATGCTGTGCTTGGTGATAAAATTGTTCCTGTCAGTCGAAATCTGGAGACAGATGAGTTTCAAGTTACCTTCTCCGATGATCATATGAAATTACCCAAGGGTTACTACTCAATTCGTTTCTACGATGATGTGGGTTACTTACACCTACGCAAAGCGCAAAGCCAAGGTCGACCACTTGATAGCGTCAAGCCCGTTTTTACAGTTGATGTTTACCACCCCGTGAGTTGTTCATCTCTTCCCGCTTATTCACCTCTTTTTAGGGTATATGGCTTAGTCCCCTAATCCACTCGGAAACTGTTGCTCTTTTGGCTGCTTCTCTCATTGGCTTCGGCGCCGTTATCACGAAAAACAAGTTCTTTTAATAGAAGGAATCTTGGATATTGGACGACTTCATTTTAACATCTCCTGTGCCGGTTTTGCATCCTTTAAGCCTACTCGCTCTGGCTCTTTTTCTAGTGTTACTAAACGAATTCCGGTGCCATATTGGCAATATTGGGGAAGTATTTGGTCGTAATTCTAAAACTCCTTTTTCTTTAGCCCACTCTCCTTTCTGGTGTCGCATAACCCCAACCCTGATTCATCCATAATTGAACAGAATGATGGTGATGCGTCAAAAGCCGTTACGGTGATACGCTTTGCCTTGAGTTTGTTGTTCCTAGTATAATTTGATAGATCGACTTTGATTTGGAATTCTATAAGTTAAGATGGCACCGTCAAACATGGCATGGGCGACTGGTTTGGTAGGTGGGTAATAATGTTAGGGAGACTTACATTATGGCCTTTCTGTAGCTTGCACACTGTGCAGGTACGCACTTTGTTGTGTCCCTTACCGTCCCCCTGTCATCCCAAACACTCGTATCGCCAAATGCTAACCCCTGTGGATGCAGTTCGATCCTGTTTGCTCTGCGAGCTGTTTAAGTTCCAAGGCGGTAGAAGCGTCAGGGACAGCCCTTTGTGGAGGGAGCAACCTCTCGTTAGAGGTTCAAAGACCTCAACTCTACCGAGGGGTGATGCATCAGGTTGGAGGAAACTCCAATGATTCAACCGCTGATTTGCGCGTCGCTACTGACATGCAGAGAATATGAGTGACGGTGCGTGTGGTTCACCACCAAGGAAGGTAAGCGGCGGTAGAGGCTAAGTCGTGAGCGGCATATTCAAAGCAATGTTAGACGACAGCAGACTTCGGAGACCATTCGGTTGTTCTTCTGATTTAGGCGCTATCAAGGCATGTCCTTTCAAGGGAAAATAGACCCAAGCGTCCTAGGACACGCACGTGACATCTGAAGAAAACGTGTTAAGCAAACTGTGCCATCTTCATGCATCCGAGGTGGAAGTACTGTCGGCATTTTCCAACCCCATTGGGCTTTAGTTTCTTCCCCCTTCTTTATACAATCCTTGATATCAATGCCAACTTATTGTATAAAGATCCACTACAAAGAGCGTTTAAAAACCGTGTTTTTCTTCATTCAAGCCTCACCATTTCCCTCTGAAGATTCACGCTGTTTTGAGTTTCGATGTAAATCTTATAAGAACAAAGGTTGCCGTTTTTGCCCCATAGCCCTAGTCTAGATTTCACCTCTCAAATTCCGACCCAACAAACAGTGACAAAATTTAACGTTGTTTTTGCTGCGGGCTACCTTCCACAAATTTATAGAAAAGAATACATAAGCACGTAAAAAGGAGACTAGTCAAAGTGTTTTTCGACTATTAATGAAAATGATTGAGTCAGCATGAGTACATTGCAAGTCCCTTACAGTACATCGACTTTGCCTTCCTTCAATGTGGATAGACAGGTGGTGCGAAGAACGCCGACGCGGGAGCCCTCGAACGTAGTCGTCATTATACTGCCATTGCAGTACCCATTCATGTGAGCATTGGCATCTCCATCAATGCAGTTGCCTTCTGGGAGTGTTTTGTAAATCACCGAGGGAACAACGTCACCTTCAGCGCTTGTTGGCAAAGAAATGGCGTCTAGAGGGCGGGAGGTCACAAACCCCACCACCACATCAGCGTTCCTTTTCGCCAATTCTACGCACTCCTCTGTATAGGCAGCTTTCATTAGGGAGCTCTACAACCAACCAATCAGAGGCCAACCATTAGACATCTCTACTCGGTTGCATCAACTGCCACCTGTACTTTTGACCTGTCAAATTTAACACTTCAATATGCCAGCAACAGAACGTATCTGAATAAGGGTATTGCCAGGACATGTCATACTTTACTTGCATCAAAAGTGAAAGGTTAGAAAGTAATTTGCCTTGCATAAATCAGTGAATGCAACAAAAATGGACGAAATTGGTGACTTTTCACCACTTGGAGCATTAAAACTATTCATAATTTCAAATACAGAGAGAAAAAAAAACAGACATTATAGTCCATATCGGCAATCAGAAGAGCACCGACGGTTCGATCCGGTGAAGCCTTGTTGAGCCTTCGCAAGGCATTCAAAGGTCCCGTTCCTGAGAGTGCGTGCATGGTGATGATATCAAACCATCGGCACGAGGACAAGAGGCCTTTGTCGGTGCATTTGTCATTCGCCACTTTGCTGGAGTAGAAATGGAGTAAGAGTAGTAAGCATAACCAGCCTTGAATAGCTTCACGTGATAATACGACATTACAAAGTATACCTAATAAAATAATCAGAGTGACTATTTAATAGTGTACTCACTAATCACCGATAAGCAGGAATTTATGTCTGTCCGCAAGATCGCGCAGTTGCACAGCCAGTAAGGGGAATGCATCGTCGATGAGAATGTGGCCGATTTCCAACGCAACGATTCGTGGAGCTGCATCTCTGACCACATGAAGCAGCTGTTCACATGGTAAAGGCAAGTCGATCGAAAGGCATGCATTGCTGGCTTTTTGAGCCATAATTTCGAACACGCGAGACGCCAGAGAGGGGCAGAAATTGACCACTGACCTTGCAGTAGACTGCCTCTACATCATGGAAGAGAAGCGGGATTCCAAGGTGTGCAAAGAGAGCTTAGGAGTTAGTGTAGCAACGGAGTGGAATACTCAACTCACTCTGTCAAACTGAGCACCTGCAATGAAGTTTCGCGCAATTTGAACACGTTCCATGGGGACTAAACCATTGGTCGAGAGGATATTCAGAATATCGTCAAAGGAGAGGAGTCTGTAGCCAAAGAGCACGTATAATAGTGAAATTTCAGTAATTTATGGGTACAAAATAAGAAGAAAAGAATCAAAGTCGCCTACGCATGCAAGTGAACGTTGTGATTTTTGAGGAGGTTTTCGGTGGCCCCTTGTTGACGTTCAACAACCACCACAGCGTGTTTAACTCGCAAACCGTTTGATCGTAGGAGCTAAAACAGAAAACACACATCAACGGAGAGTCTACTTACATGTCTGACTTAAGTAGAGAATGCTTACGGCGGTGGTTTCGGCAATACTGTCGCCATAGGTGACAACATCCTCAACCACCAAAACATTTTCACCTGCCTTCCAGATACCCTCAATCAATTTCTTTGTTCCGTGGTCCTTCGCCGCCTTACGAGTAAGGATCATAGGTATATTGTTCTGAATTGAAATTCCCTAGAAAAAAAGTATCGGCTTAATGAGCAGAAGCAGTGCCTTTCACAACCCCTCGAACGAAGTAAAGACTCACCGTTGCAAGGGCGATAGCAGCGGCAGGAACGCCGGTAATCAAGTCGAATTTATCGTCAGTTGAGCTGACTATCATTTTGTACAAGTATCGTGCGATATCCTGCTACAAGGTTTTTTGGGGAAGGAGGAGGAAGCGCAGTTAGATCCATAACAGAGGATACGAACAATGTGCTGAGATAACTCACCAAAAGAGCTGGATCAGACATAGTGAGACGAATGTCAAAGTAGACGGGGGTGACTTCACCAGTCTTCAGGCGTACACCGCTAAAATTCAACGCACCGAGACGGAAAAGTCGGTGAGCCAATTCTGATCGGGTCGCATCATCAATGGCAGGACACGAAGGCACTTGAGCATACATGCTGTCTGGGAGCAACATAAGAAAACGGCAACTTATAAAAGGTAGTAAAAATTGTGGTCGAGATGAAAATGCCATAAGTACAGAGTAGGTGACTTGTATTTACAGAAAGAAATGGTAGAGAGAAACAAGAAGAAAACACCAATCTGTACAACAAATCAACTGGACTCCAACGAATCGGACTGTGGAGAAGTATCAAAATCGTGTAGTTCCTCAACTAATTCTGGATGAACAAGATCTGCATCATCATCTGACAGTCGTGACAGACGAGAAATGATTGAAAAGAAACCGGGAATGCGATCTGTGATAAGTTGAAAGGTATCATCTCCATGTGTAAGCAGAAGGGCATGTAGAGCCTGAATCAGGCACCCCAATGACGAGAGGCAGAGAATTTTTAGGTCTGGATTGGACTTCCATGTGAAAAGCCACTCCACCAAAGGTAATCCTAACCCTATCAGTGCTTTATACACCTACAGAGGAATGATATAAAGAGGGGTATAGTGCGTACCTCTAGAGTGCAGGGACAGTTCGCACACCGAGTCCACCGATTAGTCAAAGCCATAGCTCTTGTAAACATACTGAACTAGATGAAAGAACGGTGACATAAAGCAGAAGATAAGCGAACCTCAGTAAGCAGTCGACAAAGTCGCCGTACATCATCGTGATTGAAGGTCAATTGTTGAGAATGTACCAGCCGACAGAGGAGGTGGAGGGGACAGCCCAACTGTTCTTGGGGTGGTATTTCTGAAAGAAAAATTAGTATATTGGATAATAAGAACCTACTGCTCGAAATATGGGATATGAAAGACGATGATGTGGGGCAGCCTGTTTGGCCCAGGGAAATTTCTAACTCCCGCAGCCTCTGTATGAGTTCCAGGGTTTCCGCGTCACCTCCCGAGGCCCACCAGGAAACCACAGAATTCGATGACGAGGTTGAAGCGGCTGTTGAATGTTCAGGAGGGTCGAGACGACCACCCTCTACGAGGTAGGTCAACAAACGCAGAGTTAATAGCAAAACCGAGGGGTATTCATGCGTTCTTCCTGAAGACATCACGCAAACTACCAGCAGGTGGACATTTAAAATCGAGGGCAGCCACGATGGCTCATTGACGCATCTGAAAATGAACCAAAATATAAGAACATTCATATACAGCGGTAAGCCAGGTGCTTCCAACTTATTAGGACACTTACTCATTCTGATTATTTATCTTGTTGAATTCCAAAGCAAAGCGACAAGCGAGATGAATGCACTGGTGAATGGTGCGTGCAAGACGCGACATCCACAACGCCGGAAGAGCATTCAAAACAGCCTCTTCGTCAACGGGTTTGAGAGACAGCATTGCTGCCAGAGCGTCCAATACCTCACTAACGAAGTTAGCGAGTTCAGTGATGTCCACACCATGGCGGCGTGTGTAAACAAGGAGGACGTCGATTGTACGAAGACAGGCGAGAATGCCTTCGTTGGCTTGTAATGCGGTTGATTCCGACCATGTGGATGGTCCAACAAATTCAACGCTGATGGGAGTTGTTTGAGCGTTTCCCTCAACACATACTGCAGAAAAACGACTGTAAACCAGTAAAAAACACTCCGTGTGCAAGCATTCATCTCACTCACGCGAAGGAACGGAGACCAATTGCGAGGGGGGAGCGCCAGCAAAAGGGTTCTCGTCAAAGCGCTCCAAGTCGATTATCCCCGAACTATCCAGAGAGGTGCTTTCAAACTCAATTGGACCATCACGCTGCAACTTTTGCGTGAAGGTATGATCAAAGACACATTGCCGGTATAGTCGGAAGAAGTTAACATACTCCTGACAAATGAAATAAGTGGTCACACATAAACCCACCTGGAAACGGACTCGAATCTGTGGTAGAATAAGAGCAATGCATTCACCCAAACGCTTGCCAGTATCACCACAATTCTCCACCCCGACGGAGAGTCGAGACAGACCACTGAAGAAATCGCATTCAGCTGAACTTCGTTCTTCATCCGTGGTAGCACTGATGGCTCGTCTGCGAAATGACGAAGGATTACTCAATCCCATTTACCTGACTAAATCCCCCGAACCCTCGCGACCCACAGACTGCAGAACTCTAATAGCTCGACCACTAGTGTTGCGGTATTTATGCACTTAGTTCTTTGCCTTTGATTGGGTGGTCAAGGTCGCAGTGAACGAATAGAAAGCGGAAGAGTAACTTGTTTTAATCCGCCCTTCTGATTGGCTCTAGCTGCTTCCCGGCGTCAGGTTAACTCTCTTTTTTCGACGCGTCGACTTAGGTGACGGTTGCGCGTGGATTCTGCTCGCCTGAATCTCGTCCTATGTAATCGCCTAAACACAGTTATTTGTTTTGTGCCAAACGTGAAAACTGTCTCACATGCTTCCATTATTCGTAATTTGATGTTGACTTTTTATTTGAAAATGTCTAATTTGAGGGAACATGATAATTTGACATTTTTTTTTGGAAAATACATCCTTGTCGGCCCATCTCGGCTTTAATGTTGAGAAAATGGAGAATGTTTTTAAAACATTCTCCTCTCTGTGTGCGACAGCAGGCTGGTTAATGCCTTGCGGGAAGTTAGTCGGTGGTGGACTGGATCCCGCAACAACAATGCGCATCGTGGGTTGATAGACTTCGCCTAGTTCAACATGAACGTGGCATGGTGGATTGTTTTTATTCTGCTTTTTGCTCTGAAGTTGAATCGATCAATGCGCGTGACCGCACAACCCCAACACAAAACAGACATGCACCGTGGAATGTTTCACCTTAATTTGATGAAGGTTTACCAGCTGTACACTGCTCTAGCATGAAGGACAAATTGCTGGTCTGGCATACGATCTTGTTGTAAATCCATGCTGTTTGTTCTACTTGAGGGTGCTAGGACTGCAAGCCTATCTTTCACTGACCGCTGAACTGCACAAAACTGCTCTTTGATTGGCTACACTCAGAATACATGCACGCGCGTGCGCACACAGATACGGGACCACAGCTACATTAAACTTCCGACTAGACGCTAAAAAGGGTGCATGTGTAAGTGTCGTGTCAAACAGGCGCCAATCGCACTATACAAACTCCCTTTTTGTGAAACTGCATCAAATACAGGGCGAGCGCTAGCACAAACCAGGAGATTTAGGCGGTAAGACCACGGCAACAGAGCGTGCGATTACTCATCAGGTGGCAGAGTGGACAAAGAGACTTGTCTCATCTGTGACTTACAGGCAATGCGGCCAGGACAATGGGGTAGGAGGGCGGGGAGGAGGCGAAATGTCAGCTGTCACGTTTAAGATCGTAGACAAGGCCGCGACAAACTTGTCAATGCGTTTGAACTGTCCTTGCATGGCCTACGGAAGAAGGCCTCGATACTACGAGTACGCTAGCTCTCTGCTGCGAACTAGAATCCGCACTGACTTAGACTGGCGGCCAATCATCCCTGAGGCGCTACCACTACCCTAATACCCCAGAGCTGAGCAACCATACCGTGCCTAAAATCCTCCACCAATAGCCGTATTTGACGGAAAACTCAACACTACACTGGGTTTCACTCACTGGCACACTTCCACTGCTACCTGTCATCTTGATGAACCGCTTTCAGGCTTAAATGCCACATTTGCACCATCTCCCATTACTCACAATGGGGTGCATTTGGCGTCTGCATTTGCACGTGTTATCACCAGGGTAGAAACTCCTTTGATAGCCTCAACACGTGAGGTTCCAGCTTGACTAGAACGCTTTTCACGCATGCCTCGTCGGCATGATCCCTTCAGTCACGGTGATTTGGCTAATATACTCATTTTCACTCCCCATGCTAACAATGATAAGCTCACTTCTGATCTAACTGAAGCGCTAACGCAGTAACAATGTATCGCGTTGCTATGGCAGCTAAGCATATGAAACTTGGACTGTTGGGAAGGCAATTTTTATGAAGTAGAAAAGGGCCTAGTTACATGTCATCAAAGCGCAAAAACATTGCAGGCTGACCTCTTGATTGGTAGATGTTTTGAAACAACGACAATCAATTGTGTGGGGTCAAACATATATTACATGAGACTTACCACCCAGTCGCGTTACCCTTTCTATTTTAGACAATGGTAAGTCTTTTCTTTTTTTTTAATTTTTACCTAATAGCCTCTTGATAGCAATAGAAAACCAGACAGTGAAATGTATGAAAAAAAAATAAGGCTCTTAGCAGTGCAGCCGGATGTAAACAATTTCATGGATGGGTTTGCGTTTATTACATGGCCAAAAAAAATGCAGACAGTAAAATCCACTGGAGTAAATAAACAACGCTTACTTGAAAACCTTCACCGTTTCGATCGCGGCGCGAATTTGCTCTGAGCGAGGACAGAAAAATCGCTCTACTTATCAGGCGAGTAAGTAGTATTTGAAATGGACTAGTACTTGCATGAGTTGAACTCAACATTTTTTTATATTTCGGATAATGTTAGCAACAAAATACGACCAAATAAATATTGGAATCGCCCGTTTTTTAGATTCCGGTGAGTGAATGAATGTTTTCCAGCACCACTAAATCTGCAATAGGTCGCCCTCCCTACAACCAGTTCAGAGAGAAGAGTCAACGGTGAGAGACTCTATTTCAAGGCATCATAAATTTGATTTCACCTCTACAAGATTCTCCTTAAAATGTTACACAAGAGAAATAGCCGTTGTGGGCCGTCGAAACCGCGACCACTTTTAACAGGCACTCCAGTATCAAGTGAGACTGGAGACCACGGGATTGGAGCCTTAGAGATTGACACAACGTTGCCCCAATTCCAGGAGGCTGAGGATAGCGTTGAAATGACTTCAAAGTGAGAAGGCGAGAAAAACTGGGGTGTCCCCAAAATGCCACTTTACGTTATGTAGTTTACATTTGACTATTGAACAAGCGTTCCCACAAAAGCGAGTCATTCGTACGTGAAGGTACGTTGCTGTGAAGAGTCACCCAGCCTTCAAAAAAACATGTCGAGTGAGTTATCAGGGAGCAAGTGAGGTTCTGTGTAGATTCAAACGTCGTCTTAAGTGGTGTACTTCAGTCCCACGGTATTCAGCTATCACGCTTATTGTGTGAACTACATCAATAATCTCCCAGGCCTCTTGTATATCCCTATAATGTGTTCTTCCTAGTGTTAAATAGCCTCATCGAAAACTTTGGTAACAAAAAAGCTTCTCATGGACTACTGCAATACCTACGTACCCCGGCAACTCTGGATCCCGAGGAAGGCATCTAGTTTCCCTCGAAAGTAGTGTCAGCCTTCTCAATACCTGACAGAGATCCGAGTTTTTTGAGGATCCACTTCCACGCCGCAACCGAAAACGCAGCTTCTGCGGCGATGGTGGTGGTGGCGGTGGTGTGGGTGCCACCCTGTCATCCGCCATCACCTCTGTCGACAAAGTGTGCTTGCAAGGAGTGGGAGGAGCTTGCGCCTCCTCTACCAAATTGAGAGTAGGAAGCTTAACAAACGGTCGAAGTGATCTGACTTTGACTCCGCTTGGGCGCGTAATCGTAGGCGACAGAGAGTTTGGAGTGGTATCGCTTGCACCAACGCCAACACTAGTTCCGCAGACCAGCTCGTCACTCCAGAGACGCGGACGTTTGGAAGGTGTTACCCGAGTCATCAAAGGCGAAATAGGTCGAGGAAAACATCCACCACGTTTGGCTAGTCTAGCATCCACACCCTCTGCTACTGAAGTAAGTAGGGCTGAGGCAGGTGAAATATTACCAACAGCTGAGAAAAAAAGGAAAACGAAATCAGTGAAAGACGAAGACAACATACGATTGATCACAACTTTTACATGTGACACTACCATGGGTGTTTGAGTTGAACCGGGGCTACTTTCAACTCATGAAATAGAATTACACTGCACTACCAACCATCCTAACGGTAAGTGCCACATTTATTACTAATAACTAGTTCATGTACCACTTACAAATGTGGCGTAGACGCATGGTTGGAGGTTTTCTATCAACAAAGAAGGAACACCCACAGATACACACTCTTGCAGAGAAAAATGTCACGTTTTAGTTGTGAAATCGCAAGCCCCAGTTAGGTACTAGAATAGTGCAAGCGTTCGTCATAAGTCTGTCACGGCCATGGCAATTCGGCTAAGGCACAACGTCCTGGCAGTCATCCAGCACGCAGGACACCCGGCAAGACTAACGGAGTGCTTAATTGAATCCTTCATTTGAGAAGTCAGTGCATGCCACATGCCTCAGGACAGTTCATTCATGATTGCAAATCATTTTTTGTTTTTGATATACAGTTTACACCCCATGTGTGCTCTTTTCCAATGTTGCCTTGAATATCCAAATTCTATCATACAGGAAATGGACGAATCCACTATGACTTGGAAGGCGCGGACAACGCTAAATGTTTTATTTGTAATGGCCCTTACAGATTGATTAGCTTAGGACATGAGAACTACACACGTTCCAAACCCTCGTCCGGTCATTGATGCAAGAATCCTAGGGTGTCTCATGCGGTGAACAAGTAAATAGTTGAATTAGACACCTCGCCGGAATAATTATTAGTGCATCTAATTTAGCTCAAGATAGAAGAGAACAAAGATTAGAATGTAACTATGACAGTTTTCTGTCAGAACGAGTAGAACATTTCTTAATCGATGTACGACCTGTACCTTCAAAAATCATTTAGCCTTAAGGCAGTGCTGTAGATGCCTTCTTAGAAGAAACAAAGACTTTCGCAAGTAGATGACCACTCCAATCTTATATATTGAGGGAAATGTGTACACGATAAACCTACTTATGGTAGACCAAATACAGTAAATGGTAAAAGTACCTTGAGAAAAGGATGTAGACGGCTCATCATCCAAAAGGGCCTGATAGGATTGCATCATCTTGGCCTGTGCCAGTTCAGTGGACACTAACTGGTAGTCAGCTTCCCTAAATGCCAACTGACTGTTTAAAGCCGCGATAGCTTTGGAGCTTTCCGCCCTTTCTGAGGCCAACTGTGCCTCCAATTTCCGAATAACCTCCAATCGGGCGTTGGTGCTGCGGCTAGAGGCCTCTTTGAGGGAAGCCAGTTCACCAACTTTCACGTATAACTCCTCCCGAAGAGCTGCCATCTGTAAAAATAAGGTATTTATAGCTATATGTTAAGAGAAGAGGAACAAATAGGGAGGATAACACAAACCTCGCGCTTCAAACGTTCAATCTCGATTTTATACGGTTCACCAGTAGAACTGTGATGAAACAAATAAGGATCTGGTCAAATTAATTAAAGTTAGAATTAATGGCAGATGAAAATTTTATACACGCATACGCGCTCGAGGGTTGTGAGGGTGCTGTCCAAGAGCAGATCCTGCCAAATGGGGTTTTTCTAGATAGTCTAAAAACGTGAGTGCGAGATTTTGACTGTTGTGAGTTTGATGGGCGACTGCCTTCTTGGTTCTGGGCAATAGGTTTGAGATGTTCACCAGGATCGTCACCTTTGCGAACTATAGATGTGCATATTTGAAAAACTAATAGAACCTTCAGAAGCACGAGCTGTCGCGAATTGTGTGCAAACAAGGTCAAAATGATTTAGAATTTCAGGCGAGAATTCTTCTTCGTCATCAAGCGCCATATTTAGCTCAAACCAAACCACAAAATCCGATTAATATAGAGTTAGAACGAACCAATGACCTCTGCCTCACAGCATGATCCCACACATTTGGTATGATAACTCAAGGTCATCAAGATGACTGGATAATTTATTTTGGCGCTAAAAATAAGCAAATTCATTGAAACCTCTCATCATGTGCACAAATACATCTGCAACAAAGTTTAGACTAGATTGTCTCAAAAAAACCTAAAGATAAAAATTTTGCTAATGATGAAGCCACCATAACATGTAACTTGCATATTCATTAGTAGTCAGAATTTCTGAGTTTGGCCAGAAATAACGCAAAAACACATCGTTTTCAATTTTTGATTGTTGCTTTTCAAGCTTAAAATCAGAAAAAAGCTCATAAAAAGAACAAGTGGTGGTTTATTTCACAACGATATTTTCTTTTTGCCCTTAAAAAGCCTTAGACTCAGAGGAATCTTTTTACAAAAATAATGATAGCCAAATTCATTACTACTCTTCAGCTAGGTTTTCGCGCAACTTTTCTTATTTAGTCAATATTTCTGTCTTTTCAAGTTGCATCACAACTCTAAAACGTGGCCCAAAAATGACTAAAGTTTGATTTTCATGTATAAACACTGTGCTTTCACACTATTAATTCAATCTCTTTTCTATGCATTTTTAGTGCTTCAACTTTATAATCATCTTCGTGTTTATCACGTGAACAAAACATGAGTTAACCGCTGGTAATGCATTGATTGGTTAGGAGCGATACCGATCTCAGCCCACTTTCTTTCTCCTAGCATGTCTATAAGAGAACGTGATGTACTCTACCGACTTATAATAAGGTTTTTGGATTCTCGATTCTTGTATCGGTCTTTGTAGTCAACTTTTCCACGACGGCTATCAGGCTATTGCAATTAATCTTATGAATGAAGTATCCCCAACTATTTCATGCGGTCCATCAGCGCGACTCCTGAAACTAGTAAAGCTTGGTCTCTCTATTGCAGATGGTATTAGCTTATTCTCATCCACCTTGTGTTGGTTACTTTTGGATAATTTTCTCGCTCATTTTTCTATCATCTGTACTTTCACTTTATGACTGTTTGTGAGAATAGTGCGTGGATTCGTATTTTTTAGATGAGCAAGATCGGTCGGTTGCACTCGAGGGTGACAACATTGCCCCAGGCACCGGCATCGACCTGGAGATTGAAAGTGAAAGTCCGTTTACCCCTTATTCCTACTTTGATACCTGGGTTGGTCTCTATTGTTCTTTTTCCGCATTCCTCAACTAGGTTCTACCATGGCTCCCGAAGCTGCACTTTATGAAACCTGCTATGTCACCGCACACAAGGCAGCTTGCAGAGCGGCTGCATTTAATAGCACAGGTCCAGTGACTCTGTTTTTAAAGCTTCTAATAGTTTTTTTTACTATAGTGTATATTTACCTTACTTTTCTCACAATCACTAATAGGTCAACTCATTGCCACTGGTTCTCATGACTCCTCGATTAAGGTACTAATTCTTAGTGTGCTTATAAAGTTACCCAATTACAATGCCTTTTAATTTGCTGAATCCAACTCGCAGATTCTGGATGTTGAAAGAATGCTTGCAAAAGGCAACTCTGGACCGGAACACTCGGCTCAGGAAACGCCACAGCAGCAGATGGAAGCTCATCCAGTCATCCGAACTCTCTACGATCATACTGCGGTAATTTTTCTGATTCCCTTCTCTCTTTGACTAGTCATATTTGAGCCTCGTGCGTGACTAATCACCGAGTGTTATTCAGGCTTCCCAGCTTTGCAAGTCTATGAGGGACCTACTAGAGGGGTTGCTTGATGCTTTTGCTTTATATGATAAGAAGTCTTCCGTCAAACTAGGTCCGTCTTCCTCTTTATCCAGTTGAGCGTCGACAACGTTGCCTGATGACACAGGTGTGGGTTTTTACTTTTGGGGTAGGTCCTTGTCATCGCTTCTTCATTGCGGCTGTTTGAGTCCACTCGAGCTGTGCGGAACTCCTCCGTCCCCACTTGTTGAGGAACGTGAAGGAAATGACGAGAGAGAATAAGCATTGGATTGCGACAACTAGTTTTGGCCAGATAATGTTAAGTTTGGTGGCAAGAAATTTGAATTCATTCGTGACAGAGGCGGAAGAGATCAACTGGAGCTGATTACCTAGAGCTGCAGATAGGCAGACATCTAGGAGAAGCTGATCGGAGAGGCGCTGATGGAGAGGGCTACTACCGGCAGCTGCCTTCCTCCTATGGTAACGAGACCATGCGTAAACTCTGTAGGTCAGCGAAATAGAACAGGAAGTAGGAACGGTTCTGTGAACAGAGCTGCACCCAACCAACAGGCAAATTGAGAAGACCTCGACAACCATACTAGCATCGTTTTCTTTTTTTCCTCGAGAATTTCTTTCCGACACCATTTCATTTCATTGTTGAACAGGAAGTCACCTGTGTGGATTTTCATCCCGACGCGTCACAGCAGATTTTGGTGAGTGGGAGCAAAGACTACACCATCAAGTTCTTCGATTTCTCCAATCCCTCTGTGAAAAAGGCGCAGCGCAGTATTCCGGAGGCGTCACCCATCAAAACCCTTCACTTCCATCCCTCGGGCAACTACCTCCTCGTTGGTACTCATCACAAGACTCGTAGGTGGTGACCTGTTTTCACTTTTTCAGCTCCTCATTAATTGATTGACTGTCGCTCATCTGCCTACCCATTTGTTCACAAGTACAGCATCCCCATGCAGGACTTGCTTAGGGTAGGTGCAGCTGGAGTGTCTGGCATTTGGATGAACGGTGTATCCTGAGGGAATAAATTGTGGAGAGTCGGGGGTGAGGGTGTGACTGATGGATAGATGGATATAGAGTACTGTTTTCGACACCTCTGCTCCACCATTGATGATGACAATGTTAACTTTATCTTGCAGTGCGTATTTACAGTGTGAACACTTGTCAGTGCTTTGTATCAGCGGTGCCGGAGGATCAGCACAACGGTGCGGTGACGATGGCAAGATGGGCGCCCAATGCCAATTACTTTGTCACCTCTTCGGTCGACGGCAGCTTCAAGATTTGGGACGGTGTTTCAGGACGCTGTGTCTCCACTTTCGAGGCGGCACACGACGGTCTGCCTGTCTGTTCGGCAGTTTTCTCGCGCAACTCAAAGGTGGGTCAAGTTCTGCCTTCCGGCTGTGTGTTTACCTTCACGGATAAACAAGTGATTGACCACTTCCACTGCTTGGTTGGATGCTGTGGCCTGGATAATTGACAATACTTTTTAGCTTGTCATGACATCGCGACAGTAGATAGTACCCCAAAGGCTCTACATGGTTAAATTCATGCAATGAATACCGCTGAATAGTCAGCTTTGGTGACTTGATAGGCTTTTCAGGTGCGTATACTTAAATAAAGGGGAGGGGGATGGGGGAATCAGCTCAATAGTCTTAACGTCCTGTTTGTTCATGTTATTCCAGTACGTGCTTACGTCGGGAAAGGACAGCGTGGTGAAACTGTGGGAGCTCTCGACAAGTCGTTGTCTCATTAGCTACACTGGTGCCGGGACTTTGGGACTGCATACCCATCGCTCCAACGCTGTGTTCAACCACACCGAGGATTACGGTGAGTCCGGCGGCCTTTCACCTCTCCCGCCTTTGCCTTATTTCCTTTTTGCCTTCTCGTTGTGCGACAAGGATGGCTCCTCCTTGTCGGTAAGGAGGCGCAGCCCTTGCATCGCCCTTTTTCTCGCAATTGCCGCGTCGCCACTTTTCTATGAGTGATGTATTATTTAAAAAAGTAGTCATTTTCCCGATCCTGCATTGACTGGCATTTGCTGAGCATACCTGTTGAATCTGGGATAGAATACCTTCTGTTGGTCAAATCTTACGACCCATCTTTCTGGTTCCAGGCCTATCCAAGTCTATTCGCGGAATTTTTACGTAGTTCTATCTGCCCTGTTTCTGTCGTCTTGGTACCTCCTGATTTAATAATTTGTTGCTTTTCGGCATTTTTTTGAATGTAATTTCTCACCGCTTTAACGACATGCATTTTGCAGAAAAAAATTAACTCATTTTCCCTCATGTTGCAGTCCTTTTCCCGGATGAGGTGACCAAAAGTCTGTGCTGCTGGGATTCGCGCAATGCTGATCGCCAACGTCTGCTGCCACTTAGTAAGTAGTATTCTTCGGTTTTATATCAAGTTCTCTCAAGCTTTTCCAAAATGCGGCGTTTGCGAACCTGACCTTTCTCCGTTTATATTAAGTCCACAGGGAGTGGTTGTTGACTAAGTGAAGTTTCCCTTTCGGTCGACACGTCCGCTGTCGAGTGAATGGCTATTGCTATCGAGTTGGCTATCGTCTCGAGTTGGGGATATATGCAATGTGATTTAGGGGGGTTGCCCTACCCACTTTGCACTTTTTGTAGGTCATAACGGTCCGATCCGGTGTTTCGTGCATTCACCAACCACAGCGGCCTTTCTCTCCTGCAGCGATGACAATCGCGCGCGATTCTGGTACAAACGACCCATATCTGACTAGTATTTGTACACACACACACACACACACACACACTCGTGCACTCATTTGTTGTATGCCAGCCTTTTCAACAAACCATTTGTATACTCGTCTCCTCGACTCATTCGACTTCCTGCCTTTGATGGGGTTGATGGGTGCATGGTCATGAGCACGTGGTCTGACCTCGCTTTGTCTCAACCTCTGTTGGACCACTTAGTCAGCTCTCATTGGCTGTGTGCAGAAGCGTGGAAACTAATGGGGCGAGGAAAGGACCGGAAATGAGAAATCAGTCGATACTTGGGACAGTTCTTATGGCAATTTCTTTTGTTGACTAGTTTCCAAAGTGTACTTTGGTGTCTATGCTGATTTGAGACGGACGACCAACCTTCCCGTCTTGTTCGCCTTATTCGTCTTCAACTTGAAGGGTTTCACATGCACCAGATCATCCTCAACTCATCAGTATCCCCGTCACGCGCAATGCATCACTCCGTGACAGTACCGTACTAGGCGAAATTGTGCCGCTCCTCAAGCTCCATGTGGCTCGGCTGCAACCCCACCAAGTACAGCTTCACCCGAGACGTCGCTGACGTATTGAC